AAGTATATGGGAAGAGTATCATCAAAATAAAGAGGTCATATCGGCAACTATTCCTGTAGACGTTTACTCAAATATTAAAGAGACAATGAATCATTTCCCAGTGTTCCTGTTTCCTCTTCCACGCTCACAGGGCTATGAGTTTATCATGTGCCAGATGTATGGACACACTGTTCATTTTACTCCATTATTAGCTTATCAGGTAAATTGTTTATTTTATTCTTATCAAAGACAGATTAGCCTATAGCCCACGTAAACACATGCTGTCACAGCTAAATTACTTCCCACTGTAAACTGCTACATAAAGCAATAAATTACCAATCTTTACCTTTTGATAAATTTCATGTGTAAATAATAAAGAAAAAATGTTTTTGTAGATATTTATAGATTTTCTTTTAATCTTTATATAATTTGTGCATTCAGAACTATGAAAAAAAAAAACAATACTAGCAATTTTTAGATATACATATAATAAATTAACTTGTGCCATAAAGAATAATGGTTATATTCTTAACAGGTCCACAAAGAAAATGCACCAGAATGTCTAACCATGGTCCACTATACAGAACTAAGTGACAAAGGGATCATACTTATGAGAGGAGAATATGATAAAGTTAGTTCTTATATATTATAATAATAAATGGGAACAACTCATGCAGTCATCTGGCCCAAATTTAGTATTCCCTGTGTTATGGGTACCAGAGACTACATGCTTAAATCATATTTTTAAATGTATACATATATAGATAACTAGCTGACCCGGCAAACTTTGTGTTGCCTTAAATAAGATTTCTAGGGAAATTCTACTGTAGAAAAAAAAACCTCATTTAACCACATAATACCTCATTATAAACGTTGATTGTAGAGGGCTGAAAATTTCAGAGTAATATGAATTTTTTTATTCTACGTCATGACAAAATAAAAACAAAATTCTCGCAAAAAATTTTAAAGTTTTTAATTAGCAAATAAAAATAAGGGTTGATCGTAGAGGGGTGAAAATTCAGGGTTGTATGTATTTTTGTATGTTGTATCATAAAAAAATAGAAATTAAAAATTTTGTCTAAAAAATAAAAAATAAAATTTAGGGGTGGACTACCCCTAACATTTAGGGGGATGAAAAATAGATGTTGGCCGATTCTCATAGATACCGGATAAGCACAAAAAATTTCATCAAAATCAGTCAAGCCGTTTCGGAGGAGTATGGCAACGAAAACTGTGACACGAGAATTTTATATATTAGATTAATAACCAGACAAAGAGCAAACAAACTTGTTCATCAGACAATGTTTGCCGATGTGGGAATTGAACTCACAACCCCCAGTACAACAGTCAGAGGTGCTAACTACTGCACTGCTAAGTCAGTCAAATATAACACATAATAATTTTAGTTTGGAATATAAAAAAATGCTTTATTACATACATTACAGATGACATGTCTGATAAAAAAAAAATTGAATTTTATTCTCCTGATACTAGAGTTAACAATCAATTGTTTTCATTCTAGAACATTGGCTGTTTCAGTAAACAGACTTAATTACTGTCAACAAGAACATTGTGTACTCAACTATTTCATCGTAAAATATATTCTAGCTGTTTTTTTAAGTTTTAGTTTTCTTAGTAAATATATTGTAAGTTTATAATGTCCTAAGCTTGAAATCAATACTACATAGCATACACTTCTAATATTACATTCATAATAGTATGTTTAAACTTTTGTTGAATTTGCTACTTATTCTGTTATGACTTTATTTCAGAATGTACTGAATGGTAAAGAAGCACAGTGCATAGCAAATCAATTCCAAATGTACTATAGTGGCAAAGATCCAGAAAGGCTAAAACTTTTAGAATCATTCACAAAGAGTCCGGACACATTCAAGCACATGGATCTGATATCACAGTTGGAAAACATCAGTTTGACTTAGATGAATAATAAACATGTTACTTTAAAATGCATTTATTTTATTCAGTGTATAAAATATAAAAAACTATGGGTGTGGAAAGATCTGTTTACTAGTCCATGATTTATAAAAACCAAAGAATTTGAATCATCAGAAATAATGTAATGAAAAAATGAAACCCAAGATTAAACCATTAGAATAATTTTAATAGGATATGTTTTAGTTCTCTCTGAAATGAGTACTTACATGCAATAAAGGGAAATCTAAATGTAAATCCTTGTGGGTGCACTTGATATCAGACTGGTAGTGTAATACAATTATAATTTATATTGTGCTTATATTATATTATTATGTAAATGAAATACATTTTTAAAGATACTGTGCTTAATTTAATTTATGAGGAAAATAAATGTATTCAGGTGTTTCATAATGAATTGATTTTGGAGACGATAATAATGGGGCCGATGGTGACTGTGGACTATTTACAGATAAACTCGAGGTCTCACTAAAATTATTACTAAAAGCGGTGAGTCCTTGATACTTTTCACACTTTTGTCTAATGTAATCCATAGGATTCTGAACTAAAGATTCTTCTACTTGAAATAATTGATTTCTTTGATTTAAAGTAGCAGTACTTGTTATATGTATATTGTTTTTTATGTATAACTCCTGAAGCTTCTGCTTAACCTTTTTTAAATTGTAGTCTTTAAGCAGAGCTTCTGATGCATTTGCTTTCATGTATGATGATGCATCAGATAAAAAATCTTCGTATAAATCTTGTATTCTGTGATGTGTTTCTGGACCTTCTGGAGTATCAGAGTCTGTTTGGCTAGTTTCTAAATTATTTGGACTTAACAATACATAGCTACCAGAAGTATTAGTAGTGTCGGTTACATACTGCGCGTTTTGTTTGAAAAAATTGTCAGTGGTTGAGTCTTCATTGGCCTCTTTTAAATTTAAATCTCTCAATTTATTTTTATTTTTTACATTTTTCGATTTCTCACTGCTTTCACAGGTTTTATTACCTACTATATCACTCAGGTCTACTTTCAATCTTTTGCTCATTTCTGCGAGTAAAGGCCTAGTTATAGTTTCTGATTGAATAGCTTTTGGAAACATTGCTAAAGTTAAACGGCTTGTATGGAAATTCATTTCTTTTACATTATTATGTAGATATTGGTTGTTTTCGTAAACTTTTTCACTGCTGTTGTTTGAGAAAATTAAACGCCGTGATCTTTTCCTTAATTCATCTAAGCACTTACGTGTTCTTCTTCTCTTACGTTTTGTGGGGTTTGAACTCATCTTAAAATTTGGATGCAAAATATTATGTATACCACAAGGGTATAAAATAATTAATTGTTTAAAAAATTTAAATAAAATCAAAATTTTCTAATTTGCCGCTCATCCATCTTTACCGACAAAAATTTTTTAAGGGATTTTATGACCTGGTAACTAAGACTTTTAGGTCAAGTCTTGATTTCAATTTACTTTTCTTACTTTTATGAAAAATGATAATACGAAATGAAATGAAGATGAATAATTTGAGACATTAATCAACTGGGATAAAATGAAATGAAATGAGATGAGTATTATTATCATAATCGGTTGCTCTTGGCAGAGCAGTCATGCGGAATTCTTGCTTATTAAAGCCTTGAGAGATGTTTTCCATAGTTTGCGAACCGAGGCCCGGCGCACACACTCGTTAAGTGGGGTTTCAGCAAGGCCTTTCACCTGATCAGTCCAACGCATGGGGATTCGTCCACGAGATCTCTATACATGATGAGTATAATCTTAGTAAAATGTTGTTCATTTACTGAGACTTTTTAGTGGACTTTTTGGAGGATCCCAAGAAGTTACATTCAGCGGCTAATCTATTGTTTTTATCATGGACTCTAAACTAACCACACTAAAGCGCCTTATTCACGATCCATCTTGCTGTACATCCCGCCAAGGCCATGCACGATGCACGATGCAAAAGTACCATGAATAGGCTTGACGTACGTCGATAATTATTATTAATTGTTTGCTGGATTTGCACGACCAATTTTTCTCTCCACGCTTGATGCGCGCACGATAGTGTGTATGCTGCATCCAGCACCGCGGCCTTGGGCTGACGTACAGCCGTAATAGATCGTGAGTAAAGCGCTATAAAGTACCTACTCTCGTTTACTGGTGTATAATCTATGTATGACAAAAGGAATGCTTTCAAACAGCCTTTTTAAGTATATTTTTTTGTATGTTTTTAAATAGAAGTCGTCGTGGCCTAAAGGATAAGACGTCCGGTGCATTCGTGTGTAACGATGCACCGGTGTTCGAATCCCGCAGGCGGGTACCAATTTTTCTAATGAAATACGTACTCAACAAATGTTCACGATTGACTTCCACGGTGAAGGAATAACATCGTGTGATAAAAATTAAACCCCCAAAATTATAATTTGCGTAATCACTGGTGGTAGGACCTCTTGGGAGTCCGCACGGGTAGGTACCACCACCCCGCCTATTTCCGCCGTGAAGCAGTAATGCGTTTCGGTTCGAAGGGTGGGGTAGCCGTTGTAACTATACTGAGACCTTAGAACTTATATCTCAAGGTGGGTGGCGCATTTACGTTGTAGATGTCTATGGGCTCNGGTAGGACCTCTTGGGAGTCCGCACGGGTAGGTACCACCACCCCGCCTATTTCCGCCGTGAAGCAGTAATGCGTTTCGGTTCGAAGGGTGGGGTAGCCGTTGTAACTATACTGAGACCTTAGAACTTATATCTCAAGGTGGGTGGCGCATTTACGTTGTAGATGTCTATGGGCTCCAGTAACCACTTAACACCAGGTGGGCTGTCAGCTCGTCCACCCATCTAAGCAATAAAAAAAAAAAAAAAAATACTTGTAGAGAGGTTTATATTAAAGAAAAAGCAATTTTTTGAAAATGTAACACATCAAATCCTAACAAATGTAGCTTTAAAGAGTACTACTGCATTTCCTTAAAGTTAGTCAAGATAGCAAGATTTGGTTAATCGATTTTGGCATTATGTATGCTAAGTCAGAAATTTAACTATGTAGGTACCTACGAAAGAAGGGAATGTCAAACTGCAGGTGATTGATAAAATGTTAAAATCGAGGAAGAGTCAATGGTTCATTTACACTACTATGCCTTAAACATAATGCTTAAAGCTTAAAATGTTACAAACTCTAAGATTATTAAATTAGAATATATTTAATTGAAATAAAAACCGTCGGACGATGGTAAGAATTTTATGACAATATATAACATATTGTAAATATCATGCAAAATGGAACGGAATGCGAAATGAAATCGGAGAAATTGTGCACTAAAATAATTATTGAAACTATTGAATTATAAAACAAACAACATCGAAATAGCGAGAATTTAATGTAATTGTTACACGGTTAATTAATTGTTACTGACTAAATAACATTGCAGTTTTCTCTACAATTTATTAACGATTTTTCATAAGAAACCAATAGGGTAAGTTTATTTCATATTTAATGCCTATTATGACTGAAATTACATTTAAAAACATAAATATTTTCGCGTAAAATGAGATTGTAATTATAATCAAATGTATAATAAGAATCACAATTAAATACATACATTTCACACATCATCATTTAATTCAATAAATTATCATTATCAATGTAAAACAATATTAATTGACACAATGATCAAGCCATAAATATAAGGCTAAAACTAATCTCACCTTTATTTTGCTTTTTTGAAGTGTATTTATTAGTTTAAATATCAATTTAAGTAAATAATTTTTTTAAAACATTGTTGAACTTTTTTGCCAGTGTATAAATACTTTATTTTCAAAACATAATTTTCTTAGGAATCAAAAATTACATTTTCAGTATGACTGTTAGTCCCACTTTTTTATACAAGTTGGACAACCAATGGGTCCAACATATATTATTTTCAATTTAGTTCAGGTCGTCAATACTCTACCTACCTGCTATACAAGGTTATCAATTACTGAAGTTTTTATTTTTTATTTTTTATTTTTGCATAGATGGGTGGACGAGCTCACAGCCCACCTGGTGTTAAGTGGTTACTGGAGCCCATAGACATCTGCAACGTAAATGCGCCACCCACCCTGAGATATAAGTTCTAAGGTCTCAAGTATAGTATCAGTTTCAGTTACATTGGATAAAGTCCATCTGACTTTCAGGCGGCCTTCAAGCCTTCAAGGCTTACCTACCGTGACCCCTATTACTATCATGTACATTTAATCATTGAGTTGTTGAGATTCTTTTAATTTATTAACCAAATGTCAACTACCACTATCATCTCAATTAAATTTCTGTCAATCATCGAAACTTACAATAGACAAGATTCACTCTTAAATTGTGAAAATAATTTATCTATGAGAATGAGTGTAACATACTTTATTTTTTTAGGAAAATATAGGATTGTATCCATATAATATATAATGGAAAATAATTTTTAAATTTAGTGCCATAATTGATGTTAATTCCTAAATAAAAATGAAGAAAAGGAACAACAATAGTCCAAATCACACTTTTTACTGTTTTTAAAACTGCATGTTTTTTAAATATTTCTTTATAATATATTTAATATAAAATAAATTTAATTGGTATCTTTTGAACCAATGATCATGTTACAGTTGAAAAACTAGTCGTTGTTTTCTGGACTACAACTAGTCTAAATTTGAAGCAGTAATGTTCACAAATAAAAGAAGAAATATGTTTTACAGGTGATGTGCCAAAGGGATACAGTAGTGTCAGTTCAGAAACGACGGTGACGTGTACGGTATGGCGGAGGGCGAAGCGACAGGTGTAGCAGACGCGGTGCTCCTGGCACCACTTACAGAGGACACGTTTCTGCACAACTTGCATGTCCGCTTCAAGCGTGATGTTATTTATGTATGAATCGAGATTATGTTTATTACTGTTAAGTAGAAGGCGACTACATGTTGCTAAATGGTCACAAGAAATCTTAGATTCTAATTCGAGGTTCTTATTACGTTTGAAATTTCTTACCCTTTGTACTGGCACATATCTTAAACAAGCAGCAACAGATAGTAAGTACATTGTAATATTGTAGAAAAGGCAGGCAAGAAAAAATTGGAAATATGGAAATTAAATCATATGTTGCTATTACCACCATGAATAGACTAAAAGAGACAGGTACACCTTAGAAACATCTGATTGAAAGTTTAAATCAATATTTTATATTCTCCTAATATTTTTTCTCCAAAAGCTTTTTTACTTTCGTCATCAAAACTTAAGAACCTGCTATACATTTTGCTTTTACAGTCAAAACCGTTTACTGCGACATCGGTTAGAACAACATGCCGGTTATAATAACCTGGAACAAAGGTCCCGGCTGAATGCTATATGACCGTCTTATTAAAAATATTGCTTTATACGACATTGGTTATAACGACATACCTCATAAAACGACCACATTTAACTAATATTTCGGAGAATTAGATCTGTTAGAACGACCGGCTAAGCTGTATTGTAAACAATTTGAATAGGTATCCACATTTGTCTTCAATGGCTATTAAAATCAGGAAAGAAAACAATAGGATTTAGTTTAGTTTAGGGTCTTTTCTAATTCTTAGAAACAAAACACGTGCATGCAGTAGAGTCAAAGCCCGCTTCTTCATATCTCTTCAGTTAGTTTGTTACTTATCTATATACAAGACGCACCAAAACTTTGTGGAGTTATTCGTGAAACTTTAAAAATGTCGCAATGAAAAAGAAAGCAAATTAATATTGAAGAAAAATCGCGTATTATATCCAAGCTAGAGAGCGGAATTTCAAACAAAGACTTAGCAAAGGAATATTGTGTATCACACTCGAAAATTTGCAACCCTTTGGAAAGAGCGATGACGATANTTATCTATATACAAGACGCACCAAAACTTTGTGGAGTTATTCGTGAAACTTTAAAAATGTCGCAATGAAAAAGAAAGCAAATTAATATTGAAGAAAAATCGCGTATTATATCCAAGCTAGAGAGCGGAATTTCAAACAAAGACTTAGCAAAGGAATATTGTGTATCACACTCGAAAATTTGCAACCCTTTGGAAAGAGCGATGACGATACGTTTAATTAAAATCCAACGTGAATTATAAAATATCTATGCACAACAGAAGTGTTCCAAACAGACTAAAATTACAGATTTTATGCTCACAGAAAAATAATATGCATGTTGTACTTATGTGTAATAAACAAAATGTACATAGTTAAATAAATATATTTTTCCAATAATTCCCTATCGATTTGTTTGTACTTGCACGATACACATTAAACATCACCGGTTGTTACGACTATCGGTTTTTACGACTGAATATGAGCAGTCCCTTCGATGTCGTTATAACAGATTTTGACTGTATTTTGTTTTACTCAGATAACGACTTTTAGTTTAGACATGGCCAAAAGTTGATTAGTTCATAATTTAGTGTAAGGTAACTAAGTAAAAAAATAAAAGAGCTCAGTCACAATAGTTTTGCATATATCCCTATTCTATTCCTATTTATCTTTTTTATCGCTTAGGTGGCTAGATGAGTTCACAGCCCACCTGGATTTAAGTGGTCACTGGAGCCCATACACATCTAAAACGTAAATGCGCCACCCAATTTGTGATATAAGTTCTAAGGTCTCAAGTATAGTTACAACGGTTGCCCCACCCTTTAAGCCGAAATGCATTACTGCTTCACGGCGGAAATAGGCGGGGTGGTGGTACCTACCCGTGCGGACTCCCAAGAGGTCCTACCACCAGTGATTATGCAAATTATAATTTTGCGGGTTTGATTTTTATTACACGATGTTATTCCTTCACCGTGGAAGTCAATCGTGAACATTTGTTGAGTACGTATTTAGTTATTAGTTAGTTATTAGAAAAATTGGTACCCGCCTGAGATTCGAACACCGGTACAACGCTCAACACGAATCCACTGGACGTCTTATCCTTTAGACCACGACATCAGATTCGTTTGGTGTCATTTTGATTTGTTCCCAGACCTATGTTGGCAATGCCTTAATTTCGGTGAATCCATGCCGGCCCTTGCCACTCTACTCAGCAGACCTGGTGCGTGCCTATCTCGCCCGACCACCATACACGTTGCCCCCACATTTGTAAGTACATAAGTATTCATATTTAACAATAGCTAGTTACCGATATTGAATGTGTGAAAATTAATCTTCATCATGTTATACCCTGGAAAGGAATGAATGTTTGTGTTGGTTGTAATATTGTAGTTGTCTACATATGTGGACACTTTGTTTTTTTTTGCTTTTTTATTGTTTCTGGATCTCGTAGTTTTATTTGTAATTTTGTTTTCAATAACCAATTTGGTGGCTCGCTCGCTATCTACATTAATATGGGTTTGATGATAGCATGTATCATTTAGAAATTGAAATCCAGATCTGATTTATGTACTATTTCTATGATTTATTGTTTTATTAATGGTTTTGTGCATCAATGAAAAAAAAACAAAAAGGCTACACCTCTCAACACTGAACGTTGAACAAGCACATACATCCCAATTTACCCATATAATTTACACATTTTACCCATAAATGATAAGATTGATAAGATGAAGTTGATAAGCCTTACAGCCTGAAAGCTGCCACTTGTGTTGTGGGTTGCAGTCTCAATTGTATTTTATAATACTTCTCCTATCTATTACCTGAATACATTACGGCTTTCCAGCAGAAATGGATTGTTGACTATGTCTGGGTGAACTTAGTCCTGTATAGTTTTTAAAATATCTCACTTATTTTAGCTTAACCCTATTAAACGTAGTCGCCTTATGACACTGATGGGAAGAGATGTGGTGATGCACAACTCAGTTCAACTTCGGAATCATTATTTCTTCACGGCAAAAACAGGCAGGAGGATGGCCAGGCACGCGGTACATGATATTAGAACCAAGAGTAGAAGTGAAAGAAGAAGAAATAAAGTTACAACCTCATTACTAGGGATGGATGACGCCAAATTTCATTATAAGGATCATACCTCCACTTATACTTTCTAAGATTTAGCCTCTGACCTCAGAAAGACTTATGTGAGGTTTATTTTTTCAACAGATATGCAATAACAGTGACCGCTTACCGTTGGGTGCGAGATAGAAACGAGAGTCAGTGCATAGTGATTACAGGTTGGAATATTACTTTTGTCTTTCTGTTGGCATAAGAGCGAACAACTATTTTTTTAGTTTTGTGACTTACATTCATAAACGATAGTAATTATAATGATGCTAATGCTTCGCAATGACTAACCAGGAGGCATGAGCATATGTGCTTAACTTCGAGTTTTTACTGTGAACCGGACATCTGACTTTTTTTCCTAACAATTCTGTGACCTTGAGGGGTCATGCTAAATTAAGCGAACGAGTAGGTGAGCTCACGGGACTCTAACCTGAGGACGTTGCTAACACTAGCCCTAGCAAGAGCAGTGCTTCGCTGAATCTACCACCGGACCGGAAATGCGACCCACTGAGAAGATCCCGCGAGAAACTCAGTGGGCTAACACTTGCATCATCTCGCCAAACGTACTACGAGCGACTTCCCCGAGTGGCGCAGCTGTGGGCTTGTAAATTAACAAAGTACATATTAGTCGAAATACATATTAGTCTTCATTGCACATCAGACTATCGTCAGACGTCCCGGTCACCGTTCTCGTCGAATTCGTAAATTAACCCACAGACACAGCCCACTGCGTTTCTCATTGGTTCTTCTCAGTGGGTTGCGTTTCCGATCCGGTAGTAGATTCAGCGAAGTACTGCTCTTGCTAGGGTCGGTGCTAGCAACGTCCTCAGGTTTGAGCCCCGTGAGCCCGTTAAGGTTACGCTGAAATAGCCTCTCAAGGCTCTCAGCTTAGGTAGGGAAAAAAAAGCAAGTGTGAGCAGACGCGATGGGTTCGCAGGGGAGAGCGGCGCGGGGAAGACGGAGGCGGCGCGCGTGTGCCTGCAGTGCGCGGCCGTGGCGGGCGGCGGCGGCGGCGAGCGGCTGGCGGCGGCCGGCACGCTGCTAGAGGCCTTCGGGAACGCCGCCACCACGCGCAACCACAACGCCAGCCGCTTCGTGAGTGCACAAACGTGTCGCTCCTTTTGTCCTCTGTTGTGCAGCGACGGAGCGAGACAATATGTCGCAACGTGTCGCTCCTTCTGTCCTCTTCCGTTGTGCAGCGACGGAGCGAGACAATATGTCGCAACGTGTCGCTCCTTCTGTCCTCTTCCGTTGTGCAGCGACGGAGCGAGACAATATGTCGCAACGTGTCGCTCCTTCTGTCCTCTTCCGTTGTGCAGCGACGGAGCGAGACAATATGTCGCAACGTGTCGCTCCTTCTGTCCTCTTCCGTTGTGCAGCGACGGAGCGAGACAATATGTCGCAACGTGTCGCTCCTTCTGTCCTCTTCCGTTGTGCAGCGACGGAGCGAGACAATATGTCGCAACGTGTCGCTCCTTCTGTCCTCTTCCGTTGTGCAGCGACGGAGCGACACAATATGTCGCAACGTGTCGCTCCTTCTGTCCTCTTCCGTTGTGCAGCGACGGAGCGAGACAATATGTCGCAACGTGTCGCTCCTTCTGTCCTCTTCCGTTGTGCAGCGACGGAGCGAGACAATATTTCGCTCTTTGAATGTATATTGTTCTTCTGCGCAGGGCAAGCTGCTGGAGATAGAGTTTGATTTCAAAGGCGAACCGGTTGGCGGTCACATAACGCACTGTAAGTAATTTGTTGCATTGTATTATTGTTACTTAGACGCAACGACCGAAGGAACTTAATGTTCCTATTTAAAATCTATTACAAGAATCCACGTCATATTTTGATATACGCCTTTATGAGTTTAACTTATTTATCTATGTATATATTATACGTACCGGAATTTGTCAAAGTTTCATCAACTTCAAGACATTTGATCATAATGAACATTTGCATACGTTTCAAAGTCTTATAACAGTACTATGATTTCTAAAAAAACTTAATCTTCATTCAGCCGATCCCCGAAAACAATTAGAAACCATATATTTGCAAATAAGGAAATTATTATCGTTATAATTCTACGCTAGACAGAGAGGCACTGAATGATAACGTCATTGACGTGTGCTATAACTGCTATAGTCGGATTTTTAATTAGACGAAGCCAGCTGACAGTAGCTAATGTCACTTTGTGAAATAATGTTGCTATATTTAAAGTAATAGTGATGCGTTCAGTTCTCGTTCAATCACATAAATGAACAATGAGTGTGAAGAGTTAATCATTAATTTCAAACTATAAAAGAATATTATTTATATTTTACAATAAAATTGTATTAAAGTGATCCAATATAATAATATGTTACTAGTAGTATGTAACTACAATCAGTTTTTTTTATTTTCATTACCTATGTACCTATAATTGTTATATTTTATACATCTATAGTTTCAACTATATGATGCATTGGAAATAGGACAGTCTTACAAGCTTCCTCGCAATGTTTTTCTTAATGTTTAAAACACTCGGTATTCAGTACAGGTAGATACCATAGGAACATAATGTTTCGTCGAAAACTCGTTGGTATGTACAAAGCACGGCTAAAATTCGAACCCCGTGCCCGATATCGGCAGTTCGGCACACTAACTATTCACTAGACAATCGAGGCAATTTCATTAATTCAGGAGTTTTTTCAATCGTTCACTTTGTCACAACACTATTTTTATTTCATCAAAAACTGACAACACAGTAAACGTCAGTTTACTTCGTCTAATAAAAAATCCGACTATATATGGCAACACTACGCCAATATGCCGAATTCAGAATAAGCGCTTTATCTCAATAACCTAAATAACTTATTTTCATTACCATTCAACTTCCTCAATGCTAACTTTTTATTGCCTTTCTCTTAAAGTACAGTCCACGATCCACTCAATGCGATATTGTTGATTACTTGTCCTTAGTACTGGGAGGTCGTGGTTCAATCCCGAACTGATCGGATAGTCCAACCTATTTCTGCCGCGAAGCACTTACACGTTCGAGTTTGAGTGGTGTAGTTGAGACTCCGTCTTTGTTCTCAAGGTGGGAAGAGCCACTCATATTGTGGTCTATGGGCTCTGGTGAATCCATAAGCCTGACATATCTAGGGCTTATAATAATGGCTATTTCAGCCTCCAAACGAAATCATGATTTCTTTGCTGTAAAAAAGAGTAGGACCATAGTACTGATCTGGAAGGACAGAAAAAGCTGAATTTGTTGAATTTAATGTGTTATTTGCTTTTAATGCTTCCGATAGATCTTTTAGAAAAGGTAAGAGCATATTAATGTTTCTATAATAAATCTTGAATATCAAGATATTACTTGCACGATCTGACTCAGTACTTCATGTGTTGCTAGCCAACGCTGAGAAAAATAAGAAATCACAAAAACACAATCCATACCAATATATTAAATTTGAAAGTTTTTTGTTTATTATTAATTTTGGAAAAAAGCCCACTGATGTTCTCGCCGGATCTTCTCAGTGGGTCGCGTTTCCGATCCGGTGGTAGATTCTGCGAAGCACTGCTCTTGCTAGGTTCAGTGTTAGCATCACTCCGGTTTGAGCCACGTGGGCTCACCTACTAGTTAAGGTTACGCTGAAATAGCCTCTCAAGGCTACCAGCTTAGGTAAAAAAATAATAATAATGGAAAAATGAAACTTGACACATTTATATTCTGGATACTTAACATAGGATAGACACGGCTTCATAAGCGCCTTCCGCAATAACTACCGGGTGTGTTCGATGATTCATTAATATCACAAGCAGTGTGCATAGTGCGAGTTTTTTAACTTCTCGATCGCGTAAAAGTTAACTCAAATTAGTATCGAGTTAAAACAGCGCCTCTAGCGGCAAAGAACTCGCACTAAGCACACTGGACGACTGGTAATTTGAGGACCACAGTGACACGACCAATTCTTTATCCCGGAATAATACAATATGTTTTATTGTTAAGGTAAACACGTCTAGTTTTCGATATAAAGTTGTGAAAGACATTTACTACCAAAAAAAAAACTGTTTTTTATTTTTATTGCTTAGGTGGGTGGACGAGCTCACGCCCCCCCTCGTGTTAAGCGGTTACCGGAGCCCATAGACATTTACAACGTAAATGCCGCCACCTACCTTGAGATATAAGCTCTAAGGTCTCAATATAGTTACAACGGCTGCCCCGCCCTTCAAACCGAAACGGATTAATGCTTCACGGCAGAAATAGGCAGGGTGGTGGCACCTACCCGTGCGGACTCATAAGCGGTCCTACCACCAATAATTACACAAATTATGATTTCGCGGATTTGATTTTTACATCAACCTTTTTTACAACACGATGTTATTCCTTCACCGTGGTAGTCAATCGTGAACGTTTGTTAAGTACGTATTTCATTAGCAAAATTGGTACCCGCCGGCGGGATTTGAACACCGTTGCGTCGCTAGATACGAATGCTTTTTTTTATTGTCTTTGTAGGTAGACGCGCATACGGCCCACCTGATGGTAAGTGGTCACCGTCGCTCATGGACATCAGCAATGCTAGGGGCAGAGCCAAGCCGCTGCCTACCATTGAATACTCTCCGCAAGCCTCGTTTGAAGAAGGACATGTCATAGCGCTCGGGAAACACTGTGGGGGGGAGCTCATTCCAAAGCCGGATGGTACGCGGTAAATGCACCGGACGTCTTATCCTTTAGGCCACGACGACATCAATGGCAATGTTTTTGTTGGGATCAAATGCAGTACTTATTTGGATGCAGGAGCGGACCTGTAGCGTGTCGGAGGGAGAGAGGAACTTCCACGTGCTCTACCAGCTGCTGGCCGGCGCCGACGTACATTTGCTCAGTGAGTATCCGCGTCGTACCTTTGAGATGCTGTCGTTTCGGTTGCTATGGTAACCACCGAAACAACAGCATCCCAAAGCAACCGCGCCCCGTACAGGCCGAAGTAACCGTACCGAATTAGTCGCTAGGGTCTTAATGTTTCTGATTCGGATAGTGCAGCGTTATACACGGTCCGTTGTTTGATCATTTTCTTGTTTTTAGCTTAGGTCTTTTTTATTTATGATCTGGCTTAATGTAATACTTACACTGTGAAAAGAGAGGGAGAAAGCGAGAGATTCCTTGGACGACATGCTCACGGCTCTGTGGCAAAAGTCGGCGATGCCACGTTGAAATTCGTTGTAGTGGTCGATAAAGACGTACAAAAGATTATGACGTTTTCTTACAAACGACTGCAAGATCGGACCGCATGAGTGTGTTCTCTCTAGAAGTTTTAGTCGATTGGTTGAAGAATCGTTAGTGGAGATGTCGGTCGGTGTGTGTGCCACGTGGCACGTGTATTGTGCAGCCACTCTTCAATGTTGTAAGGCTCACGTGATGATGTATACCCAGAGCGTCTCCGGCTGCAACGTTCGTGGGAGCACTACCGCGTGCTGCGGGGCGAAGCGCTGGACGCCGCCCTCTCCCCGCGCCGCTCTCCCGCCCCGCCCCGCGCTGCGCCCCCTGAACATGCGCGGGACAACGAACACTTCGCATTTACTAAGGTCTGTTTAATTTGACTACAATGAGACACGAGTGTACCGGCCGCTATCGCTATTGGACCTCAATAATGCCACGGGCATAGACAATATAAGCTGCACTAATTCTCAAAATCAAAGGCTCATTCGTTCATTATTAAATTACCGCAAGGTATCTCGATTATCTCAAGGTGGGTGGCGCATTTACGTTGTAGATGTCTATAGACTCCAGTAACGACTTAACACTAGGTGGGCTGTGAGCTCGTCCACCCATCTAAGCAATAAAAAAAAACTCAATCCATTCCGTTTCAGAGCAAATAAATTTAAAACCTTATATATCTGGTGGTGGGTAGTTAGCAGACAACAAAACGAGTGAGGTGGCGAGAGGTTCCCGCAGCTCCGTACACATGTGTAGAATGTTGTTTAACAAGAATGCCGCTTGGAGTGGATTAGGAACTGGTGCGTGCCCACAGGCGGCCATGGCGTCCCTGGGGTTCACCGGGGCGGAGTGCGGCGCCGTGCTGCGGGTGCTCGCCTTCGTGCTGAAGCTGGGCAACGTGCAGTTCGAGCCGCAGCACAACATCGACGGCTCCATCGGCGTGCGCCTCGAGCAGCAGTACGGTGAGCTGTCTTATCCCGCTAACTATCCCGCTAACTCTCCCGCCAACTGTCCCGCTGCAAAACAGTACCTCGACTACATTTGTGGGTGTCACTGGTGATGCAGCGTACGGGATATCCCCACGGGCAGGATCATACCCGTTCTTGCTGCGAAGCAGTTTTGAATACTGACAGCCGATGTGCTATACAGTTGAGACTTCAACTTCGTGTTGTGGCTGTGACTTCCAAAGGTAGTGGCAATAGCTGGAGGAGTCTGGCCGCGCTCATGTACCCTCGTCGAACATCCGGACGACCCGTTATTTTATATATATGTACATTATCGAAATAAGAACCTCTGACATCGTCTGACCACCAACACACCATATAATTACAGAATTGGTAGAAGCGTGTGCGCTAGTTGGGGTGGAGGCAGCAGAGCTCGCCGCGGCCCTGGGCGCCCCCCCACTGTCGCACCGGGATCCTGATGCTGGTGAGGAATTTACTATTTATTTACTTACACACATGCTGTACTATTTGAACAATTTTACAAGATGTGAAACACAAGAAGTTTGATTAAAATTTTGCTCCGTAGTGTCTGCACGATGCTCTAATAACTGACATTTAAAAGTCAGTGCGAAACATGTTTGTCTCCGACTTTTTGGCGGGAACGCGAGGTGTGAAGTTGTGCGATTTGTTTTATTTTGTCTATTTAGTGTTTCTTCAGATTTAAATGTGTAATAACAGTGGTTTATTAGCTGTTTAGTATCTGTGAAAGTGCACAAATGTGGGAAAATGAAATAAAGCCGTTGGACGTAACTTCTCGGGATCCTCCAAAAAGTCCACTGAAAAAATCTCAGTTAACGTTCACAATTTTACTGAGATTATATTTGATCCCATATCATCTCATCTTGTTTCATTTCATTTCATCCCAGTTGATTAATGTCTCAAATTCTTCATTTCATTTCATAATACCATATTTCATAAAAATATATATATGTAAAAGACTAGGCTGTATGGTATGATACCTTTGCCTTTCCATTTGGAAAAACTACTACTACTACATGTTTGTCTCCACCCAGGGTCGGAGTCTCGATACTACTACTGGTTGTCCCATCCCTCGTAACAGAATCCAGAACCAAGCAGAAGTGGGCACGCCACCACTCCCCCTCTCCCATCAGACCCCCCTACCCTACCCCTACCACAAATAATTAAATAGGTTCATTAATTTCACGGGTTTCCTTATATTCATGCCTTTGTGTGAAGTTTATCCGGCAAAACTGCAATAAATATTCTTAACAGACGTTGTTTAACGCGTAGTAACTCGACTCGTCTCGAGCCAGTTGCCCCGCGCCCCCCTGTGAGGACGCCAATGCATGTGGGGATGTAAAAGCAACAGAAAATAATTATTTATGAATGAACGAAAACAGAAGAAGAAGAAATGGCAAGAAGTGAAGATGTAGAGGACAGCGTTGAGGGGGAGGAGGACGGCGAAGGCAGTGCGGAGTGGGCGTCGGCGCTGCGGGACCGCCTGCTGTGCGCGCTGTACTCGCGACTCTTCACCTGGCTCATCAACTCCGTCAACGAGGCCATCAAGGTGAGGGTCGACGCACGCACGGACAGACTACATTTATTGCTTAGATGGGTGGACGAGCTCACAGCCTACCTGGTGTTAAGTGGTTACTGGAGCCCATAGACATCTACGACGTCAATGCGCCACACACCTTGAGAGATAAATTCTAAGGTCTCAAGTATAGTTACAACGGCTGCCCCGCCCTTCATACCAAAACGCATTACTGCTTCACGGCAGAAATAGGCAGCGCGGTGGTACCTACCCGCGCGTACTCACAAGAGGTCCTACCACCAGTAATTACGCAAATTATAATTTTGCAGGTTTGATTTTTATTACACGATGTTATTCCTTCATCGTGGAAGTCAATCGTGAACATTTGTTAAGTACGTATTTTATTAGAAAAATTGGTACCCGCATGCGGTATTCGAACAACGTTGCATCGCTCAACACGAATGCACCGGACGTCTTATCCGTCAGGCCACAACGACTTAAAATGGACATGTCACACCGAAATTGATAATAAAGGCAATCTGAATGGTGGCAGAAATAGGCAGACTTGTGTCATAAACCTTACGCTAGCTCACACAAACGATTCGGTGCGCGGTTAAAGCGGGCGCGTGTGTTAGCCGGCAGCGGCGGGCAAGCGGTGCTCGCTGGGCATCCTGGACGTGTACGGGTTCGAGCGGCTGGCGCGCAACGGGCTGGAGCGCCTGCTCATCAACTACGCGGCCGAGCGCGTGCAGGCCGCCGTCACCGGCGCCACGCTGCGCCGCGAGCAGGACGACTACGCGCGCGAGGGCCTGCCCTGGCGCCCCCTGCGCTACGCCGACCACGAGGCGCACGCCGACCTGCTGGACGCCGGGCCCGACTCGCTGCTGGCCGCGCTCCGGGACGCCAGGACCGACGCCGCCTTCCTGCAGCGTCTGCAGCGGCGCCGCCACCCGCGCCTGCTGCCCGACCCACCTGACCGCTTCCAGTAAGCGCTGTTTCTTATTCGCGGCTCGCTTAATGTTCAGCTTGTATTGAACCACATGCACAGTAGAACGCGTATTCCAGCATCCACCTTGGGATATAAATTTAAACACATGGGCATCTACTACCCTGTCTGTCAAATTCGAACATGTAATTGTTTTGTGACAAAAATGTCCGACACCGCGACCGGCCCGTGCATAGTACACTCCGTGCATAGACACACAGAAAGGAGCGAGTTCAGTAGGGATACCAGTTCCCATTCTTCTAATTTGTGGAGCGTGGCACGGTGTAGTCCACACCTCGCGCCCCCCGAATCATGTGAGTGACTTGAGCTTGACCAGGGTGGTGCACTTCGGTGGCGCCGTGACGTACTGCGCCCGCGGCATCGTGGACAAGAACCGCGACGCCGTGTCCGCCCGACTCAGCGCCGTGCTGGGGGCCGCCCGGGAGCCGCTCCTGGCCGCGCTGTTCGCGGGCCGGGAGTCCCCGCGCCGCGTGTGCGCGCTGGCCTGCAGGCAGAGGGCGCTGGTGGCCGCGCTGGTCCGCAGGCTGGGGCCCGCGCCGCGGCTCGTGCGCTGTCTGCGGCCCGACGCGGGGCTCCGCCCTCACCGCTGGGACGCGCCGCTGCTCAGGCACCAGCTACGCTCGCAGGTACACGCACCATTCCGCAACCAGAACTTTTATGCATAATAATCTAACCATTATTGTTCTAATAAACACCAAGTAGATGTTTTATTAAAAAAAGCGGTTTGTGGTAGTTTATACCATGCGGTCCGTGCCACCCATGTCCGAACACTGTGGAGGAAAGTCACATGTGGTCGCAACCCTCAGCAGTGAGGGAACAATGAAGAAGAATATGTTTGAACTATCTGTAACGAACGTTGTGTGTCTGCCACAGGGCATCCTCGACATGGCGCTGCTGCGTCGCGCGGGCTGGTGCGAGTCCATGTGCGCGCGCGCGCTGGTGGCGCGGTACGGCGTGCTGCAGGGGGCGCGGGGGGGCCCCTCGGCGAGCGCGTCCCCCCGCGCCTCGCCCGCCCCCCGCGACTGCCCGCTGCGGGCGGCGCGCGCGCTGCTGCGGTCCCTGCCCATCCCGAGCGCGGAGTTCGCGTACGGACGGACGAAAGTATTCATTCGCAGTCCCCGGACGGTGAGTTCTATTGGCAAAATTATATAAATTGAGTTACTGAAAGCCCTTACTGTAAAGCTAGGCTGGGCTTTATGATCAGTAAGAAGCTAGCTTGACCCCAGTATTTGATTAAACCAAGTCATCTATGAGGTTTGCATGTCTTAACATTTTATTGATATCAGATCTATACTGTTGGATATCCATAATTTTATCTTTTCAAATACAGTGGAAACAATTACTTACAAGTTATCTTGACGACCAATATTGGGCTACTATAACTTTTCTATTGTCTTGAAACTAAAAGCAAATAAAAAAACTCTTGAATATACATAAACGCGAATTATACTAACATATCCAACTTTATGCTTCTGATGTAACAAGATTTATGGTTCTGAATTACGAAGAGAGGGAATTGAAATTTTATTAATGTATTGATCCTATAAAAATGAATAAGGTGATACAGACATAATAGAATATAGTAGAGTAAAAGACATAATGATATAAAATTTAGTCGAATTTCAATGAGGTGTACTATTTTAATAATAAATATATTGACCTGATTAAAATATATTGATTGATAGGTTTGGGAATTGGAAGCGCTACGTAGCGCCCGTGTGGAGCAGCTGGTGGTGCGACTGCAGCGAGCCTGGCGCCGACACCGCGCCGCACGCCGCGCCGTCGTGCGGCACGCAGCGCAGCGGGTCATCGCGCGCGCGTGGAGAGCGCATAAGGTACGTAGCGCCGCGGGCAGTGCAGTGCGCCGCACGCCGCGCCGTCGTGCGGCACGCAGCGCAGCGGATCATCGCGCGCGCGTGGAGAGCGCATAAGGTACGTAGCGCCGCGGGCAGTGCAGTGCGCCGCACGCCGCGCCGTCGTGCGGCACGCAGCGCAGCGGATCATCGCGCGCGCGTGGAGAGCGCATAAGGTACGTAGCGCCGCGAAGAGTGGAGGGCAGCGGNATCATCGCGCGCGCGTGGAGAGCGCATAAGGTACGTAGCGCCGCGGGCAGTGCAGTGCGCCGCACGCCGCGCCGTCGTGCGGCACGCAGCGCAGCGGATCATCGCGCGCGCGTGGAGAGCGCATAAGGTACGTAGCGCCGCGGGCAGTGCAGTGCGCCGCACGCCGCGCCGTCGTGCGGCACGCAGCGCAGCGGATCATCGCGCGCGCGTGGAGAGCGCATAAGGTACGTAGCGCCGCGGGCAGTGCAGTGCGCCGCACGCCGCGCCGTCGTGCGGCACGCAGCGCAGCGGATCATCGCGCGCGCGTGGAGAGCGCATAAGGTACGTAGCGCCGCGGGCAGTGCAGTGCGCCGCACGCCGCGCCGTCGTGCGGCACGCAGCGCAGCGGATCATCGCGCGCGCGTGGAGAGCGCATAAGGTACGTAGCGCCGCGGGCAGTGCAGTGCGCCGCACGCCGCGCCGTCGTGCGGCACGCAGCGCAGCGGATCATCGCGCGCGCGTGGAGAGCGCATAAGGTACGTAGCGCCGCGAAGAGTGGAGGGCAGCGGCCGACTTAAACTCTATCAATTTACTTTGTCCTGCTGATCACCACGCACATTTCCTTTAGAGGCTCAGACTGACCCACCGCTGTCATTCTCTTCGACAGAAGCGGCGACGATTGCTGAGTAGGGACACGCAGTCACCGGCCGCCGTCAAGATCTGGCGCTGGTGGTGCCGAGCAGCCCGGCGCCGCTACTTGAGCAGACTGTGGCGCCGCCTCCCCGCGCGGCACCTGTCCCCCGCGTGCGTGTCCTGGCCCGCCTGCCCGCAGCCCCGCCTGCTGGCGCGCGCGGACGCCCTGCTGCGCCGCATACACCACGCGTGGCGCTGCCGCCTCTACCGCGCTGCCTTCGACCAGACCGCCCGGAACCGCATGCGGGAGAAGGTCACCGCCAGCGTCCTCTTCAAGGATCGGAAGGCGAACTACAGTCGGAGCGTGGGGCATCCGTTTGTGGGGGACTATGTGAGGCTGCGGGCCTCGGCGGAGTGGAGACGGGGCGCGACCGCCACGGACCGGTACGTGGTGTTCGCGGACGTGGTGGGGAAGGTGGCGCGGGGCAGCGGGCGGGTGGCGCGCTGCCTGGCGGTGCTGTCCACGGCCGCGCTGCTGCTGCTGGAGCCGCGCTCCCTCCGCCTCAAGAGACGAGTGCCCGCCCACAGCGTCTACAGACTGTCGCTCTCGCCCTACGACGACGACTTGCTGGTGGTCCACGTCAGAGCCGTGAGTATTATCTTGTTTTATTTATCTTCTCTCAAACATTAAGATACCAGTCATTGTACTCTTCAAGTTTCAAGTGTAAGCGAATTTTTTGGATGTATATTTACTTCGATTATAAGATTCCTTTCCGTAAGCAAATTCATTACAAAATAAGCAAAGCTTAGAAGATAGGCGCGCACATCATATTCATTTATATGCTGCTCACGTAATCATCATCTAGACCCCCCCCATCCCCATGTCATCAAAAATAAGCAAAGCAAAGACTCCCCCGCCCCCACAGTGCTTACGTAATACTTGAACGGCCCCTAATCGCTGTGTGTCGTATTTGTCGCTGACCGGTGGCGCGTTGCAGTGCGGAGGCGCCGAGAGCTCCACTGAGGAGTTGTCGCAGTGCTCCTCGCGCGACGCTCCCGACGCCCCGGGCTGCTTATTTGCGGTGAGAAACAAGTATACATAAACTTTACAGTTTTGCCTAATTTGTTGATTTCCATAACTACCCATCAGTATAAAATAAACTGAAGAAAAATTGAAGAAACACTAATTTAACATAATAAAACCAAATAATTTAATTTCGCTCTCCTCGTTCCCGCCAGTGTCTGTTAGGCTATCAATAAAATCATACCAAAATTACAAGGAGTATATATGGGCTAAAACAGCTGTTTGAACAAAGTTAACGATGACGTCATTTGACGATAAACAATGATACGTAAGCAAAGAGGCACTGAGCCTGCACTTTAGTTACACGTCCACTTAACATATGATTACGCCGGTATGAGTAACGCCATCTTTAGCCGAATAGCAGAAACGAATATCAAAAGAACTAGTAAAATCGAGAACGCTCGAGAAGCACAACGCCATCTGTTGATCAAATAGTGGAAACACATATCGAAACGACTGGTCTTGCCGAGAATGCTCTCGATAATTGTAGACGTATCGTGTCGACTATAAAAGCGTTGCAGAGATGACACAAAAGCAGTTAGTAATGGGATCTACTCGAAGCGGAAGAAGTGAATTACGAATTGTAAAGTGTTCTTTAAGTGTTATAAGTGCTTAATAGAGTTTTACTTTGTACTTCAGTGAAAGTTTTATTTATCCGAAACCACAGCGCGTAATAATATTGGCCGTTTTCCAATTGGGAAACTACCATTATGTAATGGTTAATCACAGAGCATAATGCGACTCAGTGACGCACAATGCCTAATTATGCTGAAGCTTAGTTGAGCATTATGCCGCATAATGCGCTCTTGTGCTGTAATTGGAAAACGGCCATTTTAACATAAAATTTCATTGATAACTGACATTTTGAGCTCGAAATGCCGAAACAAAAACATTCTCAACAAACACAACCACAGTGCCACATTAGGCGCTAAACCATCCCCAAACCTTTTTATCTCTGGTGGGGATTGCGTGGTACGCCAAATACGATCAAAGTGACATGTCCCCACAGAAAGAAATCTTTTATTCGCTAAGCATAGAGAAAATGAGTTATTACATAAGTTAAAAGCAGCGTGTATGCTTTGGCATTATTTGACATGCGAATTTTAGTGCAGTGCAAGATATTATTATATAATTTACCTTTCATTTATCCATAATTCAACAAGTAATTAAAAAATCCATTTATTTTGAATGTCGTCCCTAAGAAAATAATTTCTGTGATAATAATTTTCACTAATAAGATTATGCTTTAGTTTTTTTTTCTTAAAATGAAAATCGTCTAGGTCTTTTAATTTCTTTGGTAGTTTATTAAATATCCTAACGCTCATACCTAGTATATGTCGGCATTACGCCAGGGTATACACACATAAGGTCTTTTACAATAAAAATACAATAAAAATCTATAAAACAATTCTATTACTTTTTTATTACAAAAAGCTACGTCTTAGTTCACAATTAGCCATTTTGTGGTGGTTATAGCAACTACAACTTCATTCATACAAACAAATGTAATTACTGCGAAACAATTCACAAAATATAGCTTAATATTCACAATACATATTTTAGTGATTTTTACATTACTGACATTAATTTATTTTACATGAATTACTTTTAACTTATTTAAACTAACATTGTTATTATCCAGCCTAATAATAGATGGCCAACCATCAACCAGCCAACATCATTTGCAACATCATTTGCATAACAATTACAATACTTAATTAATTTATTACTGTTAATTATAATATAAATTATTATGAATATTTATGCTTTATTAATATTTAATTATTTATACAATCATTTGTGTTTTTAAACAATAATCATATTCTGAACATTTTCACATCGAAACAGTGTGTGCTAAATATTAAATATAGTAGAATAACAGTTTCATCTTGCTAATAATAAATAAATATTAATATAGAATAAACTAAACTATATATTACTATGTTAATTATTGCCAATAGTGGCGTTTGCGCCCATATATACTATTAGTCTTTAATGTTGTTTTGGATTTTGGAAAACATAGTTTATCGTCGCGTCGTTTTTTATTTGCCTCATTTGAAATCTTGGTGAATCTATTGGGACAAGTTTTAACAAAACTCGAAGGTCCAGTAAACATTGTAGGCTGTATGTGCACTGTCGCAGGGCGAGGGCGCGTGGCGGCGGCGCGGCGACGTGGTGGTTCGGACGTGCCACGTGCTGGAGCTGGCCACCAAACTGTTCCTCGTGGTGCAGAACGCTGTAGGAGCGCCGCCCCATGTAAATATCGCGCCAGAGTGAGTAACATTGCAGTTGTTAACAAACATTATGTTGCCTAACGAATCTTATGAGAGATAAAAAAAAATATTGCTTAGATGGGTGGACGAGCTCACAGTCCACCTGGTGTTAAGTGGTTACTGGAACCCATAGACATCTACAACGTAATTGCACCACCCACCTTGAGATATAAGTTCGAAGGTCTCAAGTATCGTTACAACGGCTGCCCCACCCTTCAAACCGAAACGCATTACTGCTTCACGGCAGAAATAAGTAGGGTGGTGGTACCTGCCCAGGTGGACTCTCAAGAGGTCCTACCACCAGTAAAAATGGTCATGCTAATTCTGCACGAAGAGAACTTCGAACTTCGGTGCCAAGACAAAACATCTTGTATCCACAGGTTCGAAGCAAACTTCGGTGGGCAACTAGTCACGGTATCCTTCCACGCGCTGGGCGAAGGGGGGGCTCGGCTGGCGCGGAGGGGGGACAGGCTAGACGTGCTGCTCTGATGACGTCACACATCTCGCCACGCTGGATCCATTGCAGCAAGTCTTGCACTTGTCTCGCGGACATCGCGAACCTTGCTATGACGTCACAACAACCTTGATGACGTGGCAGCTATGTGTCACAACTGTCCTTAAGAAAAGAGGTTTCGGTCAAGAAAATGTTCAAGTGTGCTTGAAGGAAGTGAAACTTCTTTGCGATTATGTACTACGTCATTAGGTAGTACGTACGTAATATTTTAATTTATATGTTAAAGATACAAAACGAATATTTCACACGACCTTTTTTTTAACTACATTCATAGAAGTTCCACTTCGAAAGCCTAAAAGTGAATCATCTTTGCGCAACTTTCTAATATTAAGATTCAGATGAATCATTATTCAAACCAGGGATATAAAAAGTGCCAATATTGTATACATAATTGTTGTAGACGCCTCAACGCCATCTCACTGCCAACTGTGGATACAACATAATCAGTCTTTTCGACGAGGTCTCTATGGAAAACGCCTTGTTATTGTAAAATATATATGCCGATTTGGTATATTGAGTACGTGATACAGTGGAACCTCGGCAATCCGGTGTTTTATAGGAACTAATATTTTGACCCACCGATGCCAATTGGTCTATGAATCAGAACTATTCAAGGAATACCTTGTAGTACATACAGCTTGAAATAACACCCCAAACAAAATATACGGCTCGTGGTTATACCGCTATTTAGTGCAGGAACATTAATGAATTAGGTTTTGTAATTTTTAGATAAACGTTATCGCCCTTAAATAATGTAATCATATAAGTTAGTCCATATTCCAAATACCTCTGTGTCTCAAGTGGCTCCGACATGAGACGCCTCGTGCCGGCGTTAATTAACTTAATCATCGATGAAGTGTACTTAAGAGTTTTTTAAATCCTTCTAACAATTCCGATTCAGCTTTTACAATTCACTCCGTATTTAATTTCCGAGTTATAGGCAGTGATTTTGAACACCCTGTATATTGTCGGTGTTCGCAGAAGCTGACACGGATATAAACCACTATTCTAACTTAAAGAGACACCAATATTAATTTAGGCAGACAAGAATCTATTGGGTTCGATGTAGAACAAGTGATATAAGTTGGTAATTAGGGTGTTTTATACCAGGAGCGCCCATCTAACCAACTGCCAATTTTCCGAGGTTCGACTTTATTGTTGTGTGTGTGTTTTGAGAAGCGATATCTCGCGCGTGCTCAGTGTAACTCGACCCCGTAACGTAGGAAATCTTATGATTATAGTTATATTTACAAATAAATAAATAATCTTAGGTAGATTAACTTTTGGAGATCGATTGCCTGAATCTGTGTACTGGTTGGAAAAATATACTCTGAATTGTAAGTTCGGGAAGAGATGTATCTATGAGACCTAAAAATCAAGTTTTGATCGCTTTACTACAACGATTTACCTGCAATTTATACTTTATGTTTTTCCCATAAAAAAGGTACGTATTAAATGTTTTGACGCTCACGTATAAATACAGGGTGTACTAGAATCATTACTGAAACTGAAGACAGATGTTGGAACCTTCAAAAACACGTTCAACAAATTACATTTTAATAACAACTTACTAAAGTAACACGATCACTGCGCGTCTGCTCGAGAATATACCAACAATTTAAAATCCTTTTTTATATGTTATGGTTGAAATTCAGACACAGCCCACTGAGTTTCTCGCCGGATCTTCTCAGTGGGTCGCGTTTCCGATCCGGTGGCAGATTCTGCGAAGCACTGCTATTGCTGGGGTTCGCTTTCTTTTTTTTTTTATTGCTTAGATGAGTGGACGAGCTCACAACCCACCTGGTGTTAAGTGGTTACTGGAGCCCATAGACATCTACAACGTAAATGCGCCACCCATCTTAGATATAAGTTCTAAGGGTCTCAATTATAGTTACAACGGCTGCCCCACCCTTCAAACCGAAACGCATTACTGCTTCACGGCAGAAATAGGCAGGGTGGTGGTACCTACCCGTGCGGACTCACAAGAGGTCCTACCACCAGTATCTAAGGGTCTCAATTATAGTTAGCAACGTCGTCAGGTTTGAGCCCCGTGAGCTCACCTACTAGTTAAGGTCACGCTGAAATAGCCTGTCAAGGCTTATCAGTTTAGGTAGGAAAAAAAAGGTTTAAAAATTGACGTTTACATGAAATATTTCCTGAACAAAATATAATAAATAACGTCTAAAAATTTATAATAAATAACGTCTGATGGTTGTATTGGCGCCTTTTATCTAAACACATACTCCTAGTTATCTGCAGTCCCCAATGAATCAGTTGTAAAGCAAATCTGAGAGAACAGGAAATCCCAACACGTGAGATTTATGGTCTCATAGCTGTAAAAGACCGGGACTTTTCGGACCATCCGTCTTACATTGCTTGTTCACAAAAACTAATTGAACAAAACAACTTTTTACTAATACTTATAGCACTTTTTTTTCGTATTAAGCTAAGATTCAGTAATGATCTTTACACCCTGTATAGCGATTCCGTACAATAATATTAATAATTCGCGTTTCTAGTTGTTCATTCAGTACATAGTTTATACACCCTGGAATACTATCCAGTTATATACATATATCTCATCGTTGAAATTTTTAATAGTTGAATTTATATAATGTTGTACATTTTTTAATGTTGAATTCAATACAATTTCAATGGATTTTATTGTGTTCTTTTTTTTGTGGTTGCGTGGTATTTACAAGTGCGACGCGCTAATTTAATGACATATAGGAATCATCGGATGCCATGCTCTGTAATATGAAATCTGTTGCCTTTTTTTACAACATCAAAACTGTCAATGTCAAGCATTAAAGATAAGGTAGCCTATTTTAAAATTATAAAGGATAGAAGTGAGGAGCACAATATCTGAGTGGATTAAAAGTGTCCGCTAAAAAAAAGCAAATTAAGGTGGCGCCACAGTAGCAAGCGGAAAGATTTTAAAAACAGCGTCATAAACTACCACACTTCAATTCAATCCAGCACACTTCACTCTCTTTAAAACTGCTATACTCATTTAGGTAGTTTCCATTTCCTTCACTAGCGTTATTTCGGTCAGTCTTCCATCAATAGCTTGTTTACAACTGAATTTTTTTCAATTATCCCGTATACAAGATGGTGCTCCCTACTTGTACCCTCAATAGTTAAAATGAGATCGGACGCTTAATCGTCCACATGTAAATCCTTTAAACAATATTTAGTAAAATTTATAAAAATATGACCAGGTTAACAAATGTACCCACATTGTGTGTACAAAAGCAATTAATAAGACAGTAAATTTATTTTTCATAAACATACAGTCTAATTTATCAGGGGTGGCTTTGATAAGCTTTTGTAATTTGATTATATATCTTTGGCTATTATATAATATAATTATTTAATATAATATAATAAGAGAACTCGCCGGTGAATAAAAATTATAATAATTCATACTAATTGCTTTACATACTATTTGAGAAAAACGATAGAATGACCGATGCTATAAATAATAAAAAAGGGGAATATTGAACTTCACAGGTAATTCTGTTATACTATGAACGGACTTAAACAAGACAGTTATAAATTAGAAATAATAATTATTTTTGAAAATTTGTCTTGAAAACTCATGAATTACTTTTTGTCTAACTGTTTCATGTATATATTTTTTTGTTTTTAGTAAGCATTCTGTCACTGACTGTCTGAAGTTTTGGTTTCTGTTCGATAACTTAAATTCAAAATCACTAAAATTCTTTGTGAAGTGAATATGAAAAATTTTGGGCCAAATACTACATTAAAAATCTTAATTCACTTAGGATTTATCAATAAATAACAAGTAAATAATGATTGTTAAGTTTGAAAATATTAGAAATATAAAATGATGTATGTACTGAAATGTACGGCTAAATGTAAAAATATATTATATATATTAAAATTTATCAACACATGCACCAGTAGAATTAATGTATTTATTAATTAAGTAATATATTATTTAATAACATTTTATGAGCAAATTATATATAATACTAGTACTGAGGTGGGGAACCAAAGATGTGGTGTTACACGAAATTGTAATATTTTCATTTAACAATATCTTAATATTATGAGAAATCTCATACATGTATATGGGAGACGAAATCACAGATTACCGATTGTCTACGTAGCACTATGCTTTTATTGATTACCTTTTTCCTACATAGACATCTGAACGAGCCATATCCAGCTGATGCTACCTGGTAGCCGGAGCCCATAGACATGAGATCTAAGTCTCAATTGCTTAATATGATGGTTATCCCTACCTTCAATTTCCACAGGACAATAATGTCCCTGCCTGCGAGATTTGAACACCGACATCCGTCGTAATATCCTTTGCTCTTTCAACGTTCGTGTTAGATAGAGATAGAGAAACATACGAGAACAACTCGAACATTCTAAAGCGCTATAACTTAACTTCATTTCTATAATTCAAAAAGCATCTTCAAATTGTTGTCCATCATGTGGATGACAAAGATAAATAGAATATAAAATAAATGGTTTTAAACAGAAAAAGAGGGAGTATCTATACATTGGCAAATGAGGTTCACTATGTATATGTGTGACAATATGTTATGAAGCACTCTGGACTTATGGAGCTCTGGTTAAAATTCTAAACATGACATACGTCTTCTCAAAAATGAGATAACAAAAATGGTCAATTCAATAATTAAGTTTTCACATGGATATTCTTAAAGTTTAATTGAGCTCAAACCATCTAACTGCTACTAAAAAAAGGAGCAAAGGATGAATCTTTTCCAGAGCTTCAGTGTTAATATTGTGGAGCTACACCGACACATCAAATTTGAACTTTAGTACCCTGAAAATAAGTTCTGACATACAAGAGCTTTTTCTTGTTAATGAACGAAATAAAATCGCAAATTAAAATGTCACAGAGAAATAAAAATTTTATTAATCGTGATAATTATATTAATACTTACTAGGGTTGAGCTAGTAAAAAAAGGTGATTGGATCATCTAGGATTTTCGGGATAAATCTTCAGAAAATAACATCAACCAAAGCAGCTTATGAACCGGTATCATGTCTACCGTCATTTACAGCTACGGGTAGCGCCGAGACAACACGTGGCCTGACCACGGAAAGGGAGATGTTATTTATTTCTTTTAATTTTAGAGAAGTCACGATCGCCTTTGAAGTTTCGGCTTTAAGCGTACGACGCTTCATGAATAACAGAGATGACGCTCTATAAAGTTGAAGCTCTGTCTCATTCTAAAGCCCGAACTCAAATCCAGGGTGTACTAAATGCAGAATTTGATGTGTCCATTGTTATTCCTGTGTGTTAGTTTTATCGAGACTGTATGTTAGTAGTATTCGCGCTCCGCCCCAACCGAGAGGGCGGAGGGAGCGCGCCAAAACACAAAATTATTGTTAAAATGTAATGTTACGTTTTAACTGTCGATTCACTATCGATAAATTTTATCGTTTCTAATAAAATGGTTGAAAATAATTCAGAAAGTTGTTTTATTTGTTACTAGCTGACCCGGCAGCCTTCGTAGTGCCATTCTCATCGATGAACAATTCGGATTCCGTACAAATCACTCATGCGTTCAACAGGTGCACCGCCTCACGGAGCACATTCTTGTGGGGCTTAATCGACCAAAACCGTTATACACGGGAGCTCTCTTCTTCGACGTCGCAAAAGCGTTCGACAAAGTCTGGCACAACGGTTTGATTTTTAAACTATTCAACATGGGTGTGNTGAATCCGTTAGATTACAAGATATGGCAACACTTGGAGGAAAAGGCGTGCTCAAAGCCTCATCCCAATTTGGAGTCACTCAAGACATCCTTGATTAAGTCAGCCGCCGATATTGACATGGACCTCGTTCGTGCTGCGATAGACGACTGGCCGCGCAGATTGAAGGCCTGTATTCAAAATCACGGAGGTCATTTTGAATAAACTTTAGTGTCATAAGGATCTATGTTTTGTTTAGTTCATTTTGGTATATGAATGGTTACATAATGAATAAACTTGTTTCAATTATTTTACATTAAACATGTGACAGAATTTATGACCTGACTAGATATTATTATATAGATTTCAGATATAAAAATATGTATTTCTGCAACTGATGCATTTATACGTTCCAAGACTTCTTGATGCGGTGATGTTCTTGCAGTGGTTCTTGAAACATGCGCAACAACTCAAAGTTAACACCCGCTTTAATAGGGCCACATCTTAGTACGAATTTGCTCATCCACCAAGTATTTAAGAAGGGTGACTTGAACCAGAAAATTATTAAAAATATATTATTCTGTTCTATTCTATAATACAAAAAATAAACCTCTTTTCATATTCTATTAAGCTTCTCGCGAGTTTGTACGGTCATCGTTCTCGTCGAACCCGTCGCTTGCGACGAAGGGCTCGACGAGTAAATAAACCCACAGACACAGCCCACTGAGGCCACTGAGCCCAATACCAATATATTAAATTTGAAAGTTTTTTGTTTATTATTAATTATGGAAAAAGCCCACTGAGGTTCTCGCCGGATCTTCTCAGTAGGTCGCGTTTCCGATCCGGTGGTAGATTCTGCGAAGCACGGCACTTACTAGGGTTCGTTTCGCAACGTGCCCCGTGAGCTCACCTACTAGTTAAGGCTACGCTGAAATAGCCTCTCAAGGCTATCAGCTTAGGTAGGAAAAAAAAAGAACAAAAAGCGAGTTTGTTGGAAGATATTTCTCAAACAGTGTTTTGTACGTAGTTTTTTTTATTAGCATTGGGTTGTATTTTTTATCTGTACTTAAATAATTTTGTTTCCTGAAGGTATTTTTGATTTTTTTTGCTTAGAGAAGTGGACGAGCTCAAGGCCCACCTGGTGTTAAGCTGTTACCGGAGACATTAACAACATAAATTCCGCCACACAGCTTGAGATACGAGTTTTTTCATTTCAGTTTTACAACAACGGCTGCGCCACCCTTCAAACTAAAACGCATTACTGTTTCACGGCTGAGATAGGCGGGGTGGTGGTACTTACTCGTTGGCCTAACATGATGCCCTATCACCAGTAAAAAGCGAACTTTGCATGTGCATACCTACGCTTCTCCGACGTGTACCTATATATTTCGTAAAGGGCAGTATTTTCTGTCTTTGACACTTGACACTTTTTGATTAGACCAAAAGTAGTAATATCGCTCGTCTTGCGTTATGCAAAAAAATAATGTAAAACAACAATCAGACATATAATTTATTTCTATTTCCATACCAAAATACATTTTAATAATACACATCCTCGAATACATACAAACATCAGAAATGATAACACAAGTACATACAATTAATAATATATTTTAACAAACGCATTTTTATTAACTACTCGGTATATAATTTTAAAACTAACTCTACACAATTTTATATGTATAAGTATTTTATATTAAAAATTCACACTTAACAATTCAATCAGACGCCAAAACTGAAGGAAAATTATCAAAATCTTTTTTAACCATTATCTAATAAGTAATTACAAATTCGATGAAAGACATGACATACTGTTTGCATTCTTGCCACTCGAAAAATTATGTCAATACTATTATTTTTGCATAAAGATAGGCAAATAAATAAATAATAGATCTCCAAGCTTTGAATAAAGACTTAGATTTGGAGCGATAAAAAAATCAATGAACATCTATTATGAGAAACATCTATTTTGATTATGAGAGAGCGCCACGAAATATGGTAATTATAAAGGTGAATGAACTCTCAAAGATGAATCCACAAAATTCACATACGACTAGTGTAATTATAAATATTGTACACACATATTATTATCAAAGTTGTAATACTGCTTTAAAGTGCTACGTGTATGTTTAGATATGTGTAGGTTACTGGTATTTAGTGTATTTTAAACGAAATTGGGCTAGGGTCATAGTTCTCCCCCTCACTCCGGCGTACAGGCTGGTCGTGGCGAGAGCTTCTGTTAGCCAGGAAAACCCGGACAAAGCGAGGACGCAGTAGGTACTACATAAAGATTCCTCGTATACTTTAGTTAGGTTTAGGAGACTTAGGTGGCGGTATCCAATAACAATAAGCGTGGATTAGTAGTGTCTCAGTAGAGAATTGATCTCCGGATCTTCCTATGGCCGTGAGGAACTTGCACATTATCACTTTTAACTATTATATTTCATTAGCAGGGGAAGATGGAATTACTGTACAATCGATACGTTCTTATTAGTACCCAGCAGACGGATGAGTAACAATTTGTTTTTCGCGAACAATAAAAGTCAAAGCTCTCTAAATGCAATACGCAAAAATTTAATTAAACACTGAGGATTGCAAATTAATCATTCGACATTGTTGCCCTGACACTTTGAATGGTTAGACTGTTCTATTATCTTGATGTACTCCGGCCGGACATTACCCAACATATTTGTACGAAAAGCTTCGTAATCTCTTACGCGAATTTTATAATACGATAAACGAAGTATGAAGTATTTGGCAGACTAAAACTTGTGTAGTATCGTGTTATCAATATGCGCCATAAACTTTTTGAATAGTTTAGCAGGGTAAATAAATGGCGCGCTAATCTTGACAGCTAATTATTTTGACGTTTTAAATTACATAGGTATTAATAAGTTAAAATATTTTTCCATTGGTTTTGCAGTAGGTATCAGTTAAAAAAGCTTACCATCCCCAAATATATAATTTAACAAATTGTTTAGACATCTGTGCAGCGTCAAATAACGTAGTAGGTATATAATTATCTAAACAGATAACATCACACGAAAACATTAGAAAACAGACAGTACGTCGACACTTCATTCAGTCTTCTCGTTGCACACAGCTCATACGAACGATAAAGAAAACTACTTGTACACATATCGATAAAAAGTTAAAAACATATTTATAAACATTAATTACATATAGGGGTCCGCAATACTAGGCCGACATGCGACAGGACGATTACTTAGGACGAGAATTTTGGCATTATTAGAATGGTGAGTTTGAAGTACAACGTGTCTTATTTATTGATGCTATTTTTATTTTTATATAGATACTCGGACGTATTTTTTTTATGTTTTCATATACGCTGTGAAGAATCTCTTTAAATTTTGTTGCATTTCAAACTTTACATACCACATCACGTCGTCATCAGTTCAGCGAGGCCTCTTTTTCAAAATGTTATTAGACTACTTACTAATGTCCATAAATATTAAGTCTATAATGCTCTTTTTGTCGCAAGCTGACACTGTTTCCACAGACAAAAAGTATGTAATTTGGTTTCGTCGAAACGGAATAATTATTCGAAAACAATATTAATTTTCTAAGTTAAGTATAAATAAATAGTTATGGTCGGATGTTTAAAGTATAAAGTTTTGTTCGTGGTTGTACGAAAACATTATTTCTAACGGGGTCATTAGAAAAGCATGAACGATCTGTCATGTTTCCGGTCATTTGTAGTGTAATAAAGCGATATGCGACGAGGTTGCCATGTGCCCAAAAAATTTGGCGTGCAGAACTTTAGTTGAAAACTATGATTTACAGGGTTATTATTCGTACTATTTCGAACGATGAGCAATTATTTGTTGGACACTGAACCTAGAAGATACTTTGTGTCATGTATAAAAGCCATATTAGGACGCGGCCGAAAAAGAAGAGTATTGCGTTCTAAAATAATTTAAAGTCTGAAAAGGAGACTTAATCATCAACAAATAAAGTAATGGTTAAAAAAACTAACAAAAAAAATTGCTAAACTGCACAATTCAGAATACTGGAATTATTTGTTTAATGTAGGTAGGTAGGTATATACCTACTTGTTTATAATAAAAAAGGTAAATTATTTATTTTAATTTAAAGTCCATACAAAACCTAAAAACAAACAGGCAAACGCTTCATAAACACGGAACGGAACGGAAAAGTTTAGTTTCACAGAGAAATCTAAACATCGAAATACTTTTTAGCTTTGCAACAAGATATATCTTAAAGAACAACATACAAATGTCTTCGACAAAGTTTTAGAGTAAACAACACCGACACGATACTTAATTAACATCTAACAACGATAGGTACGATTATTTTAGATATGCTCTACAGTTTGGTCCTAAGGCGACGTGTATCGCTAACAAAACTATTTTGAATGCAGTCGACACAAAATCATTCAAGGTGAAACAAAACTACAGCTAAATTACTGAAAACTATTTAATCATAGTTATTATATTTAAGTATTTATTGATTTCAAATTTTTAATAAAACTTCTTGACATGTGACAGCGCAACATTGCGTAGTTCGATTGTGATGTCATTGTCACGGCTGGCAACGGCTTATGAGACAGCCGGAAAATTGCATTAAAACGGTTTGATCTTTACCTCGAGCCCTGCTTAATATGAAGATAACACGCGATCACGTACGACAATGCGAATTCAACAAAATAAAGAATCACTCAAATAATTTTTTCGTATAAATATTACAATTTATTTACGATTTAGTTACAAAATTAATAATAGTTCTGTTACATAAAAAACGAATGAACTTTTTTTTTCTCAATACTAATTAAGTGATGTTCAAAACGTATTTTTCATTAGGCCTCAAACTTTGTAAATTATTTAAATAAACGTCCACAGACAATTATATATTTTTTAGCCTTTCACTAAAGTAGTAATACCTTAGAGGAAGCTAATTACAAAGGTGAGCCTATGGTCGAAGACCATAGTGAGGTACAGTAAATGACGGTAGAACATGAGTTATTTGATGGAGCACGCGAACTGTGCGCGGAGTCGCCGTAACGAAGAGGATTCCTGTAGAGACAGTTCAAATAAAATCTTCACCAAATTCCAATGTAGTAAATTGAAATGAAAATGTTCGTGTTTAGGCGATACAAAAGCTAGGTTGAGTCTAGGAGTGGTGTCAGTTTACCTTGATCAAGTGCTGGGGCTCTCCGGCGGCGGCTGTGTTATCGTTCTCGACGTCATCTAAATGAAATATTTAATGAATATTAAAGATAACAAGAACTTCTGTTTATTGATCCAACATAACTTAATCTCATCATCTTAGTTGTAATGCATTCTGCATTCTGAGTATGATATCCACAGTCTGCAATCGTCAAGCGGTATTTCCTGGTGCCTGGCGGTTTCCTGGTAGGCCGGGAAGGCATGCACAGAGGGCTTCAATCATCATGCTTATTTCTAGTACCAAGCAGTAGTTCCAGTTTAAGGGAAGAAAAATTTCGACAGACTTTGACCTGTGTATGAGATTAATTCATCGACTTATACGTCATATATCATGACGACATTAATTCATCACTCGTCTATGGGCGCTCACTTAACATTAGACGGGCCGCGAGTAATTCACCGAACTACGCAATCATTTTTATAATGACATCTGTCAAGCCGGCTTCAATTTTTTAATTTCAATTAGCGCGACCCTGGACTTCGTCTTTTCGACCAATCGACGTCGAGACTCAAAACAAATAGCGGAGTATAAAGACAGTAATGGCTACCCGAGGAGTGATATGTGTGTGCTGTGGTGGGGGGCTGTATGTTGCCGTTGTCGTCCGTGTCCGTGGCGCTGGAGCCAGATGGGGCTGCTGATGTACCAGATCCACCTGAGGCAAGGTACTTTATTGAGCTTTTATTACTAGACGCTCGTTTATTTATTTATTTATCTAAAAAAGTACTGCCACATCACAAACATTTAACATTAAAAATAACAAACTATTTCATTTATGGCCCGATGCATGTCTCAATAATGACGTACATAACATTGGCAATTCATCGGCCCGAAGATGGAATACAATAATAAAAATAAAAAGAATACCTAATGAAAACATACTTTGAAATTCAAATTTAACAACTCGTTCGAACATGATTTTTACTGATTACACTCATCTCGAACGCGTAATTTCTACCATTCTTCCCGTTGACTTCGGTTCCAAAGCCAGAAAATAAATAATTTCTAATAGTTGCAATAGATCAGTTAATTCTGTATTACTTTATTTGTAACTTCCCTTGTACAATCTTTAGATATGTTCCCGCTACAGAATACACCGCTTTTTCTATCATTTTTTCAGACTACCTCCTTTTTTATTATGTCACGTCCCCACAACTGCCATTGTTCCCACCAACAGTGTTGCCATTTGCCAATCCGAATATTGTCATAATTTAACATGATAAATTTTATTTTAATTATTTTACAACAAACCTTACATTTCTATTCCTGTTGCAAATCAGTCTACACATATATATATGTATATAGCAATATATCCAATTGACATATTGTATCTCGAGCGCGCTCATTACTTACTGTCCGTGTGCCGGCTGATGGTGAGGCTGCGTGATGGCGAGGCGGAGGCCGACGAAGAGTCCAGGTCCAGCTCCGAGGCTGAGCTACGTCCGGAGCTCCACGAGCCGTCCGGGTCCTGCTCCATCGCTTCCTCCTAAATACGACGACACAATTATGTCGAATTAAAAATTCTGTCCAAAAGAACTCTTCAGAGATATGCTGACTAGATTTATAGTATTCATAAAAAATACTATTAGGGTCTCATCTAAAATGAAAAATTGGCTTTGGCTTTTAACATTGCGCATAACTCTTGAAGAGTCCGATTTAGATAAACAGCATGTTGTCGAAATGATCGGCTTCAGGCAAGCATTTTCTCCAGCTCACTGTGTAGGTGCCTACACTTGTGCCAGGAATTAAGACCTTGAATGTGAAATTTCTGAACTGAAATCGAACGAGGCTATACAGTACAGTCACTGGACCAAACATTCCAACTGCTTCGGTATAAATAAAGATTTTTTGCAGTCCGATGTACAACAAATCTAATGTTGCACAAACAGATAGTTACCGGTTCGTGCTTGGTGCGCAGCCGCCGCGCCTCGCTCGCCGACTCACTGGAGCTGTCCCGTCGCTCAACTTCTTCTGACACACAAAACATTTTTATCATTGCATCAGACCTTATTCCTGGGTAGTGGGGGTCTAGAATACAACCACCTCATCTATTCCCGTAGAGTTCGTAAAGGGAGACAGAAGGATTCGCCAGAGAATGGGCACCAGCGTTACTCGAGGGTCGTATGTATATTGCCTATGGCCAACTCACATTTATTTGGGGTACCACCATCTTGCCGCTTCCTACTACGAAGCAAAAATGCGTTGCGGTTTGATTGAGATATAGGTGATACAACATAACAGATACTTCGAACTCATGTCTTATGGATCTTATGCATAGTGACACATTGCGATGTTTTTTTTTGTGATTGAACGATCACTGGTGGCCCGGAGGTCTTTCCAGTTTCACCAGGACAGGGGGGCGAGCACAGGCTCAGCCGGGAGGGGTGGGATTTGCAAACAGCTGCCCGAGCGCCTCCGAAGAAGACCTAACATTGCGATGTCTATTAGTTGCACTGACCACTTAATGATCGAGTAAATGAGATTAAAAAAATTTATGAAGAGTAGGAATAGGATAGTGCTTCTTTGAGCAGTGTTACAATGACAGCTTCCACCAGTTCCCGTTTGGAACCCCACAAATCACTGTAACCAGAGAACACTAGGTGCAATTGTTATTGGAACGAAGTTCCTTATCGCACGTTGCGAAAGGGGGCTACACGGAAAAAATTAAGACCAAAAGTTGTAACGACACTTTTTGCTATAGTCGTAAGCCGTGCGACGTGCGCGTGTTTCTCTGTCTCTCTCTCTCTCTCATAGAAAGCAAGCCAGTTATTTTCGTTTCGTCTTTCTATTTCGCATTGAACAGTGTGGTGTCGCGACGATTATTTTTGTTGATCGTATACAGGTTTTTTGTACACAGAAATATTATTATAACTTTAAAAAAAAATTATTACAATTCCTTCACTAATTAATCGAAAGTAACTTCGTTCCATCCGGGTGTCCCTTGACACCTCTCAAGTTTTTTTTAGTGAGCACTTGGCGGTTTTGTTACCAGCTTTCTGTTGTGCATCCAGCTTGTTTTGCAGCAGCGGGTAGAAGCCGCGCGCGGTGGCGTTGTGCGGCTCGTACTGCAGGATCAGCTTGCAGTACTTCAGCGCCTCGGCGTACTCTCGACGCATTATTGCAGACAGAAACTGCAATACGAAATCACTTTTTTTTCCTACCTAAGCTGATAGAGAGGCTATTTCAGCGTAACCTTAACTAGTAGGTGAGCTCACGGAGCTCCAACCGGAGTGATGCTAACACTGACCCTAGCAAGAGCAGTGCTTCGCAGAATCTACCACCGGATCGGAAACGCAACCCACTAAGAAGACCCGGCGAGAAACTCAGTGGGCGAAATCGCTGGTTACGCCCCAACGTGTTCTCAATCTACATGGACTGTATATTCTATTCTATCAGCTCACAGAGGTCCACTAATGGACATAGGCCTCCCCCAAGCCTCGCCACAAAGATCGGTCCTGTGCTGCCTGCTATGTTTTAGTCTTTTAGGTCTCATAGAAACAAATTCATTCACAGTATCTTCGGATTCGTCCTTCCCAGAGTCTACTAGATATTCCGGCGCCTTAGTAACAGAAATCGACATAATTGCTTAAGTACGCCACGTAGGGCGCTGGTGACGTACATCGCAGTCAAAGCGTTAAATATAAACAGCCTTTACAATTCTTCTATTCGGGAAAAGTTCTCAGCTAATTAATAATATTCAGTTGAAGCTAATTCAAAAATGAGGAAAATGCACAAATAGTAACCTCGGCAAGAAACTCGCTGGGCGCCGACATGGTCTCGTTACCGTCGGAGCAGTCTTCAGGGCTGGTGGAATGTCTGTTGGTGGTTTCCATGCCGCCTCCCGGCAGACGGACGACGAGCCCCCGGCCCGGTGAGCGCGCTGACCCCACCCGCTCTTCAACCAGACGCAGAGCAGCACAAGATGCTGTGTCTAATGCTCGTCCAGCGCTCACGGCAGTCCAGGTCACGCGAGCTTGCTTGGAGATCGGCTTCGGCGGAGGCGGTCCCGGCCTGTACAGCCGCGCGTTGGGCACGGGCCGGCGGAAGAACCGCTTGCGCTTTGACTGTTGGCTGTCCTTGGGCTCAGCTGGCTTGGTCTCCGTTGCGCGGTCTCTCTTCACTTTTTTAAATTTCGCCTGGGGCCCAGGATACCTGGTGCAATGTCAGATTTAACAATTAAATTGGCATGTGCTTCACGTTATCTACATGCGTTGGAGATGGCTCATTGCAGCCATTAAGACTAGCGAACGACATCTTGTACACCAAAATACAATAAGCTATAAAAGAGCCGTCCTCTTTTGTATAAAATGATATGTGAAATGTCAAAATTCTGTCTTGACCTTGCCGTAATCGGGTAAAATAACTGATGGTAACTAACAATCTCGGATTAGGAGTGTAGGTTGAAGCGACCCGCGCGGGTTTGCTGCTCACGCGTTCTGGAGGCACACTTCGGATCCCCCTCGGTGCTCCGAGGTCTATAATATCGACTTCCTCTTCCAATTCAGCTTTGAATGTACTGTTAAGCAACAAGATGCAAAACAACAAACGTTTACTTCATTTTATACTTATGGAACAATTTGGGCTACTTTAAAATACATTTTACTTGGTAGACTTATGCAGAAACGAGGCTGACCTCTTTAACCCTCCAAAAGAATCTAATATTTTCTCTCTAAATCCGTCTACTCGCCTAAATTGAAATGTTCTGCAGTGGAAGAGTGCTGCTGATAAAACGTGCCTTGAGTCCGCACGCGTTACCACCAAAGATCAATCCATACAAAGAAGTAATATGGTATAGAAGGTATTATTACTCTAAGAACCCATATTTATTTACACGACAGCATCTCTTCAAAGTAACTGGCAAAATGGTCTCCTCAAGATCTCTCTTCTTAGATGTATTTTTAGTTTGAATGGTCTTAAAAATAACACATAAATCTTTAAGAAAATGGACGGTGTGTGTGTGTGTCCATTTTCGAACCAAAAAGGCGTATTTATGTATGTACGTATTAGGTACAATTCGACCGTGGCTAATGTTAACGTTTTGACAGCACGTCAGTTCCACACCGGCAATCAATTACCGGCGGAACTGCCGGGTCATCACGCTCCTCCGCTCTGAATACTATTAACGCCTACGGTATTCAAATTCTCTGATAGATTACCCCGAAAACATTTAACAGCGCTGTGAAGTGCTTGTCATTGACGATATGAGTATCGAAGATTAATTGACGTTTCAAATGACGTTTATTACTGGTGGTAGGACCTCTTGGGAGCCCGCACGGGTAGGTACCACCACCCTGACTATTTCTGCCGTGAAGCAATAATGCGTTTCGGTTTAAAGGGTGGGGCAGCCGTTGTAACTATACTTGAGATCTTAGAACTTATATCTCAAGGTGGGTGGAGCCTTTACGTTATAGATGTCTATGGACTCCAATAACACTTAACACCAGGTGGGCTGTGAGCTCGTCCATCCACCTAAGAAATAAATATAAATTAAAAAATGTATTAAACGTGACTGATTTTCTATTCTTTAGTCATACTTCAGACACCTGTGGTTATTTGCTTACCGAATCACAACCGTCACAAGATTAAGGCCGCCACAAACCAGACAATGGCGGAGACTCGGCTGTACAGTAACTTAACGGGTGTCTCACCCTTTAAACAGACTTTTCTTTCCTACCTAATCGTTGGTAGCCTAAGGGGCTATTCCAACTTCACGAATAGGTGTGCTCACGGGCACAACCTGAGAGAATTGCCAACACTAGCCCTAGCAACAGCAGTGCTTCGCTTTAAACAGACATTTTACTCCTTCACGGCAGAATTAAGAGGGCTCCCTATACGCCCAAACATCACTTTATAAGCTTTGACAATTGTTTTTCATCACACGATATTACTATTTTATCGTAATCCTCATTTAGGTAGGTAGGTAGGTTAGGTAAGCAATTCCTTAGATTTGTTTTACATTTAACGTCAGAATCACTCCGAAAATGCGAGGAGGTATTTACTTTTGCCTTCAGCAACGATCTACCCCAATCTAATTCCCAATCTATAGACATCACGTAATACCGTACCCTATTTTCTCTAATATCTTCCCAGAAATAATTTAACTTGTTTCCTCAATAAGCCACAGCGAAAGCTTCTTTGAAAGCAGGCATTAATGTAATTATCTTAATAACATCAAAGTTCAAATGGAACGCAAAACAAATTAAATTATAATCTAGTTAGTTAGACCAAGGTCAAGGACATGAATCGATCGCTTCCTCCACGAGCCGTGCTGAATGCAACCGAGGTGAATCTGCCCCACCTCCTAAACACCCACATTTAAATTACCGTAGTGTTGCACTGCATTAGACGCCTCACTTCTTCTAGGTACCTACCTCTAGTATAACAAATTTATCAATTTCGTGAATTCTACTAATTATGTGGAAGGCATTGGGGAAGGCCTATGTCCAGCAGTGGGCAGATAAAGGCTGATGATGATGATGATGATGATGTGAATTCTACAGTCGAAGGTCAGTTTAGGATGTTGACAGATACTAGACGCGTCCTTACGGATCCATCAGATCCAAATAACCTTTGCGTTAGACGCCTTCAGCTCTAACATTAGGAGTAGGCTTAGGGACGAGTAACCGTTCTCGTCGTACTCGACAAAGAGGTTGACGTGCAACCTAACCCATGCATCAGACCGCTGAGTTTCACGTCGGATCTTCTCAGCGAGTCGCGATTCCGATCGGGTAGTAGATTCATTCGCGAAGCAGCTGCTCTTGAGTTGCTAGGCCTCCTTCAGAGGCGCTCGGGCAGCCGTTAGCAACTCCCACCCCCCCCGGCTGAACATTTGCTCGCCGACCTGTTCTGGTGAAACTAGAAAAAGCATCTGAACCACCAGTAATCACTCGAAAAATAAAAAAAGTCGTATCTCTTCATCAGACACCGGAGCCCGTAGACATTACAAAGACACTGCAGCCTTCCAGCTTGAGATACGAGGTCGAGGCCTCAAATGTATGTCTATGAGAACAGCTGCAGTTCTTTAAGCCGCAACGTCTCGGTGCTTCGTGGAAGAAAAAATCAAAACAGCGTTACCGACCCGTGCAGACTCAAAATACCTTATGATGGCGCCCCCACGCGGCTACTACATTAGAAGGTCTATACAAACACAATTAAGGTTTTATTTCGCGTTTTATTCTTCATTTTACAACATCCGACCTTTCGAATATCGAATAATATAGGAGAAGAAGATAACTTCTCAAATTATTTCTACACGACGTACCGACTTCTGAAAGCATTCGTCACCCAAAGCTCGCCTAGGAGGAACATTTACACATTTTTTATTTAAAATCGCCAGTTACAATGGCTTACAAACAAAGATTGTCTCATAAAAATAGAACAGCAACTTTTGTTACAATTCCCAAGCAATTTACATACGCTTTCGCTACGAAGCGTATTAACATAAGCGGAATTGTTCACAACGTTATGCAAAACGGATCCAACAAAAGTTTGGCTACTCTAAAATAAAATATTAAGTCGAAACAAAAAAAAAATTAATTAAAATACACACAAACTTTGCTAAAAACGATGCTGCCTAATTTTGCCTCAATGTGGGTAGTGGCATTAACGTAGTTGATGCCTATGGACACCAATGACCACTTAACACCAGCTGGGCCGTGAGCTCGTCTAACCTTCTTGGCAATAAAATAAACTGCTGTCACTGCGTAGCAACGTTTTAATTATTGTGACTTTGGTATACTGTATTATTCGCATTTTGATTATTATTAATTAGACCGGTGCGCAAGCACTATCTATTATTAAGTGGTCACCGAAGGTCATAGACAAACACAATACAAATGCTTAATTGAGCGAATTTTAATCTTAACATGAATACTGTGTCGATACTATTTTGTCAACTTTTAGTGGTTCACCTGTACCGATGAAAATTTTTTGAATAAAAATGTACCACATCACTAAATAATTTTTTTAAATTCATCGCTAGATGGATACTTTCTGCATCACAGTTGAATTTAGAACACCTACAGACCGTTCAACTCTGCGAAGGATGTTGTCACAGCTGGCAGACATTAGCATTTGATTGTCAAGGACCGAGTCGCTCCTTAATCGATAGGACAAGGGAATCGTCCTGAATGTTCTTAATCATAAATAGCCAACCAGCCAGCTCACGTATGAATAAACTCGAAAATAATATTAATGACAATAAAAAACATGGGATTAAACCGTAAAAGTAAATTAATCATTTAAATAGGCAGCGTCTTGGCTCTGCCCCTGATATTGCTGAAGTCCATGGGCGACGGTAACACCACTCACCATCAGGTGGGCCGTATGCTCGTCTGCCAAAAAGGGCAATAAAAAAAATTGGTTTGCTTTTAAATTAATTAGCCTTATACATCACAGCGTAGTTATTTTTACAAACATCAATGTGCAAAGTCGCTTATGGGGAGAGTGACATTGGTAGTGCCACCATGAACTCCACGTTTCTGTAGATACCACATTCTAATTCTAACGCAAAGCAAAAATGCCATTGCTCTTATAGAAATATGGACTTTTTTCACACAGCCCCCAATTTCATAAAGATTTGTGTACATACGTCAGTGTAGTCAGAAACTTAATGATTCCTTGCAAAATTGATAAGCGCCCTACAATTGAAATACTTGCCCCGACCCGCACGTAACCCCAGCGGAATGAAGAAATACCAAACTGCAGACATCGTATACTTTTAATGGAATTGAACAGACATTTTCAGGTCTTTTTTACGAAGGAGGATGAGTTTCAAAGCACGCAGACTTTAAAATTAACGTTACCTTTTTGTTTGTACGAAAGTCAACAAACTTGAAATAAAATAAATGTTAAGTAACCCGTACGTTATGACGTGAATCAAGATGAATTCATCGTAAATCAAATTTATTTTTATTCATTGATATTTTAACACCTTGGGTGCGGCAAGTAAAATAATAAACCTTCGTCTGGTCGAAATGCGGCCCCAACGATATTTCCACCAGAGCGCGGTAGATCTTTGTCGATCCATCAGCCCTAGCCATTTTTTTTAGTTGTTGGTTACACAGGTTAACAGTTTATAGTTGTCGGTGTCTAGCTCGTACAAATACCATCGTCAAAGAGCGTCGGAATACCGACTATGACGCAGTTTGATTAGGTATTTAATAGGTATTAGGTATCGACCTGCATAGACGTGTCTTAGAGCGCGCATTCATAACGTTTTTAATAAGTTAATAACATTTATAAGTTATCATTCTCCTGTCCTTCTCCCAATCCAGGTGATTGGGAGAAGGGTCGACGCAACTTGTTTTCTCCTTCCATACTCCTCTTTCAAATACCCTTTCTTCGCTCACTCCCCTCTTACACATATCGTCTTTCACGCAATTCATCAATTTCTTCTTAGGTCTACCTCTTCCTCTACATCCTTCCACATCCATAGTTAACTCTCTCTTACCAACCTCAATTTCATTTCGTCTCATCACCTGTCCATACCATCGCATTCAAATCATCTATACCAATCCATTAATTATATTTATAAATAACCATCTAAAATTAGTTTACTGTGAATTTGGTATTGATTTTTGTATTTTTTTAATGTTTTTTAAGGTACTTTTATTCAAAGATCCTTTTGCAATCATCGCATAATAAGTAAAAATAAGCTCAGCACTAAAACGGTTAAAACAAAGCACGTGATAAGGTTATTTACTAAATAACGCGAGAAGAGAAAGTAAATGACGTAAGCAGTCTTTACACGATGCCCGATACGAAATACCTACTTTTCTCACCACAATACACATTACTCCGTGCAGAAAATTCGTAAATGAGAACATCCGGGAATGTATTGAATAGTAGAAGGGTATTGGGTCATGGAAGGTGGAAAACGTATAATAAAACACGTTTATAATAAAGCACACGTTCACTTGCACAATGAAGAATTGCGGTTATTTGAAAGCAAAACGATATATATGTATGTATGTATATGTCGAAGCAAAGCCGCCCACAGAATAATTAATAAACATAAATAATATTTTAATAATATTCGTTACTGTTATAATAATGAGTTGCGAGAACGTAGTTTTGTTACCAAAGAGAATAGTATCAATTATTTATACTGTGGGCGGCTCCTGAAGAACAAATATCGAATTACCGAAACACTTTTGTACCGGGCGTAGGCTTTTCGTGGGAAAAAAGTGGACGGTGTGTATAGTATTATAATCGAGTACCTACGTAAAATTTATTCAATACTCAATTTTCTTGGTTCACGCCTCCGTATACTGGGTGTTAGGAGACCGCTTCCGAAAACGAAGACAGACGATAGTTAGTACTAATGACACACACATAGGTTGTGACACATAGGTTGATGTCAACACTGGCAACGTTGACCCGTATCTACTTAAAAAACCTTCTTTTTTTGAAATACACCTTCGAACTTTGTGGAGAGTGCCTAATGGTAGCCAGCGGCTTGGCTGTGCTCCTGGTATTGTGACGGTAACCACTCACCATCAGCTAGGATATATATTCATCTGCCTATAAGGGCAATAAGAAAAAAGCAACTGACTTCGAGATTTTCGATTAACTCAAAAATTTGCATCCAGCCCTGATGACAAGACTGATAACTTTAAGCATCTTAATAAGTAATTTGAATCTTTCGCTCTAATAACATCGACCAGTATCGATAGAATAAAAATTAATTAAAATACATAATCTATACTAATATATAAATCTACAGTAGTTTTTACAGATGTTCCGTTATAACTACTGAACCATGCATCCGATTGACTTGAAACTTGGTATCCATGTAGAAAATACATGTACTTAATGCCTGTTCATAATGCCTAATATTTATGTGAGTGTTGGACTCCCTAATAATAATGACAATAAATAATTAATAATATTAATTTTAAACGCGCATCAGAGCAGGCGAGTACGGCTAGTATATTATAATTTTGAATAAAACTTGGTACACACGCATACCAAACTATCCGTGTCTGATATTGAACTTTGATTGAACTTCGATAGGGGATGTATGTACTGGCCTTAGCACGAGGTATCGGTCTCACAGGAGTACGATGATGTAACACATCCAAATACAAAGATTTTGACTTGATGCCACTAGGGAAATCGCACGCGTCTTGTTCGCATACATCTGCTAAATTGAGGCCAGAATATTTTACACACATTAAAAAAAACATAATATAAAGATGTTAATATTAACTTGAGCGACTATACCTACACATGTGCACTGCTTAAATCATCTTAGCCTTTAGAACAAAAGTACCAATTCGCCTACGACCCGGTCGGACTTGTCTTAATCCATAATGTGCCAGAAAATACCATCAAAATGAAGCTATGCCACGCATTATCATTCGAAATGGAGCGTTGCATACCAGAGTTTGCAAATGACAACGTTGTCTATAAAAGACGTGATCTCACTAGTTTTCAAGCAACAATTTTCAGATAAAGTAAATCCAGTCCCGATATTTCTATAAAGTTCATTTTACGGCTGTTATTCAGGTCCGCCACGTGACGGCACGCGGTTCGAACCAGTGTGCTTAGTGAGAGTTTTTTAACATTATCGATAACGTAAAAGTTAACTCAAATTTGTATGGAGCTGGAACGTTTGCCTACGTTTGCCGCTAGGGGAGCTGTTCCAACTGCATAGAAATTCGAATTAACTTTTACGCTATCGAGAACGTTAAAAAACTCGCACTAACCACACAGAACTTTAGTGAGGGCCCTAGTTACACGATTACGGTAGGTGTAATTTCATTATTATTATTAAATCAAGCAAGACATCTGCTGCTGACAAAAAGCACGTCTATTTAGTTCATACAAGACACAGAGACTGATTAGAAGACTCAAGATCATAAATCAATTATCAACGAGCCTAAGCTTCGTAATTTTCTACTTAATCGTATCAGAAACGAGATCCAAATGATACCAAAACACATGGATATAGCTTAAGGATTAGCTAGTAAGCCCCCCTATGTACCCCAGAAGGAGGGCATAAGGCTTTTCTGCAGTCACGGGTATTATCTACTTCCAACATTAATAAAATTGATACTTACTTTAAGCCATTACTGTATTCGATCGTTTCAGAATGCACAACTATGACTTCCTTCTTAGACGACGCCTTGGCAGATTCACGACTGTAAACAATTTTTTTTCTAAATAAATGATACGGCGTAAACAACTCAAAGAGCTTGAGAACCTCCTAGTGTTAAGTAGTTACCGAATTGAATGACGCTATTCGCCTTGAAATTTAATAAATAATCTCGATTGGAATTTATAACGGCTAGCTTGTCTTTCAAGCCTCAACGAAAGCTTGCTTCGCGGCAAACGAGGCAATTTGGTGGTACTTAAGCTCACAATATGCCCTAACACCAGTAAATTCCGTAATATCGATTTTGAAGTGTTACCGATTTCGGAATCACTAGCACAGCATACCGACTTCGTTTTCGCGAACGATGCAAACGATTCCACGTCACTAGTCGTCGTAAATGGAGCATAGAGACTCGCTCGGTTCAACGACACTAGAATTCCACTCTTGTGTTTTTCGAACAATAGATTTCTTTAACCTCTTTCCCGTGTCCACTAAAATTCAACTTCATACGAAGAACTATGTATCAAACTACAAAACTTCTTAAACAACGTTTTTTTTTTTAAATAATTGAATATTTTAATTAAATATTGGTTAAGTTTTTCTTGAGATAGACAATTATTATCAAATACTCGGCCGACCTCATGTTCAATATTAAAGTGCATCATTCCAAATGAGAACCGGCTCTAAATAGACACTTTTTAATACATTAAGCCGCCGTCGCCTGAAACATGTCTTGTCGGACCCCTCGACCCAATCTCGGAGCTTTTAGGCCCCTAGAGCACCGGTCACCGTCCTCGTCGAACTCATCCGTTACGACGAGCGAACTAGCCCATAAACACAACTCACTGAGTTTCTTGTCGGATTTTCTCAGTGGATCGCGACTCCGATTCGGCTAGTGTTAGCAAATTCTCTTAGGTTGAGCCCGTAAGCTCACCTACCCGTCCGGGCGTGGCTGGATACCTCTCGGATACCCGCGAATAGGTAGAGGGAAAAAACACAATTTTAGGAATAGTTATGGAGTTATCAACAGAGAGGTACACATAATTGAAAATATTTATTAAGGAACGCAAAAACTGAGATCACTGCACACCAAATGGTTGGCCGAGTCCTCGATCCCCATTGTATTAAATACCTACTTACCTTTTTCTATGACATAAATGCTGCAGTTTTAAGGTAATCCAACTGTAAATAAGTACTTAACAACGTAAATCAAATGCTAAAGCTACGTAGCACGGCTTGATGCATTGTTGCAGGTCACGCGGTCGGAAGCACGTCGCCTCCCTCGCCAGTACCGGGTACACGCGAACCAATAATTTGAATACTTCGAGCGTACCGTAATGAAGGTACGGAAACGAAAAAATAGGACGCTGCAAATGATACAAGTTGCTGGCGAGAGTGTCTGCACAACTTGCGCATGAAATGTTTTAAACTTTAGCGATTATATGCGTTTCGGTTTGAAGGGTGGGCAGCCGTTGTACTGTACAAATTGAGACTTTAGAACTCATGTCTCAAGGTGTGTGGCAGCATTTACGTTGTAGATGTCTATGGGCTCCAGTAAGCAGTTAACGTCAGGTTAAGGTGGGCCGTGAGCTCTTCCACCATCTAAGCGATAAATAAAAAGCACATGAGGCCTATCTCAGGAACCTTCCTTCACGAACCTTACGAACCGGAACGTATGACTGCTCCGCGACAGAAATACGCAAACTGGCGGTAGATGAAAAAAATACAACTTCTGAAATGGCTAAATCGGATAACACAATTTCGTCTACAAACAACTCAATTCGTCTATTGTTATCAAACAATTGCGATTACGTAAAGGGCGTATTGTAGTCGAGGCAATTGCGTTTAAAAGGGCCCCGGGTCAACAAAGTAGCCCTAATTAAATTAAAGGCGAGTTAAGGCGGTGTTTGATCGTTCGCATGTAACATTACACGCAAAAGCTGTATCAAAGTCTGCGGGAGGCTTTTCAATCAGCATGCGTTGGAGGGCGATAATAGGTTAGATTAGATTGCGAGCTCACAGAATCTATATATTAATACGTGAAGCAAAAACTTTGTATCCCTTTTTACGAAATTTACGCGGAAGGAGGAGTATGAAACTTTCCACACTTATAGAGAATATAGAGAAGAAGTGGACAATGCTCATATTTTTTTAAAATAATGCATAAAAGATACATTAAATCAATAAAGAAAACATGACACACACTACATACCATGTATTTGACGCACACACGCATGCATACTATTTATTGTCAAACTTTTGTTCTTTTTTTTTTATTGCTTAGATGGGTGGACGAGCTCACAGCCCACCTGATGTTAAGTGGTTACTGGAGCTCATAGACATCTACAACGTAGACGCGCCACCCACCTTGAGATACAAGTTCTAAGGTCTCAGTATAGTTACAACGGCTGCCCCACCCTTCAAACCGAAACGCATTACTGCTTCACGGCAGAAATAAGCAGGGCGGTGGTACCCATCCGCGCGGACTCACAAGTGGTCCTACCACCAGTAATTACGCAAATTATAATTTTGCGGGTTTGATTTTTATTACACGATGTTATTCCTTCACCTTCCTTCCTTACTGGTGGTAGGACCTCTTGTGAGTCCGCGCGGGTGGGTACCACCACCCTGCCTATTTCTGCCGTGAAGCAGTAATGCGTTTCGGTTTGAAGGGTGGGGCAGCCGTTGTAACTATACTGAGACCTTAGAACTTATATCTCAAGGTGTGTGGCGCATTTACGTTGTAGATGTCAATGGACTCCAGTAACCACTTAAGCAACTTAACACCAGGTGGACTCTGAGCTCGTCCAACCCATATAAGCAATAAAAAAATTAAATAAAATTTGTTTTTACCTTTCATATTTGCCCTATGAAGTTTCGATAACTGTTACCACTAGGTATACTAATAGTGACTAAATAAAAAAAATTTGGTAAATTCTTATTTTTTTTTTTTTTATTGCTTAGATGGGTGGACGAGCTCACAGCCCACCTGGTGTTAAGTGGTTACTGGAGCCCATAGACATCTACAACGTAAATGCGCCACCCACCTTGAGATATAAGTTCTAAGGTCTCAGTATAGTTACAACGGCTGCCCCACCCTTCAAACCGAAACGCATTACTGCTTCACGGCAGAAATAAGCAGGGCGGTGGTACCCACCCGCGCGGACTCACAAGTGGTCCTACCACCAGTAATTACGCAAATTATAATTTTGCGGGTTTGATTTTTATTACACGATGTTATTCCTTCACCTTCCTTCCTTACTGGTGGTAGGACCTCTTGTGAGTCCGCGCGGGTGGGTACCACCACCCTGCCTATTTCTGCCGTGAAGCAGTAATGCGTTTCGGTTTGAAGGGTGGGGAAGCCGTTGTAACTATACTTGAGACCTTAGAACTTGTATCTCAAGGTGGGTGGCGCATTTACGTTGGATGTCTATGGGCTCCAGTAACCACTTAACATCAGGTGGGCTGTGAGATCGGCCACCCATCCAAGCAATAAAAAAAAAAAAATCCTCTGTTCTTGACCTCTGTTGTCAAATTGAGATTAAATATTGTTTGTCTTTGTTAATATTTTTATAGTGTAGTCTTGGCGAAATTTGTGATTATAGAAGTATAAAATACAATGATAATAGTGTACAAACTTACAATTCCAATTAATTAATTATAGTCGAATTTCGACTACTGCGGGACCTGGACCTCTAGTACCTATTTAAAACGAAAAGTATATATGCTTGGCCTATGCAAAACTAGTTTTAGTTCAGGTCAAAGAAATACGTATTAGTACCGATTCTATTTTAGTAGTTCCTTGGAAAACGAATATTCGTGCCATCTATAAAGTCTAAAATTTGAGCTTTTAATAATGCTACGTTAGCTTAGGACAGCTTAAAGTCTCTTAAAGACAAGAATTTAAGGACAAGAACAAAAAAATCTATTTAAAGAATGATGCTAACAAAGTTAAGTGTTGAGACGATAGATAAAATCGGAATTCAATGACTAATAAAAATGTCTAAAATCTAGATTAAATCTTGAGTTATTTCATTCTGGACGCGACGTAATACCATTTCAAATCGTATAGACTTCAAGGGCTGCGCTACTTATCAATGGATTTGGCGGGCTTCATCCGATTTTGCCGTCTGCTCGCTACTGATATTAATACGGATATTATTAACGCAATGGCGTGGCTATAGGCATTGAAATAACCGCCATAGAACTTGTAAGAATACTGATATGACAGAGACATTTTACGTGTGACGGTTATTTATTACTTTGGCAAACAATTCTATTGACTACGAAGCTATAATAGACAATGCACAGCCGCTGTGGGTGGTCACAATGTGTCCACTCTTTAATATAATTGTCGTTAAAGTTAATAAATCCCTCATCTTAAAGGAGGTCATCTTAATTGGTTAACCAGTCATTCTGTAGTCGCTCAAATCTAAATACAACCCTCATTCAAGTCTTCAAGTGTTTATTTACACGGGTAGAGTTTCTGGAATACGAACAATACGTATTTTGTTATATGAGAGCTCTTCGTAAAAGCCGTCAACATTACTGTTATGATGATAAGAACTTGTATCGATCGAGCGATTATTAGAAAGACCTTACGAGGCGACACTCGCCTACGTAACGATTGTCAACACTAGACTGTGTCTTCCATATATTCCTAACCAATATTTAACATACAGCCAACTTGCACAAGACTATAAAGCTCGTCTATCTTCGTATTTAGTAAATAAGTATATAAATAACTACAAAAAAAAGAAAAGAAAAAAAATGGTTGTCTGTAAAGTCGTTTTACGGACGATAGTTTTACGTGATGACGTTCTTAACAGAACTATTCTAGCTGCTAGCTCTGACGTCACGCGAGAAGAGAGAAAATGTATCACAAACCAACGCTTGGACCGATCGTGCCTTTCTATCGCTTGTTCCGTGCTCTCGCCTGCACGCTCAGGCTCGGGCGGAACGTGACACTTTTTCCTACGTGCAACCGATATTCATCGATCTGTATGACGTTATCACGTAAAAAATCGTTTTTCCTTTTCTCTGAATCTTAATAATGAATTTGTATTAAGTGTTCAAAATCTATATATATAAAAATGAATTGCTGTTCGTTAGTCTCGCTGAAACTCAAGAACGGCTGGACCGATTTGGCTAATTTTGGTCTTGAATTATTTGTGGAAGTCCAGAGAAGGTTTAAAAGGTAAATAAATTCGAAAATTTTGTTTTTCCTTCTATGTGTCCCCCGTTGGACAGATTCCTTTTGTTTGTTTTAAGTTTGAATTATACAAAAGTTTAGGTATTTTATTTATCGATTGAGGCACTACGAAGTCTGCCGGGTCAGCTAGTTAATGAATAAAAAACATAAAAACGCTTCTTTAAGTTCTCCAGTAATACCGCTAGCCTAAATCTAAATATTAATACGTGAAGCAAAAACTTTGTATCCCTTTTTACGAAAATTGCGCGGACAGAGAAGTATGAAATTTTCCACACTTATAGAAAATATAGAGAAGAAGTGCACAATGCTAATATTTTTTTAAAATTAATCAATAAAGATAACATCACACTACATACACACGCATGCATACTATTTATTGTCAAACTTTTGTTCTTGACGTCTGTGGTCAAATTGAGAATATATTAAATATTGTTTGTCTTTATTAATATTTTTTAATAGTGTAGCCTTGGCGAAATGTTGTCATTATAGAAGTACAAAATACAATCATAATAGGGCACAAACTTACAATTCCAATTAATTATAGTCGAATTTCGACTAATGCGGGAGGACCTCTAGTTATATTAAAATTTATCTATTCAAAACCTTCTGAGCTGTTTCATTACGTCAATATCCGACAGTGCGATGCAGCCTTGTAGACAGAGTGGCGTCAAATTACATAGTGATTTATAAATATACTATTTACTTATGTAAGCTGCAGTTTTTCTTCATAGGCAATCTTTATTCAAGGCTTTTGTTTCCTTGAACTTTACCGCTATAAACAGAATATTTCTTTCCAAGACTCGTGCATTTCATTTTAAAATTCAGCAACGATGGGGTGGCCATGTTTGATCTCGAATCATTGCCATTTTACGATATCATAAAACTTCTGGCATCGTCTAAAATGTGTATGTAGTATCAATCAGTCCATCAAGAAAATTTAAAATAAATTATACAAAATTTTAACAAAAAGGAAATTCAATTTCAACAAAACGAAGTAAAATGAGAATATTATCAATATAGTCGAAGTCAAATATGCATTACTTTTAGGATAACTAAAAAAATCAAATCAAACAGTTTTGATAAACTTTCAAATAAATAAATAAATCATCAACCTAGAGACTAAAAAGAAGAAAATTTCCTGAAATAGAACGCATACAGTCGAACTGAGAACCTCCTTCTTTTTTTCAATACGGTTAAAAACCCACATGGGTGGGTTTTAACTGTGCTTCAGTTGTAACTATCACCCAAAATAATCCAATTTTAGTTAATGAAGTTTTAAGTTAACCGCCCGTTCAATTAGTCTCCAAATTACACGCCTCCAGCCTCCAGCAGACACGGTTCTCCCACCTGACCTTTTCAGGGAATATCATCAACTTTGTTAATGAAGCTCGCCCGCAGGGTTACAGCGCTCCTACACGGTAATAATTTTTAAATTGAATCACGTAGAGGAAAGAGACTAAAACGAAAATAATTCTTACTCCAACACACAAAATGTATTAATATTATATCATGTCTATGACCCAACGATACATCGTACGGATTCCTCATGCAAGCAGCATCACGGATTCGATATTAATTTATGTTAAGTGAGGTTTTTTATCACGCCCACGACCCAGATAAATAGTTACCGGAGCCGATAAACTTCTCGAAATATGAACGACGCTTCCCATCTTGAATAGACACGGTGGCTTCGCGAAACCTGCATGCACATCAGATCGTAATGCAAGATTGGTTCGCGGTTAAAATAGTCGAATCGGTAATAAAACCTCACACCACACTTCTAGTAAGAGAATTAAGGAGGAGATGAATTTTATTCGATGACGAAACAATACGATTTATGATGGGAAAGTAGTAGAATAGATAGTAATGAAATAAATAAAAAATAAATTAATTAATTCACGCGGATGCTTTCAAATAGCCGATGCCATTCCGACAGGAGCCCTCTTCTTCGATATAGCGAAGGCGTTCGACAAAGTCTGGCACAACGGTTTGATATACAAACTGTATAACATGGGAGTGCCAGACAGACTCGTGCTCATCATACGAGACTACTTGTCGAACCGTTCGTTCCGATATCGAGTCAAGGGAACGCGTTCCCGGCCCCGTCACGTCACAGCCGGAGTCCCGCAAGGCTCCGCCCTCTCCCCGTTACTATTTAGTTTGTATATCAATGATATACCCCGGTCTCCAGAGACCCATCTGGCGCTCTTCGCCGATGACACCGCCATCTACTACTCGTGTAGGAAGAAGGCGTTACTTCATCGACGACTTCAGACCGCAGCTACCACCATGGGACAGTGGTTCCGGAAGTGGCGCATCGACATCAACCCCACGAAAAGCACAGCGGTGCTCTTCAGAAGGGGTCGCCCTCCGAACACCACGTTGAGCATCCCTCTCCTGTCTAGGCGCGTTGACACCTCCGCCTCGGCCATTCGCCCAATCACGATGTTCGACCAGCCCATACCGTGGGCCCCGAAGGTCAAATATTTAGGCGTCACCCTCGACAGAAGGATGACATTCCGCCCCCACATCAAGACGGTACGCGACCGTGCCGCCTTCATTCTAGGACGTCTCTACCCGATGATATATAGGCGAAGTAAAATGTCCCTTAGAAATAAGGTGACACTCTACAAAACTTACATACGCCCCGTCATGACCTATGCAAGTGTAGTGTTCGCTCACGCGGCCCGCACTCACTTAAAATCATTCCAAATCATTCAATCCCGTTTTTGCAGGATAGCCGTCGGAGCCCCGTTGTTCGTCAGGAACGTCGACCTCCATGACGACCTGGACTTAGAGTCCATCAGTAAGTATCTTCAGTCGGCGTCAATGCGCCACTTCGATAAAGCGGCACGACACGAGAACCCTCTCATCGTGGCCGCCGGTAACTACATTCCCGATCCTGCGGACAGAATGGAAAGCAGTCGACGTCGCCCAAAACACGTCATCTCGGATCCTCCCGATCCACTAACGGTGCTTTTAGGTACTTCAAGCACCGGTCACCGTTCTCGTCGAACCCGTCGCTTGCGACGAAGGGCTCGACGAGTAAATTAACTCTCAGACACAGCCCACTGAGTTTCTCGCCGGATCTTCTCAGTGGGTCGCGTTTCCGATCCGGTGGTAGATTCTGCGAAGCACGGCTCTTGCTAGGGTTCGTGTTAGCAACGTCACCAGGTTTGAGCCCCGTGAGCTCACCTACTAAAGTTACGCTGACATAGCCCCTAGGGCTATCAGCTTAGGTACGAAAAAAAAAAAAAAAATAGCCGATGGACTTTTGTTTATTCATTGTTGTATCGTTATGTGTGGCAAAACGAAAAATCGACTAAACAATTTTATCACATATGTACATAGCATACCCATGTGTGTAAAAATACACGCGAACATAGCAGCTGCACTATTCCCATTCAAGTAAATTATTTAATAGGGTTCTCTTTAGGAATTTACTATTGACATCATGCACGGTCGACAAATTATTCATCACTATGAATTATCGACCTATGCTTTCTGTTTAAAACAGCTTCTAATTTGAAAATACCAAAATTCTATTTTTGAATATGTTATTAATAATACCTATATATTATTTATTATTAAAAGTTATTTGCAAATTAAAATATGCATTTTTAGGTTAAGTACATAAAATTGTCAAAACATGACAAAAATAATACAGAATTGATATGTAAATATTAGTCTCTTTTTATGAATTTATATTTATGTGTGTATAACTACACAGATTTAAAACACGCAGAGTTCGAGTTATTGCTGCCTGTTTTATATTTTCTGCATTATTTAAAAACTAGAGCTAATCTATGTTATTATTTCATCAAAATTGTATTAAATTGTAGCATATGAAATTCTTTTTTTTAACACAATATTATTTCATACGGAAACATATGACAAAAAAAGCATTTAAATGTAAAGTTTTCTTAGAATAATCGAAACCTTTTCAACGAATCACTTAATTACGAATTAATAGAAAACCTTTTTCTTTTCTTTTAATTCTTTAAACAATCTTGGTATTGCGCGTCAAAACGCCACGCGTACCTGATCGTCATCAAAACAAAACGGATTTCCACTATTGATTGTTAAAGCAACAGTTTGTCAGAAAAAAAAAAACCCGTTAATATCGGTACGGGCTTCAGACGTATGTACATTGCTACTCAACTACGTACAGCTAAAATGAAAGAATTTTTTATATTTATAGACTTACTTGAACGACGACTCAGAAGATACGCGCTGGGAAACCGCGGGACGTACGATACGAGTTGCAAACTCGAGTCCCCACTGGTTACTCCACGCTATATTAAAAGGTACCGCCTGAAGCGTGTACTGCGCATGTCCTAATATTATTCCTCCTATTGGAGATCAGGACCCGAATTTATATCATTACTCCGTTAACGTCAAGATATCAGTGACCTCAAGATGTAGAATTAACTTTTTTCTAATGAGGCCCGAGTTTACAAAAGGTAAATTTTGACACCGCTGCATTCAACAATATCCCCGATCTCTCAAATTGTTTTGAACTGACAAGTTAACGATAAAATTAATAAATTTCGCGTACCTAACTATAAGTTCAAAACATTTTCATGTACGCCTGTTATATTGTTTACGGTTTCAATAAAATAAACATTCAATGTACATTTGAAGACCCGCAGTGCATTGGTATCGAGCGATGACACTGTGTTGGTATTTGAACACCGCAGGCAGGTAACAATTTTTGTCATTAGACACGCACTTAAGAAATATTTACGAATGACTTCCATGAATTCCGGTGGTAGATTCAACGAAGCAGCGCTCTTGCTAGGGCTAGTGTTAGCAATTCTCTCAGGTTGAGCCCGTGAGCACAGTGCACACGTACCGACCCGTCCGAGCGTAGCCGGAATAGCCCCTTAAGCTATCAGCTATTAGGTAGGGATAAAAAACAGAATGGCTTCCACGAAAACGAATAACATAGTGTAATGAAAATTAAAGCCGCAAAAGTTCTAATTTGCGTAATTATTGGAGGTAGGACGTCATGTGACCCCGCACGGGTAGATATCATCACCCTGCCGCGTGCCGTGATAGTAACGCGTTTCGGTTTGAGCCGTGGTATAGCCGTTGTATTTGTGGGCTGTGAGCTCGTTCATAAAACTACGCAATAAAAAAGAATACCCTTGCGGAATTACAAGACACAACACCAGTTTTTTCGCTTTGATTTTTACAACATCATTGTCCTTATTCCTTCATGGTGGAAGTCATTTGTGAACATGTTTTATACATGCCAGAGATTTTGACACAGACAGTTGCATCGTTTGATGACGAATTCTATGACTATTACCCATCCCATAAGCTCCGAGGTATTAAAATTCAAATTTAAACAACTTTTAATTTTTTATGACATTTTAGTGCTACATTGATCACTCGTTATCATGCGTAAGTTTTTAAAACAAAAAATTCATTCAACAAATACAACTAAATAATTTATTTGATAAGGTACTAACAGATTAGACTGATTTTTTGCACTGAGCACCATTTTTTCTTAGTTTATCACTGAAAATTTGGAACTTTGAAAAAAACCTTTCCACTCGTTAATTTCAAGTGACAATTTCTCTAAAAGTGACAGTATTTTTTCATAACCAAGGCAGTTTGATGTATAAACTCTTTAGTAAAATGGAAAGATTAAAAATATCAGAATTAAGAATGATTCACGCTATACCGTGTCGCGACCGGAGAATGCCCCGGCCGGGGCACGGCCAAACATTATGCATGAAGTGCATGAAGTGCAAACTTTTTGCATGAAGTGATTCATGATGCCTAACCGTAGCTCGGCGTTGAAATGTCGATGGATATTGTTTCCCGGCTCCGGCACGGTCCGGCCCCGACACGTTCTAGCATGAACATATCGACGCTTGAAAGGCAAACCTGACTAAGCGACAATGCGTGAACTTTACAATGGACTAATTTAAAGTTGAAATACCTGAAAACAAAATTTATTTTAACGAATCTAGCTGTAGTAGAATCTAGCTAGTAGCTGTAGGAATTGAAATGATTTTAATAGACTTAGAAATATATTTTTTTTGCGCATCGAATATGGTTATTGCCTATCATTTATGTATAAAGCAGTTATTGTCGCTTAGTCACGTTTGCCTTTCAAGCGTCGATATGTACCCAGGCGCCCGCAGAGCAGTCAACGTCAAATCTTAGTGTGGTGAGCAGCTCAACAGCAAAATGGACGATGAGAAAACTTGCTCTCGTCTTTTATTAATTATTTGTAAAGTAAAGCAAATTCTCCTTCTGCTTCTCGCTTTCTCCAGGTTGAATGTACACCCCATCTTCTTTTAGTAGTTTCGCTTCGGTTTTCCAATACTTCATCATCGATGGCAATTGCAATCGCTGCCAATTCAAATTGTGAAAATTGCTTATTACTTATACGTCAACTCTATCGACAGATGAAATCACTAGCTGACCAAAACCACATAACACAGACACGGCCGTGCAAAGAATACACCCAAACAGCCCGGTGTAACATGAATGAGTGGCCCGGCGGGTGCACGGTGAACGTGCCCCGACCGAGGCCCGGTCCGGTCGCGACACGATGTAGCGTGGATCATCCTTTACAGTCATAGATCATACACTCAATATTTAGGATCACAGTCTGCCTGACTATTAATAAGAAAATAAAAATGACCTGGAACTCATAGATTCTTATGCTCAAACTCAACTAGCTATTCTACACCACTACTACTCTTTAATATTGATCGATAGCTTGCAAAGAGTGGCTGGCAAGGACGAGGAGAGCCGAAAAACGCGCTCACAGGTGTAAATTGGGCTAGGCCTATGTTCAGCAGTGAACGATTGCGTATGACTGTACTATGACTCTGCCCGACTGTTCGTATTTGCAAAGTTTTATTTTTTTTGGCTTTGATATTATAGCCTAGACACACGATTAGGCCATTTATTATGTTTTTATTATATTATTTATTAACACCACAAAGTACATTATGGCGCCTAATTTGATGCAGGAGGTCGAACTCCCAATAATAATAAAAAGTTGTACGACACGGAAAACCCAGCAGATGTAAAAATTTAAGCTGATGGTAGAATTTATGATTAATTAAAGTCATTTATGTGGAGTAAAAAAAGTAAAACAAGTTCAAAAGGTAACAAATTTTTAAAAGTAAATACAATACGTGTGTACTAGTGGTGAATGCGTTAAGGGATACAAATAATAAGGTATATGTATTTCACAGCTCGCACAAATAAGCAACGGAGTGTCTAGTATGCCCATGCCACGGAGAAGAGAATAGTGGCATAGAGGAGGCACAATGGAACAACAACCAGGAAAGTAGTCCACTCAGGCGGACTGCGGTTCAAGTGGCCAACGACCGCGGGGCACGCTTAGTTTAACGAGATCTTTCTAGTTTCTGTGATTCTACATTTTCTGTCAGCTGTCAATGTCGTGACTGAGTGTGAAGTTAACTGGATATGTCAAGAACAGTTTTTAAACGTCATTCCCGTAAATTCCCATTCGTCTGTCGAAGAAATGGCTGAATTGTTGTTTGTGCCGTTTAAAAAGTCTTCGGACGTTGATATTGTAAAACCTTTGAAGAATTTAATACAATCTACTTACAACAGTGGCGAGAACACAGAAGATTATACCGATGCCTTAAATGAACTGAGCCGGTTGCGTACCAACGCAGTTTGGAAAGTCTTCGAGAAAACCTCTCTTGACACTATTTACAGGTACCAGTATTTGTAATACATGACTCATTCGTGATTAATCTATTACTAACATCTTAAAAAAATGTCTCAATAATGTATTAAAGCAATTTGAAGGAACAAGCTATAATTGTATAAGTTTGGTGATCTCATTGTTCTCCAGGCGAACAATAAACAAAACGTTTATTTTGTACTTACGATTACGCTCTAAATATATATTGTTAATACCGCCATCGTGATTACAAATGCTGATAAAATTAAACCGTAGGTATTTTAATATTAATAATGTGTTCTTATATACCTACACAAAAAGTTTCAATTTAGTTATCCACTATTTTGATTTTTTAACTTTTTCCTTCCTCGTTTACTTCAAAAGGTGTTACTAAAATAGCGAAACATCAACATCATTAAAAAATATAAAACATCTGCATCATACGAAATACTATGTATATAAAATCACAAAAGTAGATGAAAAGTATTTCTCTCTAAACTGTAAATGCCAGTTCACAAAATACAAACCAATGAAAAGAAAAAAAAAAGGATTTCAATAAGATATCTATATCACAATCCATTATAAATGTCCATAAATTATGATATTCTCAGTAAGAGAAAGCAAATAGGAAATAAATCACAGAATGCAAATAATAATTATAAGATTATGAATGACAAATTAAATGTAAGAATAAATAACATTACATATTTATATTTGCTACTACTGTAATGATTAAAACTTTTTAGTATAATGAAATGAAACTTTCTTATTTTTTATAGACTGGCTGTGGTATGGGCTACCATTCTGAAATTCTGGCTTTTTCACATACCTATTTCATTTTAATATATAAGGATACTAAGAAAACATGAATTACCTTAGACAAAAACTGTCAATAGCTAAAAGCCAATTAATAGACTAGAGGTAGATAAAGTGTTAAGATTCCATTGGTTACAAACTATTATTGACTAACTTAAAATGCACACATTAACGTTTGATAAGTAGGCTAATTTTACAATAGAACAGAAATAGTACTGTTTGAGTATGGTATGATGAAGTAACACTTGCCTGCTTTTTTTTCTTACCTATTCGCTGATAGTCCAAGGAGCTATTTCAGCTACGTGCAGACGGGTAGGTGAACTCACGGGCTCAACCTGAAATAATTTGCTAACACTAGCAAGAGCAGTTCTTTGTAGAATCTATCACCGAATTGGAATTGTGACCCACTGAGAAGAACTGGTCAGAAACTCAGCGGGTAAAGTCTGCTTGAGTGGCTGTAACAGTAAATTATTTTATTTTCAGTTACTATGATCAACTGGTGGCCCTTGAGAGCAAGATTCCTCCTCAAGAAGTTCAAATTCCATTCAAATGGAAGGATGCATTTGACAAGGGTTCTATCTTTGGAGGCAGGATGAGTCTCAGTAAGTCAGCCTTTATATGCCAATTTAAGTAGAAGATGTAATGACCAAATGGTGTTGATGTCACACGAGGAATTCCAAGTATCCAGACTAGTGCACACATGTGGAGACACTTCAAGCCTCCTTGAAGTAGGAAATTTTGTGCTGGAAAATTCAGTTTGCACCTTTAGAATTGAAGTGGTTTAGCTAATCAAAATAAGAAAATGGGTTTTATACTTTGACGTATAAATAAGTATGTTATCAGTTTATAAAATTAAACTTTAGTTAGAAAAGGACAAAGTACACTTTTTGTCACTTTTAAATGAGGTGCATACCTTAAACATTGAGGTATGCACTTGAAGGCTTAAAGTATTCAAATAAAAACTGAAACATTACAATTCTTCAATTACATTTTGGCATTTACAAAAAAACGGATTTAGCCACTTCAATTCTAAGCCACTGCAACCTTGTCAAAACCACAACTAGTGTGTCAAGTAACTAGGTTGAAACTGAAGAAGGGGAATTAAAACGTAAACAGTTGCTATTCACTAAAGTAAAAGTAGTACTATTCAATGTGTTAAACTCACATTGATGTACCTGTTTTGCGATAGTACATCAAAACATACAAATATTAAAGTACAACTTAAAAATATTTCATTATTTAAATTTCCAACAGCAATCAGTTCATTGGAATATGAAAGAATGTGCATCTTATTCAACATAGCAGCTATGCAGAGCATGATTGCAGCTCAGGAACCTCTCGACACTGAGGATTCACTCAAGCTAGCTGCCAAATATTTTCAGGTAAAAAGTTTTTTTTTTCTTTTTTATTGCCCTTGTAGGCAGACGAGCATACGGCCCACCTGATGGTGAGTGGTTACCGTCGCCCATGGACTTCAGCAATGCCAGGGGCAGAGCCAAGCCGCTGCCTACGTAATGATACAGACAAATATAATTGTAATAATCAAACAAGCAGTGCTGTATCACCTACCTGACCCGATAGGTTGGATCTGATCCAGTAGGGTATCCCCCCTACCCACTTAAACACAAGTTTCTTAGGCGGGGACCAAAATCTCGATGAGCAATCAATGGAGTTATGTTAGTAGAAGTTTTGGAAGCCGACATAATGAAATTTGGATCTCTAAATTTGATTTCCCAATTCAAAAAGAAATTGCTTAGGGATAAACATGCTAGAGGCATAGCGTGTAATATTTTGAGATTTTCTTTATAGAAAGAAAATGTCATAGAATTGTAGTAGTAATAAAACAAAGCTTGACGAAACATAAATAGATAAGTCTATGAAGAATTTCATTCTGTTGATTAACTTGATGATTTAAGTAAATAAGTTGTTAATTTTAACAAATGTTTTGATTTAACGGTTAGGTTAGAAGGCTGTAATAATAAATAAATGGACTGTGTATTAAGCACTTTATTGAAAATTTTAATTAAAATTACAGCAATCAGCTGGCATCTTTGTGTACCTGAAGGCGAACATCATGATGGCAGTTCACCAGGAAACCACACCAGATTTGAACCCTGAAACGCTGGATGCACTGGCCAAACTAATGCTCGCACAGGCACAGGAGGTTATCGCCCACAAATGCATTAGAGGTTTTTCATATTTCAATAATAACTTAAATGAAGTTCTTCAATGCCTGGTCATGGTCAACAAAAATCTTTTTAAGTTTTTAAAATTTAAAATGATTTTTTTATATTTTTCTTAATTACTTTTCTAAACCATTCATCTGACAACTCGATCGAGTTTCACTAGCAATACTATAAAACTACAATAGAGCTATGATGATAACATAAAATATGCAAAATTACAATAGTGTCTGTCCGTTTAGTAATGGTACAAAAACTACACAACCGATCTTAATTGAATGTTTCTCTTTGAAAGTATGTGATTACAGAAAAATTGGTTATAAAAATGATCTAGTTACAAAACAAAAGAAAAATAAAGGTATTTAAATATTTACGTGACAGTGATTATGATTTTCGGTCACATGGAAAACATTTTTTTTAAGTGATTTTATGACCTGGTAATTAAGAATTTTAGGTCAAGTCTTATTTTAATTTTAATGAAACCTTTTTTATATGACAAATGATATTATGAAATGAAATGAAGTTGATTAATATGAAACATGGCATGAAATGAAATGAAATGAAAACGAAATGAGGTGAGATGATATGGGATGAAATATAATCTCAGTAAAATGGTGGTCATTTACTGAAGACCTTTTCAGTGGACTTTTTGGAGAATCCCGACGTAACTTACGTTCAGCGGCTTTGTTTCATTTTCCCACATTTGTGCACTTTCACAGATACTAAACAGTTAATAAACCACCGTTATTACACATTTAAACCCGAAGAAACACTAAATAGACAAAATAAAACAAATCACACTACTTCACTCCTCGCGTTCCCGCCAAAAAGTCCCGTGGAAAACATAATAATATTATGTATTGTGGTACAGATGAGATGAAGGAGAGCATGGTGGCGAAGGTGTGCGCGCAGTGCGAGGAGTTGTACGTGGACGCGCTGCGGGCCATGCTCAAGGAGAACCCCAAGTCGCTCTGGGAAAAGGACTGGATACCAAATGTGAGTACTGAGTCGGTTTTATTACATATTCCTTTGGACACACGCGGCTGTCGGAGCCCGCGTGACTATCCGACAGTTTCTTTACATTACCTTTAGTTGACCAGTAAGGAACCCAGAGACAGTGTAACTTACAGAAAGTTTCTCTGCATTTAATTACCTTTCGTTGAGCAATAATTAATGCCTTAAGCTTTATGTCTGCCAATTAAAGAAATTTTAAATCGCTCAGACCATCATCTAGTAACAAATTAGTTTGTGACTGTCAATTATAAGCATCAACAGTGCTACCCAGAAAACGACCTGGATAGTAGACAACTTGTGATCAAACAGTGAGAGGGAGCCGATGGCCGAATTAGGGGAGTTTTAAAGTGAATGGAAGAATGGACACTATTTGCAATACGGTTAAGACTTCGATATCAACTTCAAAGGTCCCAAGTAATCTATAAACTTCCCTGGCCTTGAGCCAATTGAGACTAGAAACATTAAAAATTGTCACGAGCCCACAAACTTCATATGCACGACCCGGCTCCACAGTGCGATTACTGTACTCTTTACCATTGTTGGTGGTAAGAAGGGGGTCGATTTCGGACGATTATCGCTGTCATTGAGATCTTGCCGGGAGAGATTTCTTCAAAGGTCTTCTTGAAGTCGTCGTGGTCTAAAGGATAAGACGTCCCGTGCATTCATATGTAGCGATGTACCAGTGTTCGAATCCCGCAGGCGGGTACCAATTTTTCTAATGAAATACGTACTCAACAAATGTTCACGATTGACTTCCACGGTGAAGGAATAACATCGTGTAATAAAAATGAAACCCGCAAAATTATAATTTGCGTAATCACTGGTGGTAGGACCTATTGGGAGTCCGCACGGGTAGGTACCACCACCCCGCCTATTTCCGCCGTGAAGCAGTAATGCGTTTCGGTTCGAAGGGTGGGGGTAGCCGTTATAACTATACTGAGACCTTAGAACTTGTATCTCGAGGCGGGTGGCGCATTTACGTTGTAGATGTCCTTGGGCTTCAGTAACCACTTAACACCAGGTGGGCTGTGAGCTCGTCCATCCATCTAAGCAATAAAAAAAAAGGTGGTGGTGGTGGAAAGTTTTCGATTTTTGTTTTGCGTTATTGTGGTTTTTGATTATTCTAAGGCTTGCTGGTACAGTGATTTTTTCTTCTGACTGATTCTCCTTATATACTAAATGACATAATATTATATTTCCTTCTCAACGAAAGATTTTTGCAAATGTTCTTATACGTTTAATTTTGTTTGTATTGCACGTTTCAAGTTTATATAATTTACAAATTAAATGTCTATTTTAATTTTTCTATATGAAATATCACAGTTTAGTTAATGCACTATAGTATAATTTTCATTATGTATCGTTTTAATTTTGTCCTGTATGTTACTTGAATAGAGACTTCCTCACTCATGGTACGGATGACTCTGTTTGTCAGGTTCAAGCGAAGCAGATGGCGTTCCGCGGCCTGGCGCAGTACTACCAGAGCCTGGTGTGCCGCGCCAACAAGGCCGTGGGCGAGGAGATCGCCAGACTACAAGTACGTACGGGGTCACTAAGGACTTCCACTGTGATTGAAAAGCTCGCTTAATATTCATCTTTAATATACGAGTTCTGTTCCCATTGAGTAAATACCAACATTCTGCCTATTGCTTTGTGGAAAATGTGGGACAGCACGCTATTTTACCGGTGGTAGGATGTTTCGTAAGTCCGCGCGGGTAGGTACTACCAGCTTGTACTCATATCTCAAGGTGGGTGGCGGCATTCATGTTGTAGATGTCTATGGGCTCCGCTAACCACTTAACACCAGGTGGGCTGTGAGCTCGACCACCCATCTATAAAAAAAAAGAAGTTAAAAAAGCCGGATGTGCTCTATACAATGTACACCTGGTGTCGTGTCTTAAGTTGTGGCACTAACTTAGTCTATGGGCTTACCCTCAGACACAGCCCACTGAGTTTCTCGCCGGATCTTCCCAGTGTGTCGCGATTCCGGTCCGGTGGTAGATTCTGCGAAGCACTGCTCTTGCTAGGGCCAGTGTTAGCACCACTCCAGTTTGAGCCCCGTGAGCTCACCTACACGTTAGGGTGAAGCTGAAATAGTCTCTCAAGGCTATCAGCATAGGTAGGAAAAAAAAGAAATATGGGCTATAGCTAAGAAATTTGTAATGATCTTTCGCTAATCCTGAAAGGAATTGACCAGTTCGCAGTAGATCAGCTGAAGGGTGCCCAGTCGCGGCTGTCGCCCAGCTACCTGCAGGAGCAGGCGTCGAAGGCAGCGCGCAACCTTCAAGAGGCGATGAAGGACAACGACTTCATCTACCACGAGCGCATCCCGGACCTCAAGCAGCTGGAGCTCATCTCCAAGGCGGCCATCGCTAAACCTTTGCCTCCACAAGAGAAGTGGGGCTCGGGGGGGAAAGGTCAGTTCATTTCGAATTGCATTTGAAGTTATTTAAAACAAGTTGTGTGGTTATGAGCACTCTAAAAGTATATTAGGTTGTGTGCTAAATTAAACCTTAAACAGTAATCCAAAAGCTGTTATTCAATATAATATTGTGCGTAAAAGAGGTGGCAAAATACGCCGCAGTCCGCACTCTTTTTCTTTTTAATTAATCATGAATATATTGTTTATTATTATTATTATGTGACTAATAATTCAAAGATTCCGGTTGGTGTCAGTAACTCTGCCGCTAAGTAAACTTGTTAGACTAGAGCTCTATTACTTTAATATAATTAAGTTGAATGTCGTGAGATTGGTCAAGTTTGTTGAACTGGAGTGTCCACGCACCAGCGATATTAGAGTCGAAGCATTTTTTTTTTATTGCTAGATGGGTGGACGAGCCCACCCGGTGTTAAGTGGTTACTGGAGCCCATAGACATCTACGACGTAAATGCTTCACCCACCTTGAGATATAAGTTCTAAGATCTCAAGTATAGTTACAACGGCTGCCCCACCCTTCAAACCGAAATGCATTATTGCTTTACGGCAGAAATAGGGGTGGTACCTACCCGCGCGGACTCACAAGAGGTCCTACCACCAGTAAATGACTTGGTGAAGATGCCCGTCGAATGAATGTTGATTCATTGAGTACCGGAGCTCGTGCGTGCGGTGTAAGAGCGTGGACTGTGTGTCCAGATCTGTTCGCTGGGCTGGTCCCGCTGGCGGTGCACCACGCGGCGGCGGCCAGCAGCGCGCGCCGCGCCGAGCTGGTCTCCGCCGAGGTCGCCAAGCTGCGGGACGCCACGCAGCTGCTCAACAGGTACCAGCCACCGCTCTCATACATTACAGCTAACTATTAATTCGAATAGCCGGCTATATGTATATAAGTACGCATTTAAAAGAGATATTTCTTTGACTATATCAACTCATTTTATTGTTCATTCGTCGTTATGTCGATTTCTATTACTAAGTGACTAGATTGCCTTGGAGGGGGTTATAGAAGTTGCAATGTTGAACTTTAAATAAAGAGCTAACATGGAGTAAGACACTGGTCATTTCTGGTGGCTCTCGTCGAACCCGTCGCTTGCGAAGAAGGGCTCTACGAGTAAATTAACCCACAACAGACTCAGTCCACTGAGTTTCTCGCCGGATCTTCTCAGTGGGTCGCGTTTCCGATCCGGTGGTAGATTCTGCGAAGCACTGTTCTTGCTAGGGTTCGTGTTAGCAACGTCGTTAGGTTTGAACCCCGTGAGCTCCTAATAGTCAAGATTACGCTGAAATAGCCTCTCAAGGCTCTCAGCTTAGGTAGGAAAAAAAAAAAAGAAGTAAGACAATACGTATGTATTGACGTGGCGTGTGGCGTGCAGCATCCTGGCGTCGCTGAACCTGCCGGCGTGCATCGAGTCGTGCGACGAGGAGGGCTCGCTGCCGGAGTCCATCCGCAGCAAGGCGCGCGCCGTGCGGGACGCGGGCGGCCTGCACGAGCTGCAGCGCCTCATGGCCGAGCTGCCGGACCTGCTGCAGAGGAACAAGGACATACTCGACGAGGTGAGGCAGCCCTTGTAGATGTCTATGGGCTCCAGTAAGTGTGGCGGGTAGCCATCACAGAGCACAAGATATGTGACAGATGCCTGAATCTCGCTTACGACATTTTCAAGATAAGCTCGCATATATACAAGTTCCGAACAACAACATTCGGACCGTCGGTCTACCGAGCAAATACCATCCGCTCGGTGGAAGATCTTGCTTTCGTCGTTCAGCCTTCCCAAATAAGGACTTAACACCAGGTGGGCTATGAGCTCGTCGTCTACCCATCTAAACAATAAAAAAAAGGCTTTGGAATGAGTTCCCCTCCACGGTGTTTCCCGAGCACTACGACTTGTCCTTCTTCAAACGAGGTTTGTGGAGAGTACTCAACGGTAGGCAATGGCTTGGCTCTGTCCCTGGCATTACTAAAGTCCATGGCATCGCTGAAGTCCAAAAAAAACTAATACGAAAGCGGTGTAATGGCGTGGTTGTGTCGACATTCTGTGGATATGAACGTCATGCTTAGTGTTATGTGACATGCTAAATGTAGCCGGGTAATAGGTACTGCTACAGTACGCGGTCGTGCTATACTACGACATGTCTGGCGTGCGTGTGTCGACAGGCGGAGCGCATGCTGCGGGAGGAGGCGGAGGCGGACGCGGCGCTGCGGCAACAGTTCGGGGCCCGCTGGACGCGCACGCCCTCCGCCGCGCTCACCGAGGCCTTCCGCGCCAACGCGGACAAGTACCGGCAGATCATCGACAACGCCGTGCGCGCCGACAACATCGTGCAGCAGAAGTACCAGCAGCACAAGGACGTAGGTAGCCCCTGGAGCGCCCCTGGAGCGCCCTCGACAATCGGATCGACGCTTCGGGAACGCATACCAGACAACAAACAAATTATATCACATAGAAACGTTTAAAATCTCAACACGTTGAGTGCTGTATAGGACACCGGTGCCCTACGCGGCGCACTCAAGTAATTATTTAGATTTTTCGATCTTCTGACTAAGGCGCCGAAACGTCTAGTAGACTCTAGGAAAGAATTCGAAGTTACTGATACTGAGAATGAATCTATTTGTAGAGACCTAAAATACTAAAACATATATTAAAAACAAAAGAAGGCAAAATTAAGCAATCCAAGCGCTTAGTAATAGAGTTCGATATAATTACTTGAGTGCGCCGTGTAAGGCACCGGTGACCTACATGGGGGTCAACGTGTTAATACAATGTCCGAACATTAAAACATCGTGTCGAAAAGTTAACTTAGACCGCCATCTCTGTTAGAAACTTATAAAGCTCGTAGATAATAAAAACCCTTTGCCGTAAATATTATACAAATAAATAGCAATAAAAAAAGTATCGACTCTAAATTGAGTTATCTCTGTCTCTATCTCTCAAGTGGAGCCCAACCACAAACAGTGTGGGAAGTTTCATTAAAATCGGTTCACTGGTTCAGAAGTTCATCGCGGACAAAGGTCGTGGCGTGATTGTTTTCATAAACTAATATTTTTATTTATTTATTGACAATTGTCGTAAAGGCTTTTGGACTTGGTCAGCTTTTTTAATATTGACTAACTAGTGCCTCAATCAATGAATCAATGACCTATTCTACTGGTGGTAGGATCTCTTGTGAGTCCGCGTGTGTAGGTACCACCACCCTGCCTATTTCTGCCGTGAAGCAGTAATGCGTTTCGGTTTGAAGGGTGGGGCAGCCGTTGTAACTATACTGAGATCTTAGAACTTATATCTCAAGGTGGGTGGCGCATTTACGTTGTAGATGTCCATGGGCTCCAGTAACCACTTAACACCAGGTGGGCTGTGAGCTCGTCCACCCATATAAGCAATAAAAAAAGAAAACCTAAACTTTTGTATAAAGTAAATTTAAAACAAACAAAAGGAATCCGTCCGATGTGAGACACATCAAAGGAAAAACAAAATTGTTATTTTTATTTAATTCCGAGCGTTTTCATATTTATATACCTTTTAAACCTTCTCGGCACTTCCACAAATAATTCAAGACCAAAATTAACCAAATCGGTCCAGCCGTTCTCGAGTTTTAGCGAGACAAACGAACAGCAATTAATTTTTATATATATATTATATTAAATATCTATAAATATCTCTATATATTAAAATGAATTGCTGTTCGTTACCGTGACCGATTGTTCGTGACCGATTTGGTTAATTTTGGTTTTGAATTATTCGTGGAAGTCCAGAGTAGGTTTAAAAGGTAGATAAATATAAAAATGCTCGGAATTAAATAAAAAAATAACAATTTTGTATTTCCTTTGATGTGTCCCCCCCTCGTCGGACGGATTCCTTTTGTTTGTTTTAAGTTTATTTTATTTTATTTATCGATCGAGGCACTACGAAGTCTGCCGGGTCAGCTAGTATATAATAAATGTTTGTTTGTCACATTGTTAGTGACGTTTGTGACGTGCTCGTTTGAACCCCGCAGAACATAGCGCTGCTGAGCGGCAGCGAGGGCGACATCACGGCGGGGGTGCCCTCCGCGCCCGCCGCCGGGCCCGCCGACACGCGCGCCCTCTCCACGCTGCGCGGCCTCATGGAGGAGGTAAGGCGAAGCAACCTCCGCGCCGTAAACTGCGCGAAACCTCCTCTCATATTCTTAACACAACATTTGTACCACTGGGCTGTGAGATAAACGAGACTGGTGGCAGGACGTGTAACCATATGGGTAGGTACCACCGCCCTGCCTATTTCTGCCGCGAAGCAGTGATGCTCTTTGGTTTGAAGGATGCGGCAGCCGTAACCACTTAACACCAGGTGGGTCGTGAACTCGTCCACCCATCTAAGAAAAAAAAAACGATTTTTTCCCTGAATGTAGTCTTTATAAACTATTTTTAAATAAATAAAAAATATTAGAGATTTCGCTATAAATATGCTCACATCTGGAATGCAAACAAAATAAAATTTATTGTGAAAGTTTTAAAGTTAAGTTAATCACAAAATATATGAGGTCATACATGGCCACTCGTTGCGTATTAGTCTACGTGCAACAGTTGCGTACGGTTCGCTATGTCTAATGTCCCACTTCGATAAAGCGGCACGACACGAGAATCCTCTTATTGTGGCTGCCGGAAACTACAAAGCCGATCCTGCGGACCGAATGATAAACAGTCGACGTCGCCTAAAACACGTCATTTCGGATCCTCTAGATTCACTAACGGTGCTTTTAGGTACCACAAGCACCGATCATCGTTTATTTATTTTTATTTTTTTATTTTATTTATTTATTGTGTACCAACATGTTATACATCAGCACAGAACATTACAGGTATCATATACATTGATTTCACACTAAATGCTAACACAATTACAGATACCGACTGCATGCATAAAAAAAACCGGTTCATTATATAAAAACAAAAAAAAAAAAAAAAAAAAACTATATATAACATTGAATAAAAATTTTTGATTTGATTTGATTTCATTACATGAAGACCCCTACATCTTTTATCACTATCTATCTTCATCGTTCTAACTAACTAACCCACAGACAGCACACTGAGTTTCTTCTTTTTAGCATCTTTCATATTATAGCCCCCATGATAATTTTGAAAAGAAAACAATAACTAAAAAAATCATTTAAACATCATTTATTCAATAATTAATGTGCTCTATCTCATTCTCTCGCCGACTGAATCCTATACATTTATGTGTTTGTGTTTCTGTGGACTTATTTTTTCATTTCGTTTCATCGAGTTTGAAATCACAACGATTCTAAAGAAGTTTCACTTCAATATATACTTTTTACTCGCAAAAGTTTCATTTTTACCTCCCACAATTTAATTTTACCCCATTTGGGGTAATTTACCCCGGTTCCCCGACCGCTGCTCTAGACCATCACCTTAGGTGGGGAACAAGGCAAATGTCGGGAGGCGGTCAGTAAACAGCGACACCGCTCGGGTGTGTTCTCCAGGTGGAGAGGCTGAAGGCGGAGCGGGACAGCATCGAGTGCTCGCTGAAGGACGCGAGCGTGGACCTGCGGGCGCAGTTCCTGGCGGCGCTGAGCGCGGACGGCGCCATCGACGAGCCCGCGCTGTCCGCCGCCGCGCTGGGCCGCGCGCTGGGCCCGCTGCAGGCGCAGCTCGCCGCCTCGCTCGCCGCGCAGGACGACCTCGTGGCGCGCATACAGGTCCCGCTATATCACTAGCCCACCCGGCAAACCTTGTCTTGCCGTGTATGTTATTTGTAGGAAACATTTTTTTAGTTCAATAAAAATAACGATCTACTATAAGTGTACGGGGATATATTTATAATCGAAAGCGTTATAAAGAATAAAATAATAAAAGAATAAAAGTAACAAATAAAAAATAAGAGTTGATCGTAGAGGGGTGAAAATTTAGGATTGTATGTATTTTTTTATGCTGTATCATAAAAAAATAAAAACAAAAATTTTTGTCTAAAAACTAAATAAAAAAATTTAGGGGTGGATCACCCTTAACATTTAGGGGGATGAAAAATAGATGTTGTGCGATTCTCCACCCTGGCCGATATGCACGCTAAGATTCACGAAAATCGGTCGAGCCGTTTCGGAGGAGTTCAATCACGCACACCGTGACACGAGAATTTTATATATTAGATATAAATCTACAGTTGTTTTTTACGGATGTTCCGTTATAACTACTGGACCGTGCATCCGATTGACTTGAAACTTTCTATCCATGTAGAAAATACATGTACATAATGAATGGGCTAATATTTATATGAGTTGGACTCCGGGGGCGCTAATGATGAGAATCTTTGTGGGGGTGAGAAATAATAATGTTAATTTTAAATGCCCAGCAAAGCGGACGGGTACAGCTAGTAGTGTATGAATTAAAAATAGTATAAGAAAAAATGATTTTATTTAAAAAAAAGCGTTATAAAAGCGTATTTAGTTAGTTTTTAGTTTTTTTAAACTATTATTTATTTAATCTAAGGTAACCTCTTTATACCTAGTTAACCGTGAGCTCGTTCACATTGTAACATTAAACAGAGGACATAACAGTAACTGTCCCCGCAGAAAGCACACGGCAGCCTGGAGTCTGGCGGCGGGGGCGCGGGCGGGAGGGACGCGGTGCTGGGCCGCCTGGCCGCCGCCTACGACGCCTTCCAGGACCTCACCGGCAACCTCAGGGAGGGGGTCAAGTTCTACAACGACCTCACGCAGGTACACGGTTGTGTCCACAACCCGCTCACAGTAATGTATATGCATTAGGCTTGACAAAAGAAGCTAGCACATAAAACGTAAAAGTACATATCGAGTGGTGAAAAGTTTAAGCAACATTTTTGCAACTTCACCGGAGAGCCATTTAAAGTTTAAAATTTGAGTCATCATCATCATCAGCCTTTATCTGCCCGCTGCTGGACATAGGCCTTCCCCAATGCTTTCCACATAATGCGATCCTCCGCCTTCCGCATGCAACAACTTCCCGCCGTGCGCACTAAGTCGTCAGTCCACCTGGTTGGAGGACGCCCCACGCTCCTGGTACCCATCCGTGGCCTCCATTCGAGGACTTTCCTCCCCCACCTGGCGTCGCTGGCTCGACAGATGTGACCGGCCCATTGCCACTTCAGCCTGCTAACTTTGCGAGCTATGTCGTCGACTTTGGTTCTCCGTCGAATTTCTTCGTTCCGGATTTTGTCCCTTATGCGGAGTTTACATTACGAAATTAGTGTCATGCATGTTGAGCTCAGTTTCACGAAAGTAGTTTCAATATATGCGAAAGTAATTTCGTAAAAAAATTAGTGTCGCGAAATCCACAGTATCGCAGTAACCATGACGCCGTCAGCATCAAAGCTATATTTTGCTATATTCAATTTAGCTAAAGAAATGCTTATATACCTATGAACTAAAAAAAGGCTATCAAGAAAAAAAAATTGGTAGATTCGAGGATGGTCAACAAGAAGGCATTTAGGTGCAATGAAGTTAGTCTCTGAATTAGCAGATGAAGATCCTGAGAGTAATAAAAACTATTTTCGAATGAGTGAAGATAATTTTGAATTTTTTACTGTAGGTGTTTCGGGTCCCATAGACACTTGTCGCTGATATTCATTAATAAGATCTATTTTATTTTTCTGTACTCCATCGTTGGTTTGCCATTTTCAACGCTTGAAGCGCGTCCGAACTAACAATACACACGTCCGCACAGCGCAGGCCCTTTCGCGACATTAGTTCACGTCGCGTCTACACTATGAAACTACTTGCATAACACTAATTTCACAAAAAAATCGCGCAGGGCACGAAACTAATTTGCATGCATGAAATTAATGCATGCATTACGAAAGTATTAAATTACACGTGAAACTGTTGGTAAAACTAATGTCACGAAATTAGTTTCATGCCACTAATTTCGTAATGTAAATTCGCCTTTAGAGAGATACCGAGCATCATTTGTAATAAATAAAACTTTGAATAAAATATTGTATCAAAAAAATCTTCTTCAGCTATTTGAATGTAGTAAACTTAATTGAAGTTCAATTAAAACAGATCGAACTGTAGATACTGATACCAAATAAAACGCATATTTAATTATAAAGATAAATGTCGCTTAAACCCTTTTACCCCTCTATATGATATTATAAGTATTTTGGTTCAGTCATAGAGATGTACTAAGTGACGGGACACACGGGCACAGCCACCCGACAACTGTTCATCGATACATGATGCGTTCCTTCCCAACGAGCCGTGTGTTTCCGCTTGCAGCTGCTGGTCGCCTTCCAAAACAAAGTATCGGACTTCTGTTTCGCTCGTAAGACTGAGAAGGAGGAGCTCCTCAAGGACCTCACCCAGGAGGCCTCCCGCCCCGCGACCAGGCCCGCCCCGAGCCCGCCGCAACACCACACCGACGCCGTGGCCGAGGTAAGCAGAGCTGTTCTAACTACAGCTAATTAACCACTTACCATCAGGTGGGCCGTATGCTCGTCTGCCTATAAGGGCAATATAAAAAAAATTAACGCTAAATAAGTGTAAGGTTACTGACAATTTGAGCCTTGACTGAATGTGTTTCTCACATAACACCGACAGATGGCGTGTTAGTCGATAGTTTTACATAATAATATAACGAATACTTACTGGTGGTAGGACCTCTTGTGAGTCCGCGCGGGTAGGTACCACCGCCCTGCCTATTTTTGCCGTGAAGCAGTAATGCGTTTCGGTTTGAAGGGCGGGGCAGCCGTTGTAACTATACTGAGATCTTAGAACTTATATCTCAAGGTGGGTGGCGCATTTACATTGTAGATGTCCACGGGCTCCAGTAACCACTTAACGCCAGGTGGGCCGTGAGCTCGTCCATCCATCTAAGCAATAAAAAAACTAATTTTGCAATTCGATGATTAAATAAATTTTTATATAACTTGTAGCCGTCGGTCGTGAAAAAGGAGGCTCCACCTCGCCCTCCCCCCCCGGCCGCCGCGCAGCCCGCCGCCCTGCCCTACCCGTCGCAGCCGCAAGGTACGTACGCACGTCGCTACTTAGACCATTTTATGCGACCGTGACGTGGCAACGCCTAGCCGCCATCGCCCGTCCCCCCTCGAAGCTTTTAGGTCCCTCAAGCACCGGGCACCGTCCTAGAACTAGACACAGCCCACTGAGTTTCTCGTCGGATCTTCTCAGTGGCTCGCGATTCTAAGCCGGTAGTAGATTCTGCGAAGCACTGCCCTCGCTAGGGGGCTAGTGTTAGCAAATTCTCTCAGTTTAAATGCAAAATGCTCTGTCGGATGCAACTTGTGAAGTGCTCCAACTTTAAACTGCTTTAAAAAATGGTGAAGGAACATTTCTTATCTGCTTAGTGTTGTTTGTCTGTATCATTTATCATTTACATACTGTTGATTTAATATATGTATGTATATTGGTATATAAATCAAATATTTATATATTTCATATGATATGTAAACGGTATGTATATATCTGTTTATTGTATGTATATATTTTCTATTATAATGTATTGTCTATAGTACACCGCAACATACCTGTTATATTTTTAATATTTTCCAGAATTTATGTAAATTAAATGGTTGTCTGTCTGTAAGAGATCGCTTTTAGCGATAAGACCGCCTATTGTACAAATGTATCTGCTTTTTGACTATTTTTTAATCTAAATTGTGTTTTGGTGTGCAATGAAGTGTTTTTTTTGTTTTTCTTTATTTCTTAGATGGATGGACGAGCTCACAGCCCACCAGCTGTTAAGTGGTTACTGGAGCCCATAGACATCTACAACGTAAATGCGCCACCCACCTTGAGATACAAGTTCTAAGGTCTCACGTATAGTTACAACGGCTGCCCCGCCCTTCAAACCGAAACGCATTACTGCTTCACGGCAGAAATAGGCAGGGCTGTGGTATCACAAGAGGTACTATTCTCTCTCTCTCTGAATCTGATTTACCGAGTCAGTGCAATACCTTCCGCAGGGATGCCGCTGCCGTACGGCGCGCCCGCGGCCCCGTACCCGTACTACGCGCCCGTGCCCGCCATGTACAACCCGTACGCCACGCTGCCCTACCCGCACCACGCGCGCATGCCGCAGCAGCAGTACCAGCCCTACCAGTACCCGCCGCCGCAGCAGCCCTACCAGGCGCCGCCGCCCGGGTACAACCCCTACCCGCAGCAGTAGGCCCCACCCCCTCAACGCAACACAACATATGTTCATTCATATAAGCATTATACATTTGAAGACGTGATGTTGAATGGTCATCAAAGCTCGTGGACATCAGCAAACGATCCAAAGAAAGTCATCCAAAAATGTTGTATCGTGCGAGTTCAGAGAGCACACTACATCCCTGCGGCCCCGCGGAGCAGTCACGTGACCGTCGCCCGATCAGACGGCTAATTGTAACTCGTATTACTGTCCAATTCAATTAAAGCAAATTAAAGAAGATACATTTAAAAAAACATACCCCAAACAAATTACGGAATATACGTTCACAGCTGGTTTGACTGCATAAATACATGATAAAACATTATAGCTTTTTATAAAACCATTATCGCTGGCATGAAACCAGACTTCATTGTATAAATTTAGAATAGAGTATATTTTTGGATTATGTTACAACAAAAGCATGAAGGGTTGTCTGTAGTATTATTACAATCATTTGGTATACATACAGTAACCGAAGCATTTAGTTCCACGCTTATATCAGTCAATTAACTATGTATAATTAGTGGCAGTGACGTCACAAAAATAAATCGACAATAATGAACTTTTTTTTGTAACCGTAACTTCATCAGTTCAGATTAAAATTCAAAGATTAATCTTGATGCCTGTTGTCATGACAACAAATTTACTGCACTTATAATTAAAAATTAAGGTTATGAGAATTAAATCAAATAACTCCCTTTTGGCCCCAAATTTGAAAATGACCCAGATGACGCGTGTCACTTTTAATTGCGTGCAATACGCGTAGAGAATAAATTATTTTAATCCTGTTTTTAATGATGTGGGAGATTTTTTTTTTGGTAGGAGAATGTTCTGTCTCGCTCTCGCAAAGCACCTTTTTAAAGAAGTAATTGTTACACGTGAAAGTTGACGTCATTATATATGAATTTCTTGATTTTGTTCCGTTCATTAATAGACCGCATCCGTGCTTGATTTTATTAATTTATTATAAGGAAATGAAATATATCAACACTGATATTAGAGTCTTCCCTATCCAAGAAAGCAAAAACCACAATTATATCATCAAACTCGCATAATCTATGAAGAATCTTTTATGTTTTATGAAATTAATTCTTTTGTATTGAATATTTATAAGTCCCTTTTATTATGTTATAGTGGCATGTAGTTTCATCATAATAATATAATTTGCATCTTAAAATTGAAATATTTTATTATTTAATCAGTATAATGGGAAATTAATGGTTTCAATTATTTCTCTTTAAAAGATTTATTATTATTTTAACAAGCAATCAGTCAGGGTTTTGGAGGGTACTAAATAAAAAAGGATTATGAAAGAGGCAATAAATTAAAAACATCAGTGCAGTACAATATTCTTATTCTCAAAAGTTATATGAAAAGCGAACTAATATTTATGTATAATGTAGACAAAGATGAGTTTAAAAAAAGCAATATATTTATCGCGCATAATAAACATTTATTTAACAGGCAAAGGAATCTAATAATAAATGGCCACGAATATCGATTTCTTGATTTATGCAAATATGTAGTTCTATGACGATTAACCGTCATTTGTTGTTCTCGTCTTAACGCAAAAATGTAGATTCTTGTGCTAATAATCTGTGCGGCTAGACAATCGAAACATACATACAAAGTAAAACATGATCCTTAAAACGTGTGTTCTCTAAAAGATTCGAACCTAAGAAAACTCTCAGCTCGTTCGCACCAATTATTTGTTAGTTCGAGACAAGATCGCAATTTGAAGCAAGCTTACAAAAGAAGTAGGTAATGAAAGTCTTTGAGATTTTTTAAACTATCGGAGAGTAATGTTTCAGCCTTTCGAAGACTATAGTTTTCGTTCCTTTGAAAAAGTTATATATTTTTAATAAAATCATAATAATAATTGATCGATTTGAAATCGAATTAAAAATCGATTCTTGTTTATGGAAATGAAGCGTTGTGATAATCAGAATATGATTTGCAGAAACCTAATGGGTATTTGGTACATCATTTTTATTCGCAATCAAATAAAAATATACGCTTATCTTTATTTCATGACCACATAATCTTATTACATAATATTTACATTATTTTAAAATATAATGATTTGATAGTTACAAAAGGTCTGTAGTAAGAGTTAGTTTATTTGCATTCGTGCCTATCTCGTATTGAATTTAATTATATAAATAATATTTATAGTTTTCCATTCATTCATTGTATTTGAATGTTTTTTTTAAATAAAATGTAACGTTCGTAAATTTTGTTTTATTATTCGACCCCTCATTCTGTTTTTCCATGAAGTGTAGTAGTATGTAGTATTTTAGTTTTTATTGAAAATTAAGTTTATAGATTGTCGGGACCCGACTGGTGTTAAGTGGTTAACGATGCACAGCCTGGATGATGATACCATCACTATGATGTTTTCTGACCACTTTGACATGTCTTTCAAATGGAATTTGAAGTTCTGTATGGGCTTACTCTAGCCACTTCAGTTCAGAAGCTATAGACCCTATGGTTACCATTTATTAAGCTAGCATGTATAATTAAGGTCGCGGTAACTTTTAATGCGATTAACTTTATTAACTGTGGTTCTGTAAAACAACTACGCATTTGATGTAACAAAAAAAAGAAATTTAATAGTATGTTTAAATAAAACTCATTCGATTATCACATTATTGCTATTTATTTAACTTAATACAACTAAAATTCTCGTAATACAACTGATCAATGTTAGAAAAACAGTTTAGTATTTGGGGGCAGGAGATTCCTCCTTAGAGTAGTCTCTGATGGGAGAATAGAACTGTGGAGAAAAAAAATCTTATTATTTTTAGTTGATTTGTACATTTTGGGGAATGAGAATTATAAAGGCTACTACTGGGTAACAATGGTTTGTTTGCTTTTATACATCTTTATTTCAGCCACAGATAGGACTGTTGCAAGAAAACTTAATGTTAAAACTGCATCAGTAGTCTTTCTAAAATACAAGTAACAGGGAAGTATAACAAGTCTAACAATGAATAAAATTAATATTAAGAGTAGGTAGGTAGGGGGTATGTATAATAGTGATAATGTAGATCATTGTGTATATAAGCCGCGCCAATAAAGAAACGAATCTAAAATGGCGGCGGCAATCATGCACTCTCACTCTAAACTATTGCTGTCTTTAGGCAACGGCACATACTGAATGCAAAAAAAATATCAGTTCTGATTGGAAATAATATGGCCTCTCACAAACGAGGAAAAGTCCTTCACAGTGATGCAAGTGAAAACATGTGAATCAACGTTATTAAATACTTTGAAGAGGAAAAGAATCTTGAGAAATTAAAGAAAGGAAATTCTCATTTGTTTTTTATATTTTTTTACAATAAACAAGTTTTTCTTTCTATCTTTCTTTTTATTTGTTGACCCTACTATCTGTCAGTGCAGGTACATAGACGCCATTTTCGATTCGTTTCTTTATTGGCGCGGCTTCTAATTTTTTATAATTTTTAAGCTTACCCACAATCCATATACAAGATGTATTAAACTTAAATCTCAACAAATTTGTTATATAATCCATGTTAGATTTATGATAAATATAAGGAAAAAAATAATCAATTATATAACAAAAATCATTCTCCGGTTTATCTGATTTGCAAAATGTTTTAATGGCTCAAATTCATATGACAAGCAAGGATAACTTCAGCTTTTAAACTTTCTCGAAAAGATTAAAATAAAAGGAAGAAAGCTGTTAAATAAATATTGTTGTAGTAAATGGTTACTCTTAAAGTGTTTTTACACTAAGGATTGAATGGTTATTATTTCAGTATAATTATCACTTACACCCCTGGTCTGAAGCTTTTAAATGATTTAACAAATGATAAATATAATATAATAATTGATTTTAATAATTTAAATGATACAAGTACTTTCATACCTTGTACTGCTTGTTCCTGTAAGCCTCCCATGGTTCAGGGTTGGTCTTCTTGTTCCAAGATACATCAGGATTACGCAAAGCCAGACGCAGAGTATAGAACACAGCTCCACCACATCCTATCCCCACACATACATACAGAGGGATCAACTGCAATTATTAATTATTATTAATATTTGTGGAGTAACAAATCATTCTTTGTTAAAAATGTTTTAGATAATAATTTGAACATTGATGGAACATTCTTATCAAAGATAAATCATAGTTATTCATTTTTCATTCAATAATAATTGTCAAAATTTGATGTTAATAAGTGATTTTAAAAATTGAATAGTTTTCTTCATACAATCAAATAGAAGAACAATGTCATAATAGTTGACAATAAGCTCTAATTTATGATAAAAATGTTATCATATTTTACATATTTAAATAAAATAAATCGCCAAAGGTTGCAATATTTGAATGTTTCAAAGTAATTGTATTTCTTGCTTTATTTACCAAAGTGTTTTGATTATTTCATGTTACAATTATCTATACATTAATTACCCAAGGGCCGCCATCCTGACTTATTAGCCTACCGTATTTCTATACACATTTAAGTTTAAGATCTTTTTTTGTTTAAAGCTTACTCCAACTAATGACTTGTAAGCGTACGAAGTGTCTTTGGCTCAACTTCGAAATTATACACCTAGAAAACGAATAAATGTATTAAGAATGAAATATTTTGTTATCTCTACTTAAAATTAAATTGCAAAATAGGTTAGATTATGTAAGAAGTGCAAGTGAAACGCACAATCTTCTGGAGTGCGAACAACCAGTTAAACTTACAGCCTTATGCTTCTTCAAACTTGAGAGGCTCAGTCCTTGCATTTTGAATTACTTAATTGCGTTGTAAATTAGAAAAAACTGTCCACAAACTGAATATTGCTGTCGATATCGATATCGATTGCAGGTCATATACAGGGATACTCTGCCAAGATTTAAATGTCAAACTGACTTTGACAGCCGATAAATTATTGCTTATGTCCAACGGTTTCAGCGAAATGAGGTGGAATGAAAAAAATCATTTAATAAATAATACACATAATAGGTAGAATTCACTGAGGCAATAACTACTAACTTATATCCTTAAATTTCTGACAAATAGTCTACAGTACTCAAAATCCTGTCTCTTTCTGCAGCAAAGCAGTAAAAGTTAGACTTCGACCTCATGTCTCAAGGTCTGTAGTGCCATTTCCTTTTGAGATGTCCATGGGCTTTGGTAACAACTTTACGCCAGGTGGGTCAAGTGCTCGTTCAGTCGAAGTAATAAAAAACAAATAAACTTTCTAGCACCGTGCATAGATATTAAATGTACAGGAAAATTTCTGCTTTCAATTCATAGTCGATTTTAAATGGATTGATTAAAATAGATACAATATCTAAGAATTATACTAGCTATTTTCTAAATTTTGGTTTTAAATTTATTCTCAGTTTTAGCTTACACAAGTTATTAACTTTAGTACCAATTTGCTGTATTCGACTTACAGTTTTATCTGTTTAAATACTACGCCTGTAAAACGATAGATAACTGCCTATATTTAAACCACTGTTGATACAAGCACCGTGTAATTGTCAAATAGATGTACATGCATGCGATAGAGGCGAATAATTCGATAGTATTCTGTCTCATTCTCTCGTAGGTTAAATACTTTAAAAGTAAATGTTTGTCTTTTTTAAGTGTCGCTTCTTTGAATTTCAAATAAAGTAGGTTGCTGTTGCTGTAGGATGTGTTTGACATTTTGAATATTCGATTATGAATTTGGAATCGATTGATCGACTAAACCCACCAAAGAATAATGGGGAACTGCAATCTGCATGGAACTTGAAATAATGCAATGAACTTTTGACAAATGTTTTGTATTCAATTTGTGAACAAGTGAATTGAAATATTCTTTGTAATAAAATAACCTATCTATATAAATTGGTGCTAAATTTGTGATTAATTTATTGTTTAGATAAGGAAGGAAATACAAAACGGTCAAAATGAGCTTCCTATTGTGAGTATTACGGAGTCAATAATGCTCTAACCGGATCTATTTTTAACTGATCGTCTTCCGCTGAGAAAAGCGCTGACGTCTTGTTTACGTCTACGCTATAATCTCAGTAGCCATGAGTTAAATATGATGTCTTAATGTATGCGATTTCGGCGCCCCCGCAGGGCCTCGGCCTACTCAGATACAGATGTCGAAAAACTACCGCCCGCTCTATCCTGTCTCTCAGTATTGAACCTTCAAAACCTACTAAAACACCTTCAAGAATTAGTTACTTTTTATTACAGTGGTAGTCGCTCAAACAAAACTTTCAAACCAAAGAAGAATATTCCTGAGGGCACCCATCAGTACGATTTGATGAGGCACGCAGCAGCCACACTTGGTTCCGGGAACTTGCGCCTCGCTGTTATGTTACCCGAAGGGGAGGACCTCAATGAGTGGGTTGCCGTGAACAGTGAGTGGATTATCCAATTACATTCTAAGTAAATTTTGAAGGAGGCTGGCTAACTTGAACGCTTGCACGCCACACAACCAGAATGAAAATATGATAAATATTTACCAAAGTCATTTAGTTATTTGTTGTTGAGTTACATTCAAATGTAGAATAATTTATTGAATATCTTTGGTGTACATAGTAAGAATAGAGTGACACTTCTGCCTTTGAAAGTAGGGTAAGAAACTAAATCTTTAATTCTAAAGGGGTAAAAATATTTCTGATTTTTTTAATTGGAGCACATGATATTATTACACAATTACAAAATATTAAAAAGTATTAGTGTTTCGTTAAATTACTTTTTATCACATAAGAATCAATACGTTGGTTATTCCTTTTAATAATATTATGAGGGTTAGAAAGTTGTAATTTCCTCCTAAGGTCAGTAATATGTGATTACTTAATGTAGTGCAAAAAATGCTGTAGATGTATTTGTTGGGATTGAGAAGGGATTATTTCTGCCACATTTGTAATGAGACTTATTAAAAAATTTATTTTTGATTGATATGAATATTAACTTCATTATCAAGCAAAGTATAAAAATATCAAACATGAATTTCAAATGAGCCTTTTAGATACCGTATTGCCCCTTCCCATAAAAAGCTTGAGACTATAGAACCAGAATCTGTGGTTGCTATTAAAGTAGGTAGGATGAAAAAACGAAAAGATGACCATTCTTAATTGCTGCATGTCACGACAAAGAAGGATTGTTTTTAAAACATAGCATTGAATAGAGCATTGTGTCATTATTGTAGGTAGCAGATGATTCATTATGATAAATAAATTTACTTCTATATTGTGCCACTTATAATTTTACATGTTTCCTGTTGATGTCAATAATAATTGATAAGTTTACTGTGTATTTTATGTGTAATGTTTTAATTGAAATATAGTCAGACAGATTTTTATTAGACCTACATAGTGGCTGCTTTGAATTCCACATAAGAATTCGAGTATTTTCATTCATGCCACAGTGCGGTGAGCCTTATCTTGCTGAACTGTTCAGTCCATGAGGGTCACCCGTGAGCCACGCGAGGGTTCTAACTTAAACGCTTCCTTCAAACCACAGATTGCAGCTATCAAACAAAACGCTCATGGAAACTGTGTGGCCCTTTAGCCAAACTGAATGCCTTGGTTTTCAAATGAAATAGCAAGTTGTAGTTTTTATCAAGGTTGTAGCCTTTTAAAATATTTTAAAACTAGAAGGTATAGGTCGCTAATTTTTATCATCCATGCAAAATTTAGCATTTTATAAATTTTAGAAGGAAAAGTTGATTAAAATTACTGATTCTGTGATTTTGGCTTGACCCGAATGGTATAGTATGTTAGGCCCACATGGCATTTATCATGTTAAGTGACTACCAGAGCTCACAGACACCAAGTCATTGCTGCTGATTCCATGATGATGTGAGCTCAATGTTTTAATAAGATCCATAAGAAATGTCCCATCTTTATAGCAAAATACATTATTGTAACGCTGTTGAAAAGTAGGATAGTAGTACCTAGGTGGTTTCACAGAAAACCATCAATAAGATTAAGGTGAAATTACAGTTGGCTGGCAGGATGATTTTCAGAAGAAAGGGTTAGTTGTGAATAGCATAATTATACTACTACAGGTCTCGTGAGTGCAGGTGTAGTAGTAGACAGAGGTTGCTAGTTTCCGTCCGACCGTAACTGGAATACCTTTGGCTACCAAAGCTATACTGTTGTCATTGTGGAATCCAGTGACTTAAAAGACTAAAATAAAATTTGTTTACATATCTAGAAATACAAATATTTAATAATAAAATTAAGAATAACAAAAAGACATACTTCCCCAGCTGTGGATTTCTTCAATCAGATCAACATGTTATATGGGACCATAACAGAATTCTGCACAGAGGAGTCATGTGCTGTCATGTCTGCCGGACCAAAATATGAATACCATTGGGCTGACGGACACACAGTGAAGAAACCTATCAAGTGTTCAGCCCCAAAGTATATAGATTATTTGATGACGTGGGCACAGGATCAGCTTGATGACGAAACTCTGTTCCCTTCGAAAATTGGTAAGAAATATGTACATAATATAATGATTAAATTGTAAGGTTTTTCGAAGAGGACGAGGTGTGTGAGTTAGTTGAGTGTCCGTTGTGTGTTGTCCCCCGGAAACCTCATCGGAGCGGTCAATAAAACATTACGTATAATTACGTTTATTCGTGTCACAGATCGCGGTGGATCGCTGCACGTTAACCACTGACTAACTAACGTATATTGCTCATTACTTTAACTGCATAGTAAGCTAAGCCGGGCGGGGTATCATTCCCCTACAAAATTGTATATATTTGAATTTTCACCAATTTCATCTTATCATCATATTCTTCACTGCAGCAGAGTTACTTTTTACTATTTAAAGTTCCTGTCATCACATACTGTGCACATTAAGAAAAAGTAGTAGTTTCACAGCGCAACAGAATCACCAAGTTACAATGCCCAATGCAGAGTAATGGAACTTGTTGTCTGTGAGTTCCGTTGCTCTCATTGTGTCTACAATACCTGAAAATGTACTATGAACCAGCACAATAGCTTCAGTTAATGTACATTATGTTTTTATTTATTTATTTTATTATTGCTTACATGAGTGGACGAGCTCACAGCCCACCTGGTGTTAAGTGGTTACTGGAGCCCATAGACATCCACAACGTAAATGCGCCACCCATCTTGATATATAAGTTCTAAGCTCTAAAGTATAGTTACAACGGCTGCCCCACCCTTCAAACCGAAACGCATTACTGCTTCACGGCAGAAATAGACAAGATGGTGGTACCTACCCGCGCGGACTCACAAGAGGTCCTACCACCAGTAATTACGCAAATTATAATTTTGCGGGTTTCATTTTTACTACACGATGTTATTTCTTCACCGTGGAAATCAACCGTGAACATTTGTTGAGTACGTATTTCATTAGAAAAATTGGTACCCGCCTGAGATTCGAACACCGGTGCATCGCTCAACACGAATGCACCGGACGTCTTATCCGTTCGGCCACGACGACTTCAAACGGTACGGGACCTCTGCATTAATCACCAAATAACTAACATTTGAAAGATGATTTTGTTTGCTTGATACGTTTACGGGTGGTAGGACGTAATGTGAGTCCGCACGGGTCGATATCACCACCCTACCTATTTCTGCCGTGAAGCATAATGGTTTCGGTTTGAAGGGTGGGACAACCGTTGTACAGTAAAAAGTGACACCTTAAAAAACATATCTCAAAATGAGTGGTGTCATTTACGTTGTAGATGTCTATGGGCTCCGGTAACCACTTAACACCGGGTGGGCTGTGAGCTCAACCACCCATGTAAGCAACAAAAAAAATAGGAGATAAAAGAGCATACCTTTAATGATGAGTAACAAAATGGCTATTATTTTTTAAGGTGTGCCATTCCCGAAGAGTTTCCTACTGATGGCAAAAACTATATTGAAGCGTTTGTTCCGCGTGTACGCGCACATCTACCACCAGCACTTCCCGGAGGTGGTCCAGCTGGGGGAAGAGGCTCACCTCAATACGTCATTCAAACATTTTATATTCTTTGTACAGGTAATCTTTCTTAACACTACCATAAATTATCTATGCAGTTAGGCTAAATTTTAATAAGCATAATTAATTAACAAGATAGTTATGCAAATTCAGAGTATCATCAGATTAGTTATTGCGTTATTATGAACTCGCACGGACAGACACCAACACTCAGCCTGTTGCTAAGTAATATACAGTCCGGTTTTAGACACATTGTTGTTTTGTAGACTTCAGAAATGGTTGAAAAAAGTGGTGATTAATTTTTTTCTTTTGTCTGTTTGCCTACCTAAGCTGATAGCCTTGAGAGGCTATATCAGCTTTTCCCTAGCGTGTAGGTGAACTCTCGGGGCTCAAACCGGAGTGTTGCTAACACTGGCCCTATCAAGAGCAGTGCTTCGCAAAATTTACCACTAAATCGAAAACGCGACCCACTGAGAATGACTATGGGTTAATTTACTCCTCAAGCCCTTCGTCGCAAGCAACGGATTCGGCGAGGAAGATGACCGGTGTTTGAAGTAACTCAAAGCACCGTTAATGTATCGGGAGACTGCTTACCAATCGGTCCACGTCGCTCTAAACACGTCATTACGGATCTACCTGTAATGACGTGTCACCCATAGAGACAGCCCACTGAGTTTCTTGCCGGATATTCTTCTCAGTTTTACCTCTGATAGAACCTTAACAAATAAACTTCCACTACCATTAGTGTTGTACCTTTCAGGAGTTTAATCTGATCGAGCGCAAAGAGTTAGCGCCCTTACAGGAGCTCATCGACAAACTGACAGCGAAGGACGCGCGATGAGCGTCGCCCGCCATCCAACACACCCGGCCTAACCTACTCAGGTTGTAAAGATATTTTTGTACTATCTAGTCGGCCTTGATAATAATATTGACAACACACAGATCTGTAAATCAATTTTTTTTTTATATTAGTGTGTGATATATTCATAATTTTTAAGCATAAACTAATGAAGTATTTTTTTTGTCATCGGCCGATAATTTAAGTTATTCTTAAATTTAATTATAATGTAGTTTGATTTTAATTATTAGTCTTATTGTATGTAAGCTCCAACAGATTCAAGTTATATATTTGACCCTCCGGAGAGACCTCCGGTCCAGAGATACTGTCAGCCCACGAAACAAATTTAACTTTTCTAATAGCACTATCATTGAATCAATGTAAATATTTTTATAATTTATTTTCTAATTAACATACTGAATCTTCGGAATAAACAAAAAAATTGAGATCTGTCGTTGTGCATGCATCACACAGAAACTTCTATGTACAGATATCAAACGCTTAGTGCTTATTTAGAAAACAAAAAAACGAATTCATTTATTTATTTATTTTATTTAATATATTTTGTACGCACAGCTGTTAGAAAAAACACGACAATAAGGAAACAGAGTACAAGGGCATTCAATTAAATTTATTAAAGTTTTTAGAAACGGTGCTCTCGCGGCTGTCCTGAATAGATGGCGTTCGTAGCTTTCTGAATCGCGCTGTGCTTATGTTTTAATAAATGAGGCCGTCAGCTCAGAAGTGGCCTAAGCTGTTAGTATGGCGGCAATTAGGTTTGAATTTTCATGAATTTGAATTTGAGTAGGCATAAAAACAATACACGCAAAATTAATGTTTAAAAAGCTATCTGTTATCTATGGGTGAAACTATGGACAGGCCAGTTTTACAATAAAATTTATTATATTTTAAATAAATTCCAATACACGTCATATAAGCTTGAATATAAAAAATTGAGGGTTAGGCCACTTTTGCGCTGATGGCCTCAAATATAAAATGCATTTTCAAATAACCACGTATCTTCGGGATATGCGCGGATTGAGCTAAATCTAGTTCCTCATAAAAATACAATCGTATTATAGACTCAGTAAATAAAACATCCGCGTAAAGTTCTTTATTATAATTCCGTTTATATATTATTGATTATTTAATTTTTAAATGGCTCTCCTGTAATGTTGCAAAAACTTTCACTCCTCGATATATGTACACAACGGTAGTGTCCCTTTCTCCGCGCGAGGTTTGATCATCGTATACAAAGACCGAGTTAACTAGTAAGAATTCTAATTGAAATCAAACTACAGTATATTGAAATGCTTATAAATATTATATTACGCGTATTAAATTTGATTTTGTTTATTACAACCCAAAAATGTTCATTAAATAGAAAGAATTGCAAAACAATTTTATCGGGATCTAATCGCGCCAAATAACCTTCCATTATCTTAAAGCCACAATAGATACGAGAAATGGGCATTTGATAATTCGTATAAATAATTATTATCACATTTCTTGGGTTTTTTGTCTCCATAATATTACTTTGTGTCTGTTGCGTTTGGGTATTATGTGCATTTTGTCATTCCTTGTATTTAGTAGTATGACGTATTCAATAATGACAGTTCCGAACGTTTTAACGGGAAACTTGAAAATAATCAAATATGTCCGCTACCTATAATTTTTATGTAAATTATGCTGGTTTTAAATTTAAAAACAGTTACTACCGACAATATTATTTAAAAAACATCGCTATAAGCGCTAAATACCGTCCACCATACTAACTAATTTAGAAATGAGTTCTTACTTTTCTAAAATCGCCATTTATTTTATAAAATAAGGGCCTTCAAATCTCTCTCCGCTTTCTAAGAACTTTATATGTAAATAATGTTTTGAAAAAAATATCCTAAACTTACACAAAGATAAAATACCTTGATTATTGTTATTGAAATATTTATTGAATATTTTGTTGAAAATGAACTGAAAATTTGCCGCGATTACATCCTCACTTGGGAATCATTTCAAATCGTATTAAAGATTCCTAATAAATGACAAATACAGTGCGGGCTTGCGTTGAACTTTGCTAAGATATGCAGCGTCCAATGGAGACAATAAAGAAGCGCTTATATTATTAAATGAATACTTTTGTGATTTGGGTTAGTCGTATTGGTTTTTTGATGTGAAAGATTTCGAATACTTCTAAATACCGTGGTCGTTGTGGTATAGTAATAGCAAAACTTGACTTGATGTCACAAATGATGGTGTGACATCCAAAGCTTTAAATCTTTATGAACTAGTAAATGAATCAATTATTTTGTTTGCATTATTTTTATTTAACAATAAATAGAATATTTTGTGCAGGTATTTCTTCTAATAAAAACATATTATTATGATAGTAAGTTACTAGTTTCTAATCACAGAATGGTACTAAACATATTTATTTACTTTGACTAACGTATTATCGTATGATGAATTTATTTAACCAATTTATTCGATTAATGATTAAGGTTAAATTGTCCTTTGTTAAGTTCAATTCCTATTGGTATCAGATAATATTCAATTTTTGAACTATATCTAATTCTGACATTATATTTTTTTCTTGTTGAATCTATTTAAATTTTATGTTTTTCTTCATTTATTTATATTTACAGTTCGTTTTGTGAATCCCACTGTTCCGTAATGAAATAAATAACATAAGTGCATTAAATATATTACAGTGATATAGTTTTGATTTCCGTCTTTATTTGAATAGTTTTTTTTTTTTTTTTATAACAACTAAGAGGCAAACGAGCAAGACGGGTCATCTGATGGTAAGTGATTCACCACCGCCCACGGTCACCAGCGTTTACGCCAGTGCGTTGCCTACCCTTCAGATAAGAATATGCTCTTTTCTTGAATAATCCAATATCGCAGTTGTTGGGGAAGACCGCTGATGGCAACGAATTCCAGAGATTTACTGTGCGTGGCAGAAAACTGTTTTTAAAACGCATTGTACTGGAACGCCAACCATCCAGATGGTGCGGATGATAGTTCCGGCGAGAGGATCGGTTGCGAAAATCAGCGGCTTGCTGATTTTCTATTAAATTGAACAACTCCTCGGAACACTCCCCATTGTAAATTCTGTAAAGTATGCATAGGGAAGATAGATCCCTACGCATACTTTAAACTAAGATTTTTTCCGTTTGCGGGGTGCTAAGTGCTAGGCCGATATATTCAACGGAGATAACTTGCTTTGCACGAGCGCAGAATACGTGGTGCGGTCCGTGGTTCGCGCCACTCGTACTAAGATCGCACTTACGACGTAACTACCTTTGAACTAGTGAAACGCCGCGTATACGGGGTCGGATAGTTCGCGACTGAACAGCAAACACGCTACCTACCATTCATTAGCCACACATGACGTCATGCGTCGAGTATATATTAAATAGACGTAAAATACTGTTGAAGTTATACGATTTATTTAATGATTTGAAATTTTAAATGATTAACTTTGACAAAAAGTAACCGACTGATCGTGTTTGTTTAATGAGTGTCCTTTTAACATTACTACTTTTCAGACCTTTTTGTTCAACCTATGTAAATTTTTTTTTCTTATCAAATCATACATATCAATATTGCTTCCAATATATTCAAGTTGGAAGCATTTAAATTTTATAAATGCCTAATCGAAACTTTGTACCTACTAGGGCGCGCTTGAGGCCTTTAGATATGCAGCCGCCATACGGGGCGCGTTGGACCCAAAGCGGGCGATCCGATGTAATTTTTTTATTGCTTTTGTTAGCAGATGAGCATATGGCACACAGAGCTAAGTAGTTACTGTCGCTAATGGACGTAAACAAAGTCTGAGGCAGGGCCAAGCTGCTAACTACAATTGCCTTTGCCATACACGCTCATTAGATAAGTTCAGTACTAATGCTTAGTTAGGTAAATTAGACTTTCCGTCATAGTTTATGTACGTATGGGGCTCGACAATGGCGACAGCATAATGCGTGTAATGTTGACAAGCGACTTGACCTCCCATAGACCGATCCACAGTCTGCCGGGCGATGTATAGATTTCCTTCGAAACCCGTATCCATACTGAGGCGATGTCGCCCTAAACGTTCAATGGCACAAGTATTCAATAAATAAATTTGAAAAATATCACAAAATTATGTACTTAATTAATTTTCATTTTGACACATCACACCTTCAGAATTAAAATCCAAAATTTCTTGGTTTTTTTTGTAAATGCCAAAAATGCAATTGAAGAATTGTAAATTTTTAATTTTGGTTTTTAAATACTTTAAATATGAATTTTGAAATACTTGAAGCGCATAGGTACCTTAAAAGTTAAGATATACGCTTGATTTAAAAGAGGCGGAAAGTGTACTTTGTCGTTTTTTAATTAAAATTTAAAATAAAATTTTTAATTTGCCCATTTTAATTTTATAAACTGTCAAAATACATGTTTATGAAAATCATTTCCTTAAAATTTTTAGTTAAGCCACTTCAACTCTAAAGGTGCGACATATCACAAAAAATATGTACAACACGCAATGTAACTTAATTTCAAATCAGCTGACGCGCAGAACAGGCTACAAAGTGTTCACGAAATCTATCGTCAGTTTGTTTTAAGGGCCTGTGCACACCACGTTTTTTAAACGCGTCGTCGACGCGCGTTTTTAGCGATACACACGCGATACGCACGCGAGTCAGACGAAGCCTGTAGACCTTTGCACACCTGTATAAATTCAAATACGCGTTTGTATCGATACAGTCGACAACAAACCGCTTTGTGTTTAAAAAAACGTGGTGTGCACAGGCCCTAAGTAGTACGATGTAACAATTCTGTCTTTAAAGGACGGTGCTCTTATGCTGTATATTCAATTGAGTGCTACGCGTTTACCAATTATTATTATTAGTCTAATAAAAAATGTCAGACCCTCTGACTCAAAATTAGATTTAGTTCTCAAATAATACGGCCCGCTGGAAACGTCGAGAACAAATGTTCAACTAATACGCAAAAATGTAAAAACCCATTACTGACTACGACTGTAAGTTTTTGCGCGCTTTATTTTTGAACGCAATAAATAAGTAATTTAAAAATCTAAACGAAATATTGCCTTCTTAAGCTATAAGAATTATATAGATGTGATTTATCTTTTGTAACGATTGTAGCTTTGATAAGAAAATTATAGTTTATATACATACTTGTATTGACGAAGTGAGGATTGTTTGCCCTTATTTATTCGATTGTGTGAAATTATGACTTCAATTTGAAATGAATACACAATAAAGACACATTTAATGTTTTTCATTGCTCCCATAACCTGTTTTGGGGTTTATAAGCATTATTAATTGTCAATATAATATTTATTGGTAAAGACATCATTGATGATATCGAGGGGTTTAAAGCTATTTGCTTTAAGCGATATTTCGCTTAACACGCGACATTTATCTTTGTAATTAAAGATGCGTTTTATTTGGTATTAGCATCAACAGTTCGATGTTTTTAATTGAACTTCAATTAACTTTACTCCATTCAGATAGCTGAAGAAGTTTTATATTTTTACAAAATTTTAAACTTTAAATGGCTCTCCTGTAAAGTTGCAAAAATATAGCTTATAACAAATAAAAATTTCTGCAAGTAACGAATGACAATAGTCATGCGTGACCAATAAAATAATGAAAATTTCCAAATCTCTGAAATAAACGAGGTTAAACCGTGTTAACCTAAATAATGATTTAATGTGTAAGCCGACGGATATCCTACCACTACTTATTGCAATTTATGCTGTTTCAAATTGTGTACATTGAATAAGTTTTATGTATATTGCGATATGACGTCACTGTTCTATTTAATTATAATGACCTAATTGTACTTTCAACGACAGCCCTTATTGTTATGATTTCTTTTTTCTATATAATAAATGAGTTTAGGACAAATTAACTAAGTGAATGAAACAAATTTATCCCACGCCGCTGACTCATCAATTTAAAACATAATTTTACTGTTATATAATTATCATAATTTATAGTTCTCCGCCATTTTCACAATAATACATGTTATAAGAATTGCAAAAATTAAGTTTGAGAATTATGATCACCTCAGTCAGTTAAAAAAAAGTTGCTTTATTTCAAATTGAAGTCCGAGAAATAAATTTGTGCAATAAAATTATTTCCGATAATTTATTTTCATCTCGATGTAATTCGCTAAAATAATAATTATTAATTGATAATGATATTTTGTGCATTTAATTTTGTGTTATGAGTTAATATTACATTTAACACAAGTTAGTTTTGTTAATTTAAATTTAGTTTATCAAATAAATAAATGTGTACATAATTTATATCAATCTGTATTTTATTTATTATTTTGATTTCTATTTAGTATGTACGAGGTGGTTTAATTCAATTTCTAATTGTTCTGTTTCGATGTTTGGGCGGATTTAAGATTTTCACCACGAAGGAATAAAATGTAACATATTCAACGCAGGTGAAGTGTCCCTGTTGCATAACAACGCTATTCCATCAAGTCTTCGTTCGGATTGTCGATAATCCCATTCGCACGGATCGTATGGAACCTCTGAGTCTGCGGAGGGATTTCGGTTCCCTCTGTATTTTGTACCGTACGTTCCATGGGGAGTGCTCTGAAGAATTGTTTGAGATGATCCATTCATCTCCTTTTTATCATCGCACCTCCCGCCATCGGAGCAGAGTTCATCCATATCATGTGGAACCGCTGCGTTCATCGACAGCGTGTTTCCAGTTTTTTTGCCACGTACCATCCGGCTATGGAATGAGCTCCCCTCCACGGTGTTTCTCGAGCGCTATGACATGTCCTTCTTTAAAAGAGGTTTGTGGAGAGTATTAAGCGGTAGGCAGCGGCTAGGTTCTGCCCCTGGCATTGCTGAAGTCCATGGGCGACGGTAACCACTCACCATCAGGTGGACCGTAAGTTCGTCTGCCTACAAGGGCAATAAAAAAGTCTCCTTAAATTAATTTTGAACTAATCATCGGTTGGCTGCGACTTAGTTATGCCCTGACATTGCTGATACCCAGAGTCATCGCCTATCACCATGAGATTAAGAATAAGTACCACATGTTTACAATCTAAAAATACATCTCATTCCTGCAGGAAACTAATTCATTATGTTTAGGAAAAATAATTGACACTTCCATGACTATGCGAGTGAAGTTGCAGGAAACTGCTAGTGTTTTGTATAAATTTAAAGTTAAACTACATCTCGAATAAATATTAAAATCTTACCTTTCTCTATTTAAAATAATAATAAACATATATTTCACATTAGTAATCATTTTATTGCTTTCCGTTACCTCATCACTGCTTTAAAAGGTAATTTTTTACAAAATTCATTTCTAAGTGTTTTTAACAGTTCATTTGAAAGATAAAATATTAAATATAGTACAATTGAATGATACTTCTTGTGTTGAATTGAATTGTCGAAATATGCACTTTCATTTAATTTTGTAAGTAATTGAAACATTAATATATCTATCGCAGAGTATGCGTAGACAATCAGAACGATCGCCGTGGCGCTGGCGGCCGCAGACACGTCGATGTTGTGTGGCGCCAGGTCTACGAGGAGGAGACGGGTGGAGGGGGCGGCGGCGGGGCGAGGAAGGCGGGCGGGGGCGGCGGGCCCCCCCACGGCGGGCTGGGACCGAACCCGCGCCACGGTCCGGGACCCATCATACCTGTACATAATAAAATTATTAACTTAAAAAGACGAACATACACCAACTATACTGTAATAGGACCTCTTGTGAGTCCGCGCGGGTAGGTACCACCGCCCCGCTTTTCTGCCGTGAAGCAGTAACGCATTTCGGTTTGAAGGGCGGGGCAGCCGTTGTAACGATACTGAGACCCTAAAACTCATATCTCAAGGTGGGTAGCGACATTTACGTTGTAGATGTCTATGGCCTCCGGTAACCACTTAACACCAGGTGGGCTGTGAGCTCGATGTACATACAATAAAAAAAACTATCATTTCTAATTAAAACGATAAAAGCTGCATTAAGTTTATGAGCTGAGTTATGAGCATTAGCATCAATGAGTATTAATGGAATGCACGTACCTGGTGGAGGGGGCGGCATGGGCCCGGGGGGTCCGGGCGGCCCCGGCATCTTGTCGCTCTGGAACACAGACAGACAATGAATCAGAGCAGAGTATTCAATGAAATTATTGCATGACGTCTAATTACAGTAGTACTTACAGGTGCCAAGCATGGACATCCCTCATAATTCTTATGATTGTTTACGCATTAATTTAAAACGTCATTAAATAACATTCCATAAAAAAAATATGAATGTTTATTTCATTTTATTTATTTATTTAATATATTTTGTACACACAGCTGTTAGAAAAAAACACGACAATAAGGATACAGAGTACAAGGGCACTACTTATTTCATGATGAAATCTCTTCCTGTAGGCCCGCAAAAGGAAAGAAGTTTTTTTTTTTTTAAGATTTTTAAGAATTTTAATTAAGATTCCTTAACAACTTGAAAGATTAACTTGGTGTCCGATATGAAGAGGATGTTACTGCCATTGGTATTGGTAATGTTTAAAACTGCCTGTGTAATTATCAGATTAAGTTCCACAGAGAAAAAATATCTGTAATAGTTTGTGGTTCTTTGTTTTTTTTTAAATTAAATATGTTCACTCACCATGTGGAAGGGCGGCGGGCCCGCGCCGGGCGGCGGCGGCTGCATCCCGACTCCTGTGGAGATAGGACAATGTTTAGCACTTGCTATAGTTGGGACCTCTGATAAGGTCCTGTACGATTGGTTGTTTTCTTGTTTTTAATATAATAATTACTTTTAATTGATCTTTATGTTATTTAAAAGCTTAAACATCACTTGATTTATAATCTATATGTTATCAATTTTTTTTTTATATATTAATGACAGAATTTGCAGTAAATTTATTTGAAATTAGTAAAAGTAAAGGTAAATACATGTATTTTTCAAAATAGCAACACGGTGAGGTTTTTATTAGTGGTTATTTTCACTAGACAACACAAAGTTCAAGTTCACAGGGTTAACATTAAAAGGCGAACTGTAGATAAAGCTCCAAAATGTTAACACTTCTGATACATTTAAATGTTTAGTAGAATTTACATCATAGAAAACGTTCATTCATCTTTCCATTCGCATCATCACCATCCATCCATCACTCGTCCATGGGTGGCGGTGCGCTAGTTACCCATCCAGGGCGCGGGCGGCGGGGGCGGCGGCAGGATGGCGCGGGGCGGGGCGGCGTGCGCGTACATGGGGGGCGGCGGGCGCGGGGGCGCGCGGGGTGCGGGCGCGAAGCCGCGGGGCGAGGGGGCGGGCGGCCCGGACTCGCCCAGCTCCGCCATCAGCGACATGTACTCCTCATCTATCTTAGCCTGGAGCAACATTCACCCAAATATATTGTTTTGAGCCACAAATTATTTCCTCTCAGTGAACAGTTGAGTCTGCAACTGATGCATGACATTTATACTATTCTTAGTAAACAAAGCCACTGCCACCGTAACGTGACACTTCTATACTCTAGCTGTTTAGTTAATTGTAATTGTAGAAAGAAATGTCCCATTGTCCTGGACACCTATTTATTTAGTTTCTTCCAAAAGGACAGTTAACTGCTTTTAAGAAACAAATGCTTTATTATCAGGTAGTTCAAATATTTTTAAGATTATCTTTTTTTTTATTGCCTTTGTAGGCAGACGGGCATACCGCCCACCTGATGGTGAGTGGTTACCGTCGCCCATGGACTTCAGCAATGCCAGGGGCAGAGCCAAGCCGCTGCCTACCGAAATATCTCCTATCCTTTGATGTGTCTGTCCCCTGTCAGACGGATTCCTTTTGTTTGTTTCATGTTTATTTTATACAAAAGCTTAGGTCTTTTATTTATCGATTGAGGCACTACGAAGTCTGCCGGGTCAGCTAGTACTTTATAATATCGCAATGCACTGTGTACAGATTGAGAGATCACCAACTATATTTAACATGTCCTATATTTACAATTTAATTCGACAACTTTATTTACAATCTACATAATTATCTGTACTTTTGGATGTAATTAGTACCTTATCGGGTTGGTGGTGGCCGGGTCTGCGGGCGCGGCAGTCCCTGGCGATGTGGCCGGCGCCGCCGCAGGAGGAGCAGACGATGGCGGAGGTGACGTTGGGCTTGTCGGGACAGAGCCAGGTCTTGTGGTCGGTGGCGGAGCAGTTGGCGCAGCGCGCGGCGTCGTGCTCCCGCAGCGTGCCGTTGAGCTGCGCCAGCTCGCGGAGCTGCATCCGGCGGAGGTCGTTCTGACCTTCCGGCACCTCCACGCCTTGGCGGATCACTTCTTTGATCTGTCAAAGTACCGGTTTAGTTGTACTGTGGTCGTCGATATTACGTGCCCTGCTAGCGGCACAGGGGTTGACACAGAGGGCGGGGCTACACAGAACAAAGGCATGTTGCCCAGTTGATGTCCACAAATGTTGTCCAGTTAAGTTCATTAAACAAAGTCATAACGGATTGCGCCCGCTGGGACTGTCAAACCCTATTTTTTTATTTTATTTAAAGCTTAAATCCCGATTTATAAATATGTTTTATTTATTTCATAAAATAATACGATCATTGATTTATATTGCTCGACTTCATTAAATTGCGATTTTTATACAATACATAAAATCAATTTATATTCGCTACTCTATTTATATACATACTCTACGTATATTGCGTACACCTATTTATTCAAAACACAAGGTACAGTCAGCAGTAACCTTCTCGACGGCCTTCTTGACGCAGTCTGCGTTGGTGGCGGTGATGTAGGCGTGCAGCGGCTCGTCCTCGCCGGGCAGCGGCTGCCCGTCCTTGCGCCCCACCTTGCCCTCCTTCACCGAGCCTTTCCCACGGATTATTATCTTGGCTCCGGTTTCCTTTTCCATCGCTGTAATTTAAATTATCGAATATTATAAAAAGCGTTGTCCACAGCTCCTGCCGCGCTGATATGTGTATGTGACTTGTCGATTAAACCAGTAGTCAGCAACCAGCTATGGCTTTTCCGAGAAATACTTAATTCAGACAAGGAGTATTACTTATTATATTGCCTCGTTAAAGTCGACTAAGCATTTTTGATATACAAGGCTATAAAAATATACGTTAGAAAATGTCTGTCTACGAACAACAACAACAACAACAAGTTCTGTATAATGAAGTTACCTTTAAGAGTGTTCCCTCGCGGCCCGATGAGGAGTCCGACGAAGTTGATATCGGGGTGCTCCTCCTGGGGTATCATCACTTTGTCGTGCACCCTTATTATCGGCGGCCTGTCAAAATAAAGCGATACTTATTATTACAATTCATAAGAACTCAATTTGTATCGGACGCAACGCCGACAACAGCTATGTGTTTTTTTATATGAAAAGAGCTTTAATGTTTTAAAACTATAATAAATAATATGTATTTATAAGATATTTATGTTTCATTTTATCATTTATAGTTTTTAATTTATTTTAGTTTTAGTTAGCCTACCACTATTCTAAACAAAAACTGACATAAAATTATATGGTGTAATATAGTCCTATTTCGTTAATTCAAGAGGTCGAGACGGCAGGAGCGACCCTCTCGGGGACCTTACTTGTAGTCGGGCGGAGGTTTGAACTCAGGGTTGACCTGCTGCATCCTCTGCACCAGCCTATGTCTCTCTTCCTCGAGCTTCCTCCTGGTCCTGTACTCGCGGGTGTTCAGCCTCTTGCCGTCCGTCGAGTATATGGGCTCCGGCGATGGTGATCTGATGTACGTGAGAAAACTTGGATTACTTAGTTCTAAAACCTCATGCAAGAAGTACTAATACTGGTCATGCGCAAATGAGGACCCCACTCTCGGCGGGTCCATTGTCTTGTCATTACCACTGACAGCTGTGAGCATGCTTCGCGTAATTTTTAGAGCGTGTAGTCTAGCACGACAGCAGTTGTATTGTCACTTTCAATTAAATCGAATGAACATTTGGTAATTGATTAAAAGTGACGAATTTTGAAAACGAAGTCTTTATGCATTTCCAGCGTCTGGCTCTCTGGCCCTGACGTCTTTACACGTTTTTTCAGTTTTTTTTTTTAAATATATTCCCAAATGACTTGAGTATTAGTACGGCTTGCATGAAGTAATTCGGTGAGGAATTCTATGGAAACTAAGTTATTGTACTTTTATAAATAATAGTTTATAAAAATACACCAACTCAGTACAGTGTTGCTACAGCCGGTGTAGTGTAGCAACACCAATATTATCAACCCTTAACCCTGGCAACATCGTGCTAAACCTATCTAAGACCTAAGCTTCGCCCTAAAGCCCTGAGAAATAAAAATAATTATTTTGACCTGAAATTTTAATTAGAAAATAATTATTAATTAGCACATTTTCAGCCCTGAAAATAATTAGATTATTGTGTGTGCTGAAAAAGATTATTACGGTTATTGTATATTTTATCGTTATTATTGTTTATTAGAACCGTGTCTGTAGGAATGCGTATTACCTGCAAAATTAAGAAAAATTTCGCATTAGTAGCTTGATTATATCTTTTCTGTTTTATTATTTCAATAAAGAAATTAAGGTTCTCAATTTCACTAATATTATTTTTTTTATTTATTTTTTTTGTCTTGGCCAAAATAGGTATGTAAATATAGTAAAGCCAAAGTATAGTTTAGTATAGTTATATAAAAAGTAAAATTGCTGAAAGGGCATTTACATTAAAAACGTATTTTAATGAATTATGTGTAGCACTTTTCAAAGGTTCTCTCTCCTGTAAACAGAATATTAATTGGAATGTAAATTTTCACGATAAACCGTTTACAAATTATGGCCTCCAATACATTTTTATCACATTCTGTTTAACTTGTTTGTATCATGGATACATAATAATTTGTAGAGTAAAAATTTTAAACACTGGGACTTGACTAACACTATAAATCTGGTAACATTTGTTAAAATAATTTTAAAAGTAGTTCTAAAATACTGTAGTATTGCAATAAAATATGGCTCCAATTTTAATCTTTACTAAACATTTTTAGCTCAAAGTTTTCACCAAACAGAATCAGTATGTACCAAAATTTTTTATTTCACAAAAAAAACTTATTAATTTTGTCAAGAAATAAGCCGCTCTGGAAATATCAACGAATACTTTACACGCCTGCTCGTTTCGCCTGGACCGTTATTATATTCGCAATAAATAAAAGTGATTAGTTGATGGAATACTTATTCTTTAGGAGTACCTCTCTTCGACGTTGGCCGGAATGCCGAGGTCGCCGGATCTGAGCTTGCGGCTGACCTCCTCGATCTGCAGCTGCACTGCAAGGAACGGATTAGACCCGCGACAACACAACACATTAGATAGCATCCCTCTCCGCACTAGCTACCTACCTCGCAGCACTGACCTTCCTCATGTTTGTCAACGGTTAAATCTCTTGTTAATACTGACCAATCATCTTTACTAAGCAATTCTTAATACATATTTTTATGGGATTCATTGCAATTACTTTTTATTTTTGTTATAGAGACTTTATAATAATTGAGAAAATTAAATTCGATATGCTCAAATTTTAGTAGTAGATTTTAGTTAATGATAATTTGTATTAAATCGTATATGTGATTAACTAATGACATACTACTGAAGCTTCATAATTTATCCATTATAGAAACATCAGGTCATAATCAGAAACTCAGTTAAGTACACGATTGGCATCTCTAATCACAACATAAAATTTAAGAATAAATAAATTTCCAAATGTTGTTTAGTTTGGCATGCCCGTGGTGAGTAACATTAGAGAGGCCAATATTATTTTAACTGATTAATATTTGGATAATAATTTACACAACTAAACAATTCTGAGCTTGATTGTTCAATTCTTCATACCGATTAATATTGAACATATTATATTAAAAAAATTACAATTAAAGAATTGAACAAACAAATGAACCAATAAAGTCAATACGACGGCCATCACATCGAAAACAATTGAACACCAATTGCGAATAAAATTATAAAACAGAACAATAAGAATAGTGATTGTATAACAACTAAATTGGATCTTTTGTGATATTAAAATTAATGACGGTTGGACTACGAAAGGTGTAGATTTTTAACCGAAACAAACAAAATGAAACAGACGAATCTCGTGTAACATTTTCCAATGTCAGGAAAATGCAACGTTGTTAAGAGATATATGAGTTTGAAGTAAAGCTTTAGTTGTTGTACAGTCGTGGTGCTGGTGTGGGGGGCGGGGCAGGTACTCACGCAGGTACTGTTCCTCCTGGTCCTTGGTGAGGGTGGAGGGCAGCACGGTGGGCAGGCCGGGGATGAACGTCTTGTCGTGCTCGGAGCCCGTCCAGCGCGTGCGCCGCCGCCGCGCGCGACGCTCCGCCGCCGTCTCGCCGGGCGGGCCTGCCAGCCGACCGGATACGTGCAGACGCGAGTTTCTTTTTGTATCCCTACCTATTCGCTGGTAGCCTAAGGGGCTATTCCAGCTACGCCCGGACGAGTAGGCTCAACCTGAGAGAATTTGCTAACACTAGCCCTAGCAAGAGCAAGGAAGGCTTCGGCAAGGAATTCAGTGGGATGTGTCTATGGGTTAGTTCGCTCGTCGAACTCTTCGTCATAATCGACGAGTTCGACGGGGACCGGTGCTTAAGGGGCCTAAAAGCATCGAGAGTGAATCCGGGGAATCCAACAAGACATGTGACAATGACAGACGTCGAGGTCGGATAAGTAATTAGCGGCGGCCACAATAAGAGGGATTTAGTGTCGCGCCGCTTTCTCGAAGTAGCGTTCTGACGCTTCCTTAAGATACTTACGTATCGGTACTATATTTTTGTCGTCATGAGCGAACACTATACTTCCATAGGTTATGACAGTACGTATGCAGGTTTATGTAGTGTCACCTTGTTACGAAGGGATAATTTACTTTGCGTGCAGATCACGGGGTAGAGTCGACCGAGTAGGAACTCGGCTCGGTCGCGTGCTGAGTTAATGTGAGGCCCGAATGTCATCCCTTGTCGGGAGTGACGCCTAGGTACTTAGCCTCCGAAGCCCACGGTATGGGCTTCCCAAGGATTTGTATGGCGAGAATGGAGCTTTCTTCGTAGATAGCCGTATCATCTGCGAATAGGTCTCACTGGGTCGCCGAAGACCGGGGCAAATGGCGGGAGGGAGATTGAAGCCTTGCGGGACTCCGGTCGCTATATGTCGCGGGTGGAGCACTCACTGCGTATCGTCGGATAGTGAACATAACAATACCCAGTCCGTCGTCCTTGTCGTCATCGGGGTGGTGGTCGCGGTCCCGATGCTTGGCCTGCAACAACTCCAGTTTCTGCTGCACGGAGGTGGGCGGCGGCACGGCGGCGGCGGCGGACAGCGCGGCGGCGGCGGCGGCGGCGGGCTGCACGCCGGCTCCCGCGCGGCGCTGGCGACAATATACTTAGAATCATTTCCTTCTTCCGACTCGTTGGACGTAACACAAAGCGACCACAAAACAATAATGGATTTAAGGAAGCCATTCCCAAGTATTAAAACCATTGCTACAGAATATATATTCTTGTGAGTCCGCACGGGTAGGTACCACCATCCTGCCTATTTCTCGCGTGAAGCAGTAATGCGTTTCGGTTTGAAGGGCTCCAGTAACCACTTAACACCAGGTGGGCTGTGAGCTCGTCCACCCATCGAAGCAATAAAACAAATAAAAAAATATGATTTGACCCCTTCAAAACGTCGGATTAACTCGAAATTTGGTATACTTATTAAGGACCGATGACAAATAAATATTTAAAAAAATATTGAACAAAACAAAATTGACAAAAATTGAAATTCAACTAATAAATTAAAAATAGGTCCTAGTTTAAAAAAAACTAACAAAATACGCTTTTATAGAAAATCAAACTAAAAAATAGATTTTTTTTTTTAATTAATTTGAATTAAAAATAGTGTAAGAAAAAATGATTTTATTGGAAAAAAAGTGTGGGGTGCATGGTATCAGTAGTTATAAATATTTTATGAACAGATATAAGTAGAAGGGTTATTTTGATAGTATCTTGAAAAGCATTCTCATTGGCCAGCAGTCTTCTCTAGGTATGGTAGCATTCTGCAGAAGAATTTCAATTCCCGCGGGCCCCGCGCGCACATGTAGGAAAACACCGGGGTGGTTTTAGTCGGTAGGAGTCCGGCACGCCCCTTCGCCTTTCCCCAGGCGGAGGTAGACCATGAGGATTTCCTCCCGAAAAAAAAAAGGTATGGTAACATTGTGTAGTAGTACCTGAGCAACAGCAGCCGCAGCCATGATGGCAGCCTGAGCGGCAGGGTTCAATGCAGTGACATTATTTATCACGGGCCGAGCTGTAGCCTTGGTTGTTGTACCGACCATTTGGTCCAGTAATGCGATGGTGCCATCTCTGTAAGCGAATGAAAACAAAACATCTTTATTATGACATATACATATATAGTTTAAATAAAAAAAAATGTTACCTAAAGTTCTGTTACAGATGAACTGATGTTAAGTTTAATGGTCAGTGTAATTCTTTGTGTTTTGGTAATGAGAAACAGTTTCATTAATTTTAATTGAGTATATTGTTAAAAGAGCAGTCTGAGACTGAACACTAACAGTATGGTCACAGGTTTATCAAAACAGATTCACAATTCAGCTGATACTAATCAGAATCAGACAGACAGAATGATCAGTATCACCTGAATTGTGAACCTTTTTTGATAAAATGTGTAATATCATTTTACTTCACAGCATCCACAGACTTCAGCCAACACTTGTGAATTTGACTAATTTGGTAAAATCTATAACAATATTGACTTCTATATTACATAATTGACTAACATTTATACCAATTTCCACTTTAATCGTATTATGACAATCTAATTATTTTTTAAACTGTAAGGAGCTAGGCTGTACCTCTGGCTTTGGGTGGGCTGGATGCTCATCTGCCTTCGCAAGCAATGAAAGAAGTGTCCAAGCTTAAATATACTGAATATAAATATAACCTAATGAAATCAAAATAGTTTAAATGTTAAGTTTATACAGAAATCCATATGCAATGTGTATATCATATAATTTAATGTCTACTTTGATGATTACTGTCAAATATACCTCATGTACATATCAACAGCTGCCAAAGTACATATCGACGCTTGAAAGGCAAACGTGACTAAGCGACAATAACTGCTTTGTACATAAATGATAGGCAATAACCATATTCGATGTGCAAAAATTATATATATTTCTAGGTCTATTAAAATCATTTCAATCCTACAGCTACTAGTTAGATACTACTACAGCTAGATTCGTTAAAATAAAAAAAATTCAGGTATTTCAACTTTAAATTAGTCTACTGTAAAGTTCACGCATTGTCGCTTAGTCATGTTTGCCTTTCAAGCGTCGATATGTATATCTGTTAAAATGTTCATTTGTTCAACCCACCAACCCAAGAGTAAATCAAGCGAACAAACCTATCTTTAGACTTCCTGCCTCGACTGCGACTTCGAGAGCGGCTCTTGCTGCGGCGTTTGTCCTTATGTCTGTCTCTACTTCTGCTCCTTTCTCGATCTTTATCCCTGAATATAGATTGAATCTAATTTAATCAAGTATAAATGATAAATCTATACTAATATATAAATCTACAGTGGTTTTTGCGGATGTTCCATTATAACTACTGAACCATGCATCCGATTGCCTTGAAACTTGGTATCCGTGTAGAAAATACATGTACTTAATGGATAGGCTTATATTTATATGAGTGTTAGACTCCCTACACCAGTTGCGGGGGCGCTAATGATGAGCATCTTTGTGGGGGTGAGAAATAATAATGTTAATTTAAATGCCCAGCGAAGCGGACGGGTACAGCTAGTCATTGATAAATACAATACCTAAACAGACCAAAAGTGAACACAAAATTAAAATTTTGATTCAATTAACTGTCTTATAATATTTTCGAGAAAAGCATAAATAGAAAATTACATGATTTATGGGGCTGGCATAAGTTTCACTTGCTTGGGATTGTGTAGTAGTAGTAGTTTGTAGATTTGTAACTATATTAAAATTGTTGTTTTTATGCAAGTTGCCTCGTTTCCATCATTGGCTTGAACTCATAAATTACTAAGTTAGCTTTTGTAAATACATACACATGCTGTTAAGTGTTTTTTTTATTATTATTAGTTAGTGTTAACAGTGAAATAAGCCTTTTAACAAACTGGATTAATAGAAATAATTTTTAATTGATGCTAGTACTAAGATAGAAAACCCAACTATAAATAAAACAAAATAAAACATAAACAAAACTATGAACATTTAAGATGTACTTATTTATATGACAACAAGTCAAAAACCCCCATTTCTTTATAAACACTATTTTAAGATGTATATTATAAAAGCAAATCTTTAAATTAACTTTGGTTGATAATTATAATTAATTTCAAAATTACAACTCATGTGGCTTATTTAAAATTTTCTGATTTGGTCATAAAACCTTTATTAAGGTTGGTTTCATTTTTTGCATGTTTATTTTTAAAATGGCTGTTTAAATTTCCAAATTCTTTGCATTTTAAAAAAGCTTGTAGTTTTTTGCAGAATCCCATTTTCATTTTCTGGACTCAGTATCAATCACTTTGTTTTTGTCTCTTATATCATTCAATATATTCTTGTCTTCACTATCTATACTTATGAACTCGTATCCATCAATAGTAGTAACACTTGAATCATTTTGATGCTCTGTGTTATCTACTTTCCTTTTACTTAATTCTCTATATCCTTCAATTATATTACCTAAGCTTTATAATAATTTCAGATATCTTGAAGTTAGGATTTTTATTGCCCTTGTAGGCAGATGAGCATACGGCCCACCTCATGGTGTGTGGTTATCGTCGCCCATGGACTTCAGCAATTCCAGGGGCAGTGCCAAGCCGCTGCCCACAAAAGGATATTTTAGTTATAAGAATTAAATAGAATTATAAATTAGATGGAATAATTGGTCAACGATTTCCTTCCAAAATAATTGAATGGTTGTTTGGATTTCAGACACCAGATGTGAAGAGAGACTTTTCATAGTTCTCACTAAGCAAGGGCGAGGGGAGTTCAGTTTACAATTAGATGGTATGTGGTAACAAATATATATGAAGACACCCTGTGGACAAACACAGTGGTTCTAAATAGTGTGGATGAACGATGATCTGGTGGTGAGTGGTATGATCGTAAATTGTGATGTTGGAGTCATCAATGCCTCAGAGAGTTCCCAATAGAATATATGGTACAATACACAGATAGACTTAAGTTTCTGTTCTTCTAATTTCTGTCATTTGTATGTCGTGATGGTTTCCTCACTCAATTGTGAACTCTAAAGATTTAAATGCTAACAGGGGACTGTTCAAGCATGAGCAAATTGGAACCATCATTCTGTAAATTTTCCCAAGCAACAATCATACGCTCAGATTTAAGGGATATAACAGCTAATGTACCACAGCAATTGAGCCATCAATGTAAAGGTGAAGAGTGACATCCTCATGGCATTTTTCTAAGCAGACCAGTAACCGCTGACTTCAAGTGGAACTCTTTTAAGCTCAATTAAACTTGAAATACAATCACAAAACTCGCTTTTACCACGATAAATTCATATCTGGTGAACTTTTTATTGACAATGTGACATATTTACCTTTTGGAACGACGGCGGTCCCTGTCGCGGTCTCGATCACGATCCCTATCCCGGTCCCTGTCTCTATCGCGATCTCTATCCCTATCCCTGTCCCTATCACGATCACGGTCCCTATCGCGGTCTCTATCACGACCGTGATCTCTATCCCGGTCCTTGTCGCGGTCGCGGTCCCTATCCCGGTCTCTGTTCTTCTCGCGATCACGATCTTTATGACGATCACGGTCTCTCGAACGAGATCTGCTCCTATCACGGTGTCGAGAACTCATCACAAGTAATTATGAAATAGCAACGTTTTATTGATTCGTTAACTTCAGTATCACTTATTATGCTTAAATAAAATCAAAGACCTTTTTGTGATCTTATGTACGCGAGCGGAAACCACTTTCTGCAAACTATAATCGACACGATAGCCGCCTGCCGACAAAACAGACGCAATCAAAATTAACAAAATGGTGGTTACCATAGATTTCATAGATAATCGTATTTTTTGGGTATGGCAACTTGTTGCATTACTATTAGTGCCAGCGTCGAGCTTAAAACTTAAAACACAATTAATTAAGTGGGAAATTTTCAAATAGCAGATAAGCCATATACTTCCTTCTGTGAATCTAGCATGACCACTCGAGGTCACCAAAATAGGTAGGAAAAAAAATTTCGTTTAGTCACAGTAATTAGCGATTTAAGCTATTTATTTTTTAGCTCGAGATGTAGGGCCAGAAATCCATCCATCACTGCGACACACATGGATCTATTGTGGGTCAAATGATCTATTAGGATTTTTCGTATATCTTTACAAAGTATCTGTTTGTAAGGTTATTAAAATACCATAATATCAGGGAGAACTATCTAAGGAAAAGTAGTATTTTTTTTATATTAGAGCTAATACGAAATATAAGAAGAGGATTCGAAGAGGTTCTATAGATGACCTAAAATAATAAGATAATGAATAAATATCAAACTTAAGGTCTGCGTTGCGCGATGCTAGAATTTTTAGTCTTTAACTTTTCAACATGACAAGATATTCAGTAGCAAAAAAGCACTGGATTTTAACGGAACCGAGGAAAGTTGTTTTTTTTAGGCAAATGGAGAGAAGAAACCTATAGCTTATTATATAAGGGCTCGTGTATGGTTGTACAAAATTATCCATATCCTCATAGAATAATTGAGAACATATAAATAAAAACAGAGTTGTGGAAAGAGCCCTGGCAGGCAACCAATAATAATTTAGGTACTTGTTAAACTTCTTTGTTGGTCGTTAATAACTTTGGAACCAAGGATAGTGGATAGCCTCAGGCCATAGCTTAATTTTTTTTTCTGATCTTAAACTGAATTTGACCTTTTGGCGGGAGCGCTACGAGTGAGGTGTGAACGTTTTTTTTCTGTTAACATAGTGTTTATTCGGATTTAAATTTTTATTAACGATGACTTATTAACTCTTTAGCATCTGTGAAAGTGCATAAGGGTGGGAATGGTAGCTGGACTAGGCTCTCCGGTTTCTTCCAAAAAGTCGACTGAAGTCGGTAAATTCTAACTACTTTGCTGAGACTATTTAATTTCATCTCATGCCGTTTAACTTAAATTTATCCCGATTGATTTCAATAACAAATAAGCTTCACATAATTTCCATTCATAGCATTGTTCATAATATAACAGAATATAGGTACTGCTTTTTGTAGTGATCCTAAAGTTAACGCAGACCAACTTAAAGTTAAGATGCTACAGAATATATGGAATTTTTATTCCTTCTTTTGAGATATCAAAAAGTCTTTAGTAGTAAACCAATAGTCAGAGCAGATATTGCATCCCTATAGTAGTTGTTCCCTTATGACTATTATATTACAGAAAAGGCGCGAGTTTACGCCATGTCACGGCCCTAAGAGGGTTATGAAATGTGTATGAAACGGTAAGCTGGAAAGACTAGAAGTCGTGCTTTCTATTCACTCATCTAGACAGCAGAGTATTTTTTACAGATTTCATCTACCCTAAGTCTGGATTGTAGCGCCAACACTTCGCCTCCAACGTCTTACAACGTGACGTTACGTGGGGCTTCTGGTAATCGACACCATTAGTCGAGTGGATTAGATTGCAATCATGAGTTTAACTGCATCCTTTTCAGTTTTTTTTTGCTTATATGGGTGGGCGAGCTCACAGCCCACCTGGTGTTAAGTGGTTACTGGAGCCCATAAACATCGACAACATAAATGCGCCACCCACCTTGAAATATAAGTTGTAAGGTCTCAAGTATAGTTACAGCGGCTGCCCCACCCTTCAAGCCAAAACGTATTACTGCTTCACGGCAGAAATATGTAGGATGGTGGTACCTACCCGCGCGGACCCTAAGAGGTCCTACCACCAGTGATTACGCAAATTATAATTTTGCGGGTTTAATTTTTATTTCACGATGTCATTCTTTCACCGTGGAAGTCAAGCGTGAACATTTGCTTAGTACGTATTTCATTAGAAAAATTGGTATCCGCCTGAGATTCGAACACCGGTGCATCGCTCAACACGAATGCACCGGACGTCTTATCCGTTAGGCCACGACGACTTCAAAGTTCGAAGTCTGTTAAAAGAAGTAGTTGTATTATTGCAAGCTATACAAGCATAAGACGTGTAATGCATTTGTTTTTTATCAATACATTAAGTTATATAATCCACATAAGTGTCAAACCAGGGAAATAAAACAAATTCGTATCAAGAATAAACAAACGACAGCAATTTCTCAATATATTTCAAAGATCAAAATACATTTCTTACAACTTTTAACAGTTCAATCATACCAAATTACAATATCCAACATGAACTTTCTAAAACAATGTCACTTAAAAAAATTACAAAATGTCGCAAACTATTACATCAGCTTAGAGCTCAAATTGTATAGCAGTCAGTTAAGATAAGGTAGAGGTCCGTGCAGTGAACTACAACGACACTGCTATGCATATCCCACCAGTTACATTCAAAACTTTAAATGTCCCATGAACAAACAGAAATTATCCTTAATTCTAATACAATCATATTTTAAATCTCCTTATTCTCTACATATTTCTATTACTTATAGCTACATATTTAGTCCGGACCAACAGTTCCAGTCACACCACTGTCCACTTCACTAATATTATTTTAATAGAAAACTATGTTAACCAATCTGGGAGATGATTTGTGCAGGTGTGTTACGACGGCCGGTATCAAATGCAGTATAATTTTGTCATCTCATAACCTGAGGAAGGAATGAATAATTACTAAAATACAGGAAAAAAATCTAGATATAGACAAAACAAGTAAAATTTTCTGCTGTGCTGTTTTATTGTATATCTAATAGTTTAGAGGGTATGGACGATTCTTTAACATTTGCAATATAAAACATTGCTGTTAACCATTGAATAAAATGTTGCAATAAATGTTATTATTTAGCTTTTGCATTTAGTTTCTTAATTGAAAGGCCCCTGTCTGTTTATTTGAATGACAAAAATAATTAAATACATTGTAAAGATGATCATAACGAAAGTTGATGTCATTACTCTCACAAATAACTATGGTAATGTAAATGGCTAGGCTAGGTGGTCCAATGACGTTCAAAGGATGGCCGGCCAGAGGTGAACAGAGAGAGAGAGGCCTTATGCCCAGCATTGAATGACTATGATGATGAATGTAAATGGTTTGGTAAGGAAGTCATTCTGGAAACTGAAGTAACATGAGGTGTGCTAGTTTAACCTAAATACTTGTTTTTAGTAGGTTAGTAAGGCATGAAGCCATAATCTAAAGTGAAAGCATTTGATGAATTCATTACATGAGATCACAAGCTTGATGAATCAGCTCATTTAATTAAAATCTATTATTAAATTTAATTAAAAAAAGTTGTAGACAAGCATGCAGTGCAAATATTTATTATGGCAGTTACCATTTTCTTATCAAAACAAATATCTTAGTTTTTGGGAGTGGTTCCCTAAAAATGGTATAGGTTATGGTCACAATGGAACTTAATAATATAGACATTAGACAAATTACGATCAATCTACTAGAAAATGGGTCAGTAGGTAAAATGCAGATGAGGGAAAAACGCAGTCAACATTTAAATATGAAATAGAGTGGTGGTAGCTTTAATAAAACATAATATTATTAAGATATTTGACAAATGCCGGCCAGAGTAAAATACAATATGAATGTAGGTACCTACTCAAAATAGGAGTTAAAAACACTCTGAAGAAATACGTACTTAAAATTAAACGGGTGCACCAGGACCGCCTTTCTTTCCAATGAGAGATTTGTGTATGTGTGGGATGACGCCTCCGCCAGCGATAGTTGCTTTTATGAGGCTGTCCAATTCTTCATCTCCTCTAATAGCAAGTTGTAAGTGCCGAGGAGTAATACGCTTCACTTTTAAATCTTTAGACGCATTTCCCGCCAACTCCAAAACCTACGTAATTAATTAGCATTGAATTAGAAAAATAAAATGTTACTTATTAAATGAAGACGTGAGTAATAAACAAGACATTTAATTTAATTTACTTTGTCTTCATGAGACCTATTTTAATACGACTGTTTTAGCGATTTAATTAATACGATTTTTGTACTGGCTGTAAACAATGCCTAAGTTTAAAAAAAGTCAAAAATGTTTATTATTCAATATTTGCATTAAGGTTACGAAATATTATATGAATTATTAAATAAATCGCAATTACTCTTTGAAAAATATGTTCCTAATCATTTTATCAAATAATTTTCCCGCCAAATTTTCGATTTAGACAAGCTTCAAACACTCAGCCGTTAAGTACATAAATAAAGCATTTTTTGAATAACAGAAAATATATTTAACCGACAGAAACAAGAAAATATCTGAATTTTGAGAAAATGCGGCCGTTATTGTACGTAATAATGCGCTAAGCGATTGCCGCCATATTGGGCGACGCGTAGTTCATACATACCTCTGCTGTAAGATATTCCAAAATAGCGGCAGAATAAACTGCTGCCGTAGCTCCTACGCGCCCGTGGCTTGTTGTCCTATTCTTAAGATGCCTATGAATTCTTCCAACGGGAAACTGGAAAATTTTATGTCTTGTGATTATTGATTTATCTTTACAATGTTGACCGCCGCCATACTAGGAGGGTCGTTTAATTTATTTAATTTTGATGTTAATTTTTTTAAAACATTTCAGGTATCTTATTTTTTTCTAAATTCGTGATTCTAATTAAGACTTCATTTTAACATACCTGAAGTCCTGCTCTAGCTGATCTTGAGACAGCTTTCGCCTTGGCTTTACCAGAATCTTTACCCGCTTTACCACCGCCCTAAAATTGACGAAAAAACCCATTATTTTTTCTTGTACAGAGCTGAAACTTCGCGAGTAGCAGTATCACAACACTATCCATCGATCCACATATTTTTCACAGCACAAAACGAAACAGTTTTCACAAAATCTTGAAAAACTCACCATTTTGAAACGTGTACCACACTATCACAACTACAACGAGAGAACAACCAAGACAGGAAAGCGCCAAGCGAAATCTTTATGATACAAGATGGCAGCGCCGCGCGACTTGAAACGCGCAGAGTAGCCAACCAATAGGGATAAGCGCTTAACCGGAAATGTTGTAAAACACAAACAGACCTCATTTTAACCAATCAGAACTTAAGTGTGTTGGCGCGCGAATTGCTAGGAACAGTGCTGCCAAGCATACGAAGGCGTCAATCTTTGGAACTTAATGTTATACGTTTCATTATACGCAGTAAGCTACTCCTCCCTCTCAAATAAATTTAATTTTTTTTTTTTGTTTTAGGGCCCTTATCAGCAGACGAGCATACGGCCCACCTGATGGTGAGCTTATCGTCGTCTATGGACTTCAGCAACGCCATGAGCAGAGCCAAGCCGCTGCCTACCGAAACCGCTTTACTTTTCTGGTCTTTCAAATCTGACATTAAAATCTTGAAGGTCTATAAGTTAATTTCTTACCTTTTGTACGTGCTTCACAGATATACACTGCTATAATAGATTTGCTTGATAGATATTGATATTTTTATTAACAGCTGTTGATACTAATTGTCTTGTATCGCCACTTTAGACTATAACGTGTTCTTCATGGTATACTGTTGTCATCACGCGGTTACATTCAAAGGTCATACAGTACTTTATCGCAGGTCGAATGGAAAGTGACTCTGACTATTCCACGGTTTCTCGGTCACCACCACCGCCACCCACCTTAAGACATGAGTTGTAAGGTCTCACGCTTAACAGTATAACGGCTGTCCCGCCCTTCAAACCGAAACGCATTACTGCTTCACGGCAGAAATAGGCAGAGTGGTGGTACCTACCCGTGCGGACCCACAAGACGTCCTTACACCAGTAAAGTACGTTTTTCTAGAATCCATACGCTGTACTGATGAATAACCTTACTTAGGGCCGTTGAATATTTTTTTATACTTATGCATACGGCAAACGGATTTGTGGGCAGAGCTCGCAGTGTACCTACCTCTGGTATTTTTCATCCCGTCGTTACTTTATCTGGACAAACACCGCATTTAATGCATTATCACTAGGTGTGCGTACTTGATAAATGGTTGCGGGAGTATTTATTATTATTATTATTTATATCATAGTGTGTACCGCCTACTTTGAAACATGAGACTTCCCAGTTTAATTGGAATATGGCTGCGCCTGTAATTTTATTTTAGGCGATAGAGCGTGTAATTAGCCTCCGGGTTGATATAACCATTCTGCATATTTCTGTCTAAATTCATAATTCATAGCTTTAACAATATGTTACTCGGTGACTGACTCGGTGGTGCAGTTGTTAGTGGCCTTGCGCGGAGGGTTTTGGGTTCGATTCCCACATCGGGCAAACGTTCGTGTGGTGAACAGTTTTGTTTTTTGCTCTTTGCCTGGGTGTTTATTATTAAATATGTATATACCTAGTCCATTTTTTTTTTTATGAAGTAATAATATTGTAAAAATTTATATAAAATATTCTATTTGAAATGGCCACCTTTGGCTTGTATACAGGCCTTTAATCTGTTTGGCCACGAATCTATTGATTCACGCACTGTTTCCAAGGGATATTTCGCCTCTGCTTGTTCCAAAGATTTTTTAAGAGACTTAATGTCGCCATGTCGTTTATAGCAGGCCATATCCTCTAAAAATGACCATAATTTAAAGTCTAAAGGGTTGATGTCTGGGCTAGATGAGGGCCAGAATTCAGTTCTCATAAAGTCCGGAACGTTGGTTTCAAGCCAGGCTTGGGTAGTTCGTGCCTTGTGACCAGGTGCAGAGCCCGGCTGGAAAGTCCACGGTATATTTTAAAAAAGTGTACTGCTGAGAGGTTTCACAACATGATCCAAGACTGTATATTGATACACTTTGGCTGAAGTTTTCACTCCTTTTACATAAAAATGTAGTTTTATGACTCCTTCATAAGACACGCCCCACCAAACCATCACTGACGCAGGATAATGACCACGTTGTACCTTTCCGACCACTTGAGCAGCTTCTTTAGAACTGTGAGCGTACACTATATCATTTAGCTTAATGTAGTGTTCTTCAATCGTGAATTTTTTTTCATCGGTAGGTAAAGAAGATATTTCTGTGCCTTTCACTTGCGTATCGCGACAGAAGGCGTTTTGATCGATCCACTCTCTTTAATTGTAAAGATTTATTTAGGGCATGTCCTGTACATCGACGATAAGCACCAAGCTTCAGATCTTGTTTTATAATACGCGAGAGAGTCCTAGCGGGAATCTTCATTTCTCGCAATAAGATTTTTTGCTCCCTAATGGGGTCTCGACGAATTCTGGCTATACCAGCATTAACAGCCTTTATAGTTCTAACAGTACGCGGCCGCCCTGGTCTTCGACAGACGAAGTTTTGTTGTATCTATTGATAGTACGATATACGATGCCGTATAATGCGTATTAAACACTTCACACAAAGCTTGGTATCAGTACCAAAGCTTTTGAAGTGTCTGGAATATGACCGACGGCTCCATATCCAATTTGTGCAAGGCGATCACTGCACCCCTATTTTCTTTAACACCCCATTCCATATTGTATTTTGTTAATGAAAACGAGAAAATGTGAAATGGCGCAAAATCCAAAGAAGTTTTTAAAATAATATACGTGTTCCAAATTCAAAATAATTAAAAAGTTGAAAAAAAGAAAAGTTTTATGTACGTAATAGTATTTATGGCCAGACTAGTTATTTAAACGTATCTATATTTTTTTCGCCATTTTAGGCAGACGATCTTACAGCCCACCTAATGGTGAGTGGTTACCGTCGCCCATGGAGGTCAGCAATGCGTAGGTAGAGCTAAGTCACTGCCTACCGTTCTCAGTCTCTGGTACTTATAACACAGGGTTTATTTTTTTATCCTCATTTGGGGCCGGATGAGCATGCGTGATTTGTTCCCAGTTAGGTACCTAATTGGAAACTTTTACACACTCTCAGTTGCTCTGCCAACGAGATTGCTGACTGAGTACGTTTTTGTAATGTTTTTTGCTACATTCGAGTTTTTTGTTGGCCTGACCCTTCGACGTGAGCGAATTGCTTACGTTTTTGTTAAGTTAATCTCGATTAAATTCTTCATAAAAATAAAAACACTAATTATGGATCTTACAATATATTTTGATAGGTTAATAAAGTTCATACAACATAAAACATCTAATTGGTTCGAAGGTCACTAAAAACATTAGCCGTATAGCAATGAAGTAACTAAATTTCGAAGTGTTTTATTAGCATCTCAAACAAGAAAAAAAAATTTTTTTAACTTATATTATTTGTTTCATGTGAGTATTTTAATGGTTAAATATTTTTTTTAACTTGTGCTGTAATCAATTTTCACATTTAATTTTCACTATACTATATTTTATTCTAAGGACAAAGTGATTATTAAGTCATTGCTACAAAATAGGTTAAAATGTACTTTTAGTACCTATGAGTATAATATCATATTCTGCGCATAAATGAAGACTGAGAAGTATCTTAGTAAATAGTAACGTCTAATTTTGTTTATTAAAATTGTGTTTTATTTTTTAACAAGCAATTAGTTAATTCGTAATCTAATTTATGTTAAGTAAGATGGCGGTGCTTGTAGCATCATTGGCGCACTACAAATAGTGTTCAGCGTTTTCATTGAAATCGTCGCAGCGCTCCTCCATTTCCAACTGAAAAATAAAATTTTGTTTTAATTGTGGATATATGTTTGGCTTTTTGTATCGATCTTCTTTGCCTTTTTCGAATAAGGTTCATTTTGAGGAAATAAAAAATGCCTTCATATCATCTTTAAGCACCGTTGTGACACTGAAGTAGGAAACCTATGGAAATGAAACGTCAACAAAAAATTCGTGCCACTGTGACGTCATCTGGCCACAAAACATGGCGGTTTTAGTGCTGGCCAGAAAATTTTAATGTTAGTAGGTTTTATCGATAAACGTTCTTGGCTCATTTTATTTTAAATATTGTTGAGTGAATGTATTTGTAGAATTTATACTTTAATAGGAAGTAAGTATATTGTTATGTGCAAAGATGATGTGATTTAGATATTATGTGAAATCTAAGACGAGTTCGTGCTTCAAATTTGCCAAGTAAACGATATGACGATTTTTAAAATTTGCTACACTGATTTTATAAAGTTGTCGTTTGCCGCAAAACATAAAGATATGGCGTAGTACAGTGCCATCTGCCCATTTCTAGCATGCTGAATGTTATCGTATTTTGAGTACGTGTTTTTCTTAGACTATTACAATCTATTTTAATTGTTTTGCTGAGAGTCTCGCTTGAGAGTGATTCAAATTTTAAACTTCTCAAGGGACCGCCTGATAAAAAAACACCTACAGAACATTTATTCGTTAATAAAATTACAAACGTCATTCCTTGTGACTTCCTCTCTAAAATCACTTAATTATTAAATATTTAACGAGTTGACAATAGTGTTATAAAACTATTTTATTTAAATAGTTCCGACGACTTTCTTGAGATCCTATAAAATATGTTTTAATTATTATTTTTGTATGTTTTAAGCATGATAAAATAAGAAATTTTATATAAGCAATCATATTAAATCGATATCAAAGTCAATAAATAATGTACAACCCAAAACAGACGGCCGAACTGACGTGACAATGACATTTGGCGCGCTAAACATGGCGGATTTTCGGCCTCATTAGACGGAGACGGAGACATTTACGTATATTCATGTTTCATTTTATGTACGCACTGAAATACTGTTATATTGTTTTCCTGCGAGTTAAAGTGGTGAGTAAGAACGAGATAGATATATGTTTATGTATGTGCCTTCAAAATGGGTGCTATTTATATAAGCAATTGTACGTATAGAACAATATGTCGTGTCCCTACTATATAGGTCTATGCATTGTGATTTGAAACATCATTGAAAGAAATAGCTATATTAACAGTGTGACCAGATTTAAATCGAACATTATGCCAGTTACCTGTATAAATTCTGCTAAAATCTGCTTAATTTTTGTAAATAATTCCAAAATTATATTATATATATATATATTATATAATTATATTAGATAAGGTCAAAATTTTTATGAGGATTTAAAAAAAAAAAAAAACGGGTGCGTGTACTTATGTACGCGCGTATGAAGTTATACTTTATGTTTATTAAATTTATTTCTTTTTTTTATTTAAATTTTAATGAATTTGAATAAAAATCGATTAAACAACATCCTCAAACACGCATATTGGACATCCATTTTCTTGACATCGTATAAATTCGGTAATTCTCTGTACGGTTCGGAAAGTTCACCTGCGGCTATATTCAGACTCGCCAAGTTACGTCGGTCGTATTGTAATGAGCGATTTAGTGGGCAACTTCATTTCTGTTAATTTTTTGTCACGGTGCGCGCGCATCGTAAAATTTCACTCTTATCAATTTTCATAACGCGCCTAAATAAGTATAACTTCAAAAGGCAATTTTAAATATTTATTAACCAATTATAACATCAAAATTTCTGTGGCGTCCATGTTTTGAATATAATATTAAGTAAGTAGTAATATAATATTAATCGGAGACGAAAATGGTATCAAAAAGATTTAGTCCACGAGAGAACGAGATAGAATACTTGTGAAGGTTACACTCATGCCGTGCGTGAGAGTTGCACATTTTTTTTAATAATTATCGAAGATATGTACTCTATTCTAAGATCGACATAATGGCCGTTTTCCAATTACAACACAAGAGCGCATTATGCGGCATAATGCTCAACTAAGCTTCCGCATAATTCGGCATTGTGCGTCACTGAGTAATGGTTAATTACAGAGCATAATGCGACTCAGTGACACACAATACCGAATTATGCTGAAGCTTAGTTGAGCATTATACCGCATAATGCGCTCTTGTGCTGTAATTGGAAAACGGCCAATGTTGAGCATAGATTTTTGCGCCGGATCTTCTCAGTAGATTCAGCGAAGAACTTCCTAGGTTTATCTCTCTCTATTTCTTTCATCATAATATATTACGATTCTTTTTTGTTCAAATCTCAGATAGTCACTTTAGATACCTGTTAATTCTATCTATCTATCTATATAAAAATGAATTGCTGTTCGTTAGTCTTGCTAAAACTCGAGAACGGCTGGACCGATTTGGCTAATTTTGGTCTTGAATTATTTGTGGAAGTCCAGAGAAGGTTTAAAAGTTAGATAAATAGGAAAATGCTCGGAATTAAATAAAATTAACAATTTTATTTTTCCTTTGACGTGTCCCCCGTCGGACGGATTCCTTTTGTTTGTTTTAAATTTATTTTATACAAAAGTTTAGGTCTTTTATTTATCGATTGAGGCACTATGAAGTCTGCCGGGTCAGCTAGTTATTAATAAATAACAAAATAGTTTACCTCGTCGAGTTCGAGGCACTTGCCCCACTCGGCGAGAGTGACGCGGTGGTCGTCGTCAGCGTCGCAGCGGTCCAGGAACGGCGCGATGCAGTGCTCCAGGGCCATCAGCGGAGCTCTAATGGGGAACAGCTCGTGACGGGACACGAATCTGTTACGCAATGAACAATAATGAATTATGAATGGAAAAGTAATTTTGAGTTCAATTTACATGTTTCTTATTTTAGAATTTTCTTAAAGCAAAAGGGTTTTTTTGTTAGAGCTTAACAAAAAGGATTTGAAGTAAATATAATATTATTTTTGCTCCGTGCATCCGTGCAGTACAGACGTGTTAGCGATCTTTCCAAAAACATTCATTTCACTGACAAACCATTTTAAACTCAAGCAACATATGCTGTTGATTACAATTTACCGTGAAGTGCAGTGCGAGAAAAATAAAATTTATTTAACTTATTTTAAAACCACTACTATTACAATTTCGACCATAACAGTTTAAGCAGNTGTACTTACCTTGCTTCTGTGGTAATCTACCCTCTTTATACATTTTAAGAAAATAATAATCTTTATAGTTTTTGTTAAATATATTGTCATAGCACCGCATGTTGTTACCATAAATTATTGTCATGTACTGCACGATCTAAATTAATTATAACTATTTTATTGTTCTCATTTAAGTGAATTTATGTAATTCTTTTGAGAATAAAAAAAAAAAAAAAAAAAAATTCATACAAGTGGGTACACTGTGGTGCGAAGACGGCTCAATATAAAGATGGCAACGACGGTCGTTGACCTCGCGCGTCAGCCGACTGTCACTCGTATACAAAGGGTGTGGTCCAACAAAGCTGATTAAATATTTTTAATTGTTTTAATTTCAAGATCGCGTTTAATTAATGTTATTGTGCTATGTATAGCTAGCTTGCACTAACACCGTCTTTGATATCGTGAATTAATTTGGTATACTTTACAGAAAGCTTGGGTGGATGGCTATTACCATTCTACCTATTTATCCGCGTGTGTTTTGTTTCCAACTCATGCTTCAGGGTAGGGAATTCACGTCGTAATTAGACAAAATCAAATTTGAAACGAAATTTCTATATTACCTATCATTGGTCTGAGCGTCCAGATCGCACCATTTCCATATAGCGGCATTGGCCCAACGACGCGTGAGGTTTGATTCCGCCTCCCGCTCCATCTTCAGGTAATGAGGGGTCAGCTCTCTACGTTCAGCCATGTCGCGCATGATGTTGAAAAGCCAGTCCCGCATGCGACGGGGGAAGTCAGACATCTCGCTTTCAGTGCAGTCCGGCATTTCTCGGCACGTTCCGTAATACTCGATTTGAACGTGGTGGTATTGCGGGCCACGGCACTGATCCGAGTTGTCGAGGCATAAGCATCGCTGGCGGTATACTTCGCAATCCGATTGCCAGGTTTCGTTGAAGTTTGTGCACACCTGAGTATATAATTATAATGCTATGTTACCAGATTATCACACGGACTGAGAATAAAAAAAAAAAAAAGGTTAATAATAACAATTTTTATAATTGAGGCCATCAGCGCAAAAGTGGCCTAACCCATCATTTTTTATATTCAAGCTAATATGACGTATATTAGTGTATAATTTTGAATATAATAAATTTTTATGCAAAACCGGCCTATCCATCTGAATAACAGATAGCTTTGTAAACATTATTTTTGCGCGGATTTTTTTTTTGCTTAGTCAAATTCAAATTCATGTAAATTCAAACCTAATTGCCCCCATACTAACTATGGTAAGCTTAGCCTCAATTGGTGTTCACGGAATGGACTTAGATTCTTCAAGACACTTCCGACTCCTCAAGATTTAGATTTACTTTATATGTTACGTCTTCTATTTTGCTTTTTATTGACTCAAAAAAAAATATTGTTCTAATTTTTTATTGATAATCCTAAACTTCGTCCATAGATAATAATAAAAAAAATCGCTTGATAAATATAGTAAAAAAAAAAAACTTTTTACGGTATTCGCGAATCGTAAAAGTAAAAGCAAAAATTTATTGAACTGTAAAGTAGTTTTAATTAGAGTAAAAAAAACTACTTATCTGTTTCATCTTTGCTTATTTAAATGTAGATTACCAATAAATAAAGACGTTAAGACTAATATGAACAGATATCAATTGACAAAACGTCGCGATTGGCTGAGTGGTCTAACCATGCGTCTGGAGTCTGTCTCGTAGGGACAGTCCTTGATGCAGTTACACATGGCGTCTCCGTGTTCGTTGATTTCGCAGACACGTCCTGCGCTGCAGTGGACTTTCAGGCAAGGGTCTGAAAAGAATATGAGTGATAATACCCTTGCAAGGTGCACAAAAACACAGGTATGTCTTAAATAGTAACAGCTATAGCCAGAGGGTAGATTCTCAGATTATTAAAATACTCATATACTATTCAGAATTTATTCTCGAAGAAAATATTTTTCCCTGGAGATAAAAGAATTTTGGCATCTACAAGAGCATCGCAGTATTGGCTCAGCACATAGAATCTCAGATCCGGGTCCGCGTATCGAAAAGATAAAAGTGTTTTTCAACCAAATCAAGTTTTAATATCACCTTCCATGTTGATTTCTTCGTCTTCATTCTCTTCATTAGAGACCTCGTTGAGAAGGTCGTTAACTCTGGCTATTTCTGCCTCCTGTGCCCAAAAATTCTTAATTAATTCCTTTACCTTTATACTAGTATACGTTCTATGTTACTCTTCAATTTGAAATATAGCTTGTCACGAAATATTAGAAAAACGAGGGAGATACATACTACCGCAGTCTGGATTACCTCAGAAGTCAAATCAGTCTTTCAAACTTCTTTAAGTGCCATATTACAATGAAGGCCAATGATCAATTAAGTCCCTAACTTTAGAGACAAAAGATACGAAACCAAGATGGGGTGGTTTATTATCTTGACAGTCGCCTTGAAAGCACGCGAAAATCTATATAGTTAAATCAAATGCTGTTCATTTGGATTCGGACCATTTTAACTACTAGTCCTATTCGACTATTTTTGGTCTTATAATATCCGTAATAGTCCAAATGAGGATCTTAAAAAGTAGTACCTATAATTGAACATGACAATGTTTTTCGGGTCAGATACGTTACAATAAAATATAAGCAAACAAACATGGTATCGCTTCTCGTCCAAGCTCTCAGACATTCCGTGCTCGATGTGTTCAGCCTCCGAGATGTCCCCGCGGCCGAGCTGCTCCGACGTTGGACGTTCAGTAGTCGTGGTGCGGATCCTGCGGTGCCTACGCCGCATACGCTGAAATACAACCACGCAAAGGAACCATTATCAATTGTGACATTTGCAAAACGACTAAGTCACTGTTGTTCTTTTGCTGGTTCAGAAGTAATTTTTTTATTTATTTTTTTGATGGGTGGACGAGCTCACAGCCCTCCAGATGTTAAGTGCTTACTGGAGCCCATATACATCTACAACGTAAACGCGCTACCCACCTTGAGATATAAGTTCTAAGGTCTCAGTATAGTTACAACGGCTGCCTCACCCTTCGAACCGAAACGCATTACTGCTTCACGGCAGAAATAGGCAGGACGGTGGTACCTACCTGTGCGGATTCACAAGAGGTGCTACCACCAGTAGGCTTTGCTATTAAAAATATAATATCTTTGTAGACCAACGAATTCACGGCTTCATCTGACGGTGCATGATCACCGTTATTCGTGCTTGTCAGCAATGCTAGGGGGCAAAACCAAGCCACTGTCTACCGAGCCAAGCTACTGCGAATTCCCCTCTATGGTAATAACTTAGAAAGGATTTTTAAAGCCAACGTATTAAACTTGAATTAGGAAGGCTGATCGAAAAACCTAAATTTACTGGAAATACCAAATTTAATTAAATACTTACACTAGCGTCGGCGGTGCAAATGACCGCGATCACGAGGGCCAACGCAAGAAGACCCTTCATCTTGCCTTTCTGCAACAATGCAAGATCAATCAGTGAGACTCGTATTAAGTAGGGCCAGCGGAAGCTGCTTCGGTGGTCCAGTACTCCCTCCGTACACGTTCCTAATGAACTTTCAACAACAAAATTTGTTCAACTGTACAACAAATGTACTCTGTGCTATAGATACAATTGCCTGCTTCTTTTTTTTTCAACCTATGCTGATAGCCTTGAGAGGCTATTTCAGCTTCTCCTTGACGTGTAGGTGAGCTCACGGGGCTCTAACTGGAGTGTTACTAACACTGGCCCTAGCAAGAGCAATGCTTCGCAGAATCTACCACCGGATCGGAAACGCGACCCACTGAGAAGATCCAACGAGAAACTCAATGGGATGTGTCTGTGGGCTAATTCGCTCGTCGAGCCTTTCGTCGCAAGCGATGGGTTCGACGAGGACGGTGACCGGATTGCCTGCTGAATACTGTAAATAGTTTCAGTATTGAAAACGCAGATAAAATCAGGTACAAAGGTACACAGATCCCGGATTTTGTAAAAGATAAAGCAATCGCAAAGTCTAATTGTGAAATTAAATTAATAAAACCCTTATCATCGACTAGCATAAACAATAAAATATTCATTCGAGACACAGATAGTTGATAAACTGAAAACAATAATCACTAGACTTTACCATAAGAGCGTTATAATTAAACATATTTATGAAATGCGGAGCCTTCTGTTTAATTGTGGACGCTATGATAATTAATCCATATTCATTATTTTTGTTCACAGACGTATTTTAGACAACATCCTGACTACGGCGGCTACTGAGTCGTAAAGTTACATTTTACGAGGCTCCAAACGCACGGAACGTGTGTCCCGATTACACCAGACCTAAATATACGTTCTAAATTGTTAGAGCGGGCGCTTTCGTAAAATAGTGCTCAAAGGAAAATTATGGTTTAACTATAAACTGACTGACTCGGTAGTACAATAGTTAGCGACACTAATTGTTGTGTCGAGGGCCGTAGGTTCGATTCCCACTTCAGCCAAATATTCGTCTGGGTGTTTATTATCTATATAATATGTATGTATGTGTATATGTATGTATATATTTAAACTATATAAGTATGTATGTCAGTCTGGTAGGCCGGATGACTGTGTGTGATTTGTTCTCCTCAGCTACAAATGTTAGTTATAAGTCACATTAATGACTTTAAATGACTGAAATAACTTTTAAACAAGGATTTCACATGATTACGACTTTAGTAGAGGCCAAGAGTAGCCTACTGTGATGATAAGTCGTATAAACTAAATATCTTCGGAACGCTTCAATTTAAGGGATAGGTTTGTTTGAGACCAGCGCTTAGGTACCCGTAATTTCATACTTAACAAGATAATTTTTCACCGAATACCATATGCGCGATTTCTTAGAAATATCGCGGATGAGCCCACACCAACGTACAGACATACATACATCCATTTATTACCCTACACCCACAAGTTAAATTATTATTAAGAAACAAATGAGTAATAGTATTATGCTGATTGTCGTTCGGTGTGTCAATGACACTGGTAAAAGCGCCCTGATAAAGTGCAAAGCTCTTTCGTTTTCCTCATTTATCAATAATTATTTTAACGTTCTACTATCCTTGCTATCTTTGGTTCATTCATAGCTTTGGTGATTTATTCTTTGGATTTGTAAAACGGACAATTTAAACTATTCCGATCACGATTACCGATACTCATCTATTCTAGTCTATCCTCGTCTTTCATAAAAAATACTGCGACTTTTTGGATTCTATGAGAACACAAAAATAATACTTTTGGAAGAAATGTATGATGTTCAAAAAGAAAACAATTTAGCATCCAACGTAAACTGATTACAAATGTTGCGTGAATAGAAAATCAGTGTTAAATACTTTCTTTTTATGAACTTTTTCCAGTGCGTTCCGTAATAGTTGACTTACAAAAAAATAGATATTGAATGAATAAGCTAAGTCATAGCAAATCAGATTACAAACTAAAACATTTGGCAAGCGTTTATACAAGCCCTCTATGATCTCATACAGACATCTGCTGAAGCTCTCTAATTCTGCAAAACTGATCAAATCATACGTATAATTGAAACACAAACGAACATACACATTTCCTAATAACATTAAAAAACACTATATTATTATGAATTAATTCTTGATGTGATGATGATAATCATCTTTAGTGGTGGTAGGACGTCTTGTGAGTCCGCACGGGTTGGTACCACCGTCTTGCCTATTTCCGCCGTGAAGCAGTAATGCGTTTCGGTTTGAAAGGTGCGACAGCCTGTTGTGTTATACTAAGACCTTAGACCTCATATCTCAAGGTGTGTGGCGGCATTTATGTTGTAGATATCTATGGGCTCCGGTAACCAGCTTAACACCAGGTGGACCGTGAGCTTGTCCATTCATCTAAGCAATAAATAAAAGATCAACATTAACTTATGAGTAGGAAAAACGGGATGTTCACGTAAATAGCCCGCCACGCATATTGTCGTATGAGGCGATAAGCGTTTATGTCATCATCGTTTCAGGATATTATTCAATATGACCCGCAATGATACGTCAGACTCAACACGTCCACATTAATTTGTTCTAATCCTTTACCTAATTCCTAAGTTACGAAGGGTGTGGTCTAGCCGCGTGTGTCGGGGTGTTTTGTAGCCACCACCCTGCCTGTTTCTAACGTAAGCGCTCATTATAATTCATGATTTAAGGGTGGGACTGTCATTATACAATGTTATTATCGCTCGAACCTCATGTCTTGAAATAGGGTTGGGTGTGGAATATGATATCCGAGCTCCGGAAACTCTATAACAATGGGTGGCCGTGGTGCTGCCTAGCATATTGAAAACATTAAAAACAACTAATCTGTCTGGGTCAACTGATCTGTGGGCTGATAATGATGATGATAATGATAATGCGTGTTGGCCGATCCATAATGGCGACTTTTTTGATGCGAATAGGAGGTTGCGGTCTTTCAAAGTCTAGTGAAAGAGTGACATAATTTGAGTATCCATTAAGGTCTGCGAAGTGCAGTGGTGCTGTTTAGGAAAAATAGAAAAGTGCCCTTAACATCACAACATAACATCAGTACGTCGATTGTTTCGATGTAAAATATGCGTTCCCTTAAATACCTACCTATAATTGTATAAATAATGCAATAATAATAATAATAATAATAATAATGTTTTTATTTCAAGTATCCATGACTCATATAAATTGTTAATAGTAGTTATATTTACATCACAATGAATTACTGTGGTAACATCCCATGGGAGATGGCACCACAGCGACCCATGTATATACAGTCCAGCCTGCTTGCGATCATGCTCAGGATACTGTTGGAGCTGGCCCTCACTCTGTTTACCAGAGATGCACACCTCTTACGCATGGTAGCGTAAAAACAATCTATGTGCGCGTCTGCAAACATCCCTGATGCGCTACAAAAGCGGGGCAGCACCACCAGCACCCTAAACGCGTTATTGTATTGAACACGGAGAGCATTGTACGATCTTTGAGTATATCCAGCCCACAAGCTGCACGTGTAAAAGTTAGTACAGTAGGCCCTAAAGAGGGTGACCTTGACTTTAAGTGAACACCGTGCAAACCTGCGAGCTATCATGTTTGCTCTAACCGACAACGCTCTCCGCTCTCGTTCAATATCTTCATCATCTTTGAGATCAGGGGTCAACACATGGCCGAGATATTTAAATTTATAAACTCTTGTCAATGGCGTTCCGTTGAGTACTACGGGAGGTATTTTATCATGCGTCCCACCCCTGGTCTCAAAGACCATGATCTCCGACTTTTTACAGTTGTACACCAAACCGTGTGATTTGGCGTATCCCTCACACAAAGAAACAAGTTGCCTTAGGCCACAGATAGACGCGCTCAGCAGCACCATATCGTCTGCGTAGCTGATGTTGTTTACGCACACCCCGTCTATGAAACAACCAATCCTGGTCCTACTGAGCTCGCCGATCAGCTCGTTCATATACAGGTTGAAGAGCGTAGGCGAACTCAACCCGCCTTGTCTCACCCCGCACTCCAACCTATATGGAAGAGACAAAGCCCCAGCCCATCGCACATTGTTGATCTGGTTCCCATACCAAAACTTTAGAATGTTATTTATTTCCGTGGGTAGTTTAATATTTTCCAACTTTTTCCACAAGAGGTCATAGGAAACCAAATCAAACGCCTTGGACAGATCAAGAAAGCAGGCATAAACAGGTGTTCCTCGCCGCGTGTAGTATTTGACAGCATGCTTAAGACTTAAGATTGCACTCTCTGTCGACAAACCTGAACGGAATCCGAATTGGTTATCATGAAGATTTACATATTTATTTAGTTTAAAGTTAAGCATGCTGTCCAACACTTTGGATATAACAGTAGCTAGTGAGATAGGCCTATAGTTACTGCTATCTGCAAGGTCTCCAGTCTTATTTTTAGCTATTGGTACAACTACTGTTCGTATCATTTCCCTTGGCAAATAACTATGACCCACACAAATGTTATACAGCATTGAGAGAACCCTAGAGATGTGCACGCCCGCATAACGCAGGTGCTCAATGCTGAGCCCGTCATGTCCCGGAGACTTACCACGTGACATTGACCTAATTGTCTTTTTAACATCCTTAGACGTAAATGCCACTCCAATTTCCCTGCCGTGCTCAATATCAAGCACCGACCCAGCGAGTCCTAAAGTAGATTTTACAAAGAAGCGTTCCTTGAACATGTTGGCAATTTGTTCTGGTTCACTCACGCCACCGACGCTCACAGGTATTGTCGGCCTATTCTTTAATTTATTTGTGTGTTTCCAAAAGCCACGAAAATCACTTTTAGAATGGTGTGAGGCTAGAATATCCATTTTTGTTTGGTCCTCATGATCTTGGCACCACTTTAGTCTAGACTTGAAAACTTTTCTAGATTCACACATATCATTATACGCATACCCAGAAGTAGGTTTACCGTACCCTACCCACAACAAAAACTTTTGCCTAG